AATCAACAACTGGACACGAGATTATGTCAACAGCAGCTAAAAAATAGGAGCACTTCGGGCGATTACCGCACCGTATTGCGGCGCCTCATTACGCAAATCAATGGCAAAGACTTTGAACTTGTACCGGCCAAGAACATAGCTCATTGACCAGCCTGCGCAACTTCACGGTTGATCAACGGCCAACTTGGATTAGCAATAGTTTAATAGAACGTCCATGGGGCAATCCAATTCTTAAGCCACAAAGTAGCCTCACGCTTATTGCCATTGAGTCGTTTTCTATAGAGGGACTATCGCTGTTCACAATTCGCCAAATGGCGGGAGAACTGTTGCTGCTTTCAATGGAGTTCAAAGATTGAGTATGGGGATTTTTTGAAGTAATCACAACAATTGATAACAACAATCGTGGAGAATGCAGCGAAAGTGATAATCTTTAGCTTGGGGGTATATTCAAGTACTTTAAATAATCAAAACCGGAGGTTTTAACTTTCCTTATTTATTTTTTAATGCCAGAATATATATGAATCAAGCCTGATAAATAGATCGAGTACTAACTAAAATCCTATTATATTTGTATTGTAATATCTATTTGCTATTACTCACCCCCAGTATTGCGATATCCGAAACTAAACTGTCAAATCTTATCGCGTTAAGCTATATCTTTGGTATGACTTTCATCGCAATGGTTTTTTTTTTTATCTGAGCGCAAGCAGATCATAAAGATTTCTTTTAATCAAAGTAAAGTGCGCTCAATTGGCACTAATAAATTCCCAGCTAGGTAGACCGGCAAATGACCAGATATTTAAAATATTTTCGCTTTTTACTGAATTTAATAAGGAAATCTCTTGTTAAGGTTGCGCTGCGTGTGGTTATTACGATGATGACGATGTGGGGGTGTGTTCGGCGCCAGTTTATCATTCGAATAGGTCTTTTATATGGGGTGACTTGCCCTCTGCCATATTTATAGTTCTACGAGCTGTCAATCAAATATTTTTGGAATCGAGTACGTATAGTTCCAGGCCCCGATTACCGGATCCATAATGCACTTGACCTGCGATTTGTGGCTGCACATAAATACTTCAAAATAAAACGTAATCATATCTGGAATTGTGTGATATGGAAATCTAGTGGTTCGATGGGGTCGTAAATGACTTGGTAGCCACAAAACATCTGCGTTGACATAACTGCGATAAGGTCGCCGATAAGCCCAATTGCCGATACCGAAATGCCCCCTGGTGGAATGTGGATACAATGTCGCCACGCTGCAGCTTCATGTCTGTGCGAATTTTCATGGTGATAAGGATAAGTGATAAAAGCACCCCCCACATACCAACCTTCGGTTTTCTCTCAGCCGTCTGCCCGATTGTCTGACTCACATAAACAATTTGATCGATTGTTATAGCCGTCCAATACTTTTTGGCAATAAATTGAGAATGTATTTTGGGTCAGATAAGACTTGTACATCGAAGTGATAAAATGTACCTTGACAGATATTTATGGTTGCAGGTACTTCAAAGTTTATCAGGGAAATTGGGGGAATCATTTTAAGTCATTCATTATTTATTATTTAAACAAATCTTAATGATATATATTGTTTATTGTTAAAATTTTAATTCCATTCTTATTCTTAACATTCCAGTAGTTTATGTTTTACATAAATTAGGTGCTGAGCTAAATTTACGTTTATCATAAAAAACAACTGAGAAAGAAACAACTGTTTTAAGAATTTGTTTATTTACTGAACGTTGATCTTCTATTGTTTCACATTCATTTATACAGTTTGAGTCCCCCCTTTTCAAATCTACAGTTTGACAGCAATTGTTACAAGTTGAAATATAGGAATAAAGCTTTGCGTTAAGGAAAGCTTATAAACTTTTTGTCCGTTAGTAAATAAATTTTTGAAACTTATTAAGATTAAATAATAATCAAACTTAAAAGATACATTTGAATTATAAATTAAAGTAACAAAATTATTTGATGGGTTTTTAATTTAGATAATATTGAAGCCGTTGCGCTTATAAAAAATGCAATCCGACAATAACCGCGAAGCTTTATAATCATATAAATTAAGATGCTAAATTATTACATATTTTGTTATTTATTTTTATATTTATATTTTTAACCTCCTTCTCACTGGAAATTACCATTTTTTATTGCAGGAATTTCACTTTTTATTCGCAATCTGTGATCATAAACTGTAAGTAAACAAAGAGCTTTAAATTACCATTAAAATAAACAAGATTTTTCTTCATTGTAAGCAAGGCATTAACATAATATTGTGATTTTTATATACTGAAAAATATATTTAAGCTTGCCCCAAATATAAAAGTATCATAAAGTGCAGAGATTTTCGAATAAATTTCATCAGCTTTCCAGGAAATTGCATGTTTTTGCACACATTTTGGCCAAGACCATGACGCCCGCACTTGTGGCCAAAATGTATCCAGATACGTTCACCTTGAGGACGTTGCCGAGGACGAATTATTGATTTTGGGCCCTGCTAGCGGGTGGTGGACAAGAATTTAACGAATTGGGAGCTATTTACATCATGTTGGCCCTGTCACAAGTTCAAATGTAGGTCGTGGATAAGAAAAAAAACAATGCAATGGATTTGACTTGTGGGCGATTATGGTGGGTCAGCAGAAATATTTGGTGGCTGCACTTGAACCAACGGCCAAATCGCGTGATTTTCGTGGGCCAACAGCAAGCAAAGCAACTGCAGAGAAAATAAATAAAATATTTACATTTATCCGCTGACAAACAGACGTAAAAATGTTTTGTACACACTTATATACATAGTTCTTTGCATGCGAGAGGCTCGTTCTGCGCCATTTCTGATTGGCTGAGATTTTTGGGGCTTGGCTTCTGTGACGTCACACGGCGCACGCCCCTCTAAAAAACGTTGTATCTATCAGATACATGGCTGCGTGACGTAGCTGCTGACGTAGTAGAACTCGCACACTTACACTTAACCAATCTCAGAGCCTATGTCAACTTGGCCCAGTGCTAATGAGCTTTCTGTTGCATAATGTTGGTTTTTTATCAGTTTTTGTGGACTTGTTTCGCCCTTTTGGCCTTTTCCCCGTGTAATTAGTATGTACATGTACACCGAGCATTGCGTGTTCCGGGTGTAGATACAGATACTTTCGTAGATGCAGATACATTTGTGTATCTATGCGAACGCTTTCGCAGCAGGTGAGCCTGCTTTTAGGCGCTCTGCGAGCCTGTTCCAAGCGTGGAGCGTGCCAAATGTTTGGTTGTATTTCCAGTCCCGCAAGTGCTGCGTTAACGCCCCCGGGTCGGTGGGGGGTTAACGAGAGGGGGCAAGGTTAAGGGTGTTTGAAAAGCGTGTACACAAAAAGATAACGGGGCTGCGTTAGAACACGCTCACAATGGCAAAGTTTTGAAGAACATACAGTGAGAAAAATCTGCTATTAATAATAAATTAATATTTTTCAAATACTTGGTTAGCAATAAAATTAGGTTTCCTTTTTTGATTATTTTAATTAAAAGTTCCTTAACAAAGCATTGTAAAATTTTATAATAAATGCATTCCTGTGTATAAACATTTTAAAGTGCATTAATATTGTTTTAATTTAACCGCATGTATGAATAAATTACAAAACAATTTGAATCCGTAAGGGGTCTTAATAAAAATACCTTTCGATAAAAAGTAATTTCACGTGCTTACTAATAAGGCATTTGTATGCACCGAATTACCATAAATTCCAAGACATTTTTCGATATTAAATGCGTATTCTCATTATCTGACCCATTTATAGCTTTGTGAAGTGTTATGTTTGCTTATTGAAAAGTCTCAGAGCGTTGAAATGCTCATTTTCATACCCTTTGTGCCACCGTAAGAGGCAACCCATTATGCTCAGTGGCAGCCGCATTTTCTGGCCGCACAACAAACGTGATCCATTGAACGTACTGCCAGCTAGGCAAATAGTACTCCTCGCCTGGCAAATGGAATTTGAAATGATAATGGAATTTTCTACAACACGAACAAGCAGAAAGATATCTAAGAATATCTATAGACCATGTTACCCCCTGTTCCAAAAGTGAAGCGAATGCGTTTGTTCGACCGCCTTTAATTCTGTACAATCTTTCTGTGCATACGGAAGTGCAGTAAACACACAAATGACACATGGTGAACTATATAGTATAGGTGGATATTAATTTCCTTTTTATTACAGTTCTGCGAGATAATAAAGAAATTGATTGTGTTGTTAATCTGATCGAATTATAAACAAACACAAGAGATACAGAAATCGACGTAGTAACTTATACATTTGCATATGTAAATAACGGTTACTTTAATTAAAACTTTTTTTTTTAATACATTAAAATTAAATAGACATTTTAAATGTGCTATTAAATACATATTTTTAAAAATAGTTAAGCCAAACATGTAATCATTTTTGTATCGGTTTGGTGTTGTTAATATTACTCAAAGGCTTCTCAACTAAAATAAATTAAGAAATGTTTCTAAAATTTTCCCTTGCAAGGCTTCATTCATTGCGAAGGGCATTCGGTGAATTTACAGATCAATTTGAAACTCGTAAATTTGCATTGCCTTGACTTAATGGAAGGGCAGATGCAACAAGCAGAAAGCAAAAAGCCAGGAGATGGCCTCCATGTGTTGTGCTGCAGCAAAAGTTGCATCCACATTCACCAGCCACCCGGTTGCATGCAATTTCAAGCAGAACCAGACGCGACGATCCGAAATATAAATCTGAGCAGCAGAGACGCCTGCAATTCCAGTTTGGATTTTGCCGCCAAGAGTCAATAGCCTCGTATGGATATACGGTATGGTATGGTCTTCACCCCCGTTACCCATCCAATGGCCATGGTCGCTGCTGAGCGGGACCAGTTTCCCGCTGCCCAAGAGAGCGAGAAAGAGCAGCGACGACGAGAATTGGGAGAATTCGGGGAGCTGGGAGAGAGCGGCATATCCACATAGAGCCCGGCGGAGGCCTTTTTATTGTTTGGCGCGCCATTTGCTATCCGACATTCGTCCCGTGCGGTTTAAGATACAGAGCTACTCGTGTCCCCAAGATATATGCGCGAGTGCCACTGAAAGCTGTGTGAAATCGAGGAACTCAACCGATACATATCCAAAAAGAAATAAATATATATCACTGAAATACTCATATACCATATCAAGTATTTTATTGTTGGCTAATTAGGAGTGCAAAAAAGAAATTTTTTGGCCAGCAACATGTTTGCCCGTTGAAGCGCATGCGCCTTAAAGTATTCTATGCTACGTGGGTGGTCGACGTGTTAAAGGACACAAACTCAAGTTAAAGGACATTTCCCAGACGTCCTCGTATTATTCAACACATTTTTAAACGCCAGCTAAGGTGCAGTGAAAAGTGGCAAGAGCGGTTAAGAATTAACCGGATAATCACCGAAGAATATAGAAAAACATATCCCCATCGTAACTCTGTAGCCCAACCGAAGTTTACATAATCCCGTCGATATGTCCACCGCGTCGTCGAGCAACTCCAGTGGCGAGGAGGCCAAGAAGCCCGGCTCCAACAATGAGGAGAGCTCCCACCTGCTGGAATCCGCCGAGAATGGGGCCAAATACGGCTCCAGACAAGCAATTAAAATCGTAAAGGCCGGCGATAATGGACGCACCAACTCCACCCCACATGTACGCAAAAATTCGCATATTTCCATAGATATAAACACTGAGAATAATGAAAAGTATAATGATTTAAAAAACCCAAATTTGCTAAGGAACTATTCCATTAAATTTACTTTAAAAGGCATGATAAGATTATTTCCATATTATTTTCGAGAACAATATTTTCAAATATTCCCAAACACTTATCTTATTTCTTATTGTGTTGATTTCAGTTAAGTTAATTTAGGTTGCCCAGCTGGCTAGCCAAGTAAATGCTTCTTTTGATGTTGACCTTGGTAGAAGCCACGGCGAAAGTCCAATTAACGCAGTGTGAAATAAGGAAAAACGACACACTAAACCAAATTTCAAGCACCACAATCTACAGATACTCTAGCTATAATAAATATTAAAAATACTGGTCTTCTGAAAGGTTAGGGAATTGAAAAGCATCTCTTTATTTCAGATTGTTTGTCCAAAAAAGTAAACAATCTATTTTGTTGGTATAGTAAATGCGTAGATGAAGCCGGAAAGATTTTGCCGCAAAAAAGATACGAGATATAAATAGTTTACCAGGCAATTATCAAGCCGAAATGAGTTTTTTTTTCACTCCAAATGCTATCTCTATCAACCAAACACGAACAGCAAAATTAGAGTATAATTTCACATGGTTTTTCTGTCTGAACGAGTTCAAATACCTTTCAAACATCATTTCCGCTTTACATAATTTAAGCGATAAGCACTTATGTACAACACAACAATGATGGCTTTTATCGTAAATATTGTTGCTATTACTAAGTCCACATTGATGGATCGCAGGGCTTATCAACAATTATAAACTTAATCAGCGTTCGAACCGATGTGGAAACTTTCTATTTATATCGGTTTTTATGTTGGACAAGGTCACAAAAGCAGACAAATGAATATGAAACACAAATCATTATGAATAGGAAAATCATTTTGAAAAGCAAAGACAAATATGATAAGTGAGCACTTGAAAAATAGGGGCGTACCTTTGTTTTCCACAAGAGACAAAATTATTTATAACAACAAGCATGATACGGATTTGTTGTGGAACAAAGCCACAAATAAATGATAATTTCACCAGACAAATTCAATTGAAACTCGTTCCACGGACTGCACAAAATGACTCAACATTTTGTGGGTGTTTACTTTAGTAAAAATGTAGTAAAAATAAAACATTTAGGCATTAACCGTGCCACCCCTTCAAAACCATTAAAAATTCTGCCTCTAAATACGGACACTGAAACACGCACGACAACAACATGATTTTATGACCAACATTTGGATACATTTTAAAATGCGACCCACAAAATTATGGAAACTCGACCAGTTCGGTAACATAATGTGACACATTTTTCGAATATCAATGAGTTGCCCAAAATGGTTCGTTATATAGTTTATGAAGCCATCAAGTTGTTTTCACTTTCATTGTGCCACCGAATTAAGCCATTTCTGTTCGCAAATTTGCATGGATTTAATTTTTAGTCTTTTAATTACCAAATTGAAGATTTTATAACATTTTTGCTTAGGGATTTCCAATTGAAACATATCTTAAGAAACTGGATTTTGGATTTTCTGAAAATCCCCAATCGAAATTTTTCCCATTGTATCATATGCATAAAATGTTCTTTAGAATCCCGTCACAGAATTTTTCGAATTCCCCTTATGCAAATGTGATTGCTTATAGACCGGGATTATTGTACATAAATTAACCTAAACCACTAAATAGTTATGAACTATTTGTGCGGAATTAGCTTATGCTATGCCTTTAGTGAACCAGTTTAGTGGAATGCCGCGGGGTATATAAAATTACCACGCTTATGACGCGCACTGTTGCGCCAGTGACATTGAAACGAACTTGGACCTCCGCTCACGCAGTTGTCATCTTTGGGGGTGGGGGCGGGGTGTTTAGCACCCGAAAGTCGGGGACTCGGATTCCTAGAGCCGCCTTTTAACTGGCAGTAATGCTAAATTTAGATACAGAACGACAGGCAACCGAATGGATTGACCACATTACCCACAGACGGCACTCAAACGGATTGAGGCGCACAATCGGGAGACAGATATCGATTTCAGACGTTTCAGACGCGATTTCGAACGCTTCGTTTACTCTCGACTGGCAATCCGGAGGTGTGTCCGTCCCCACGACCCCAGTTAAAACGACAGTTAATATGTGGGCGTATACACGCCCTGTTCTGCAGCACATGATGGCCTTCTCCTTTTTCCAGCTGCAAATCCCGCCTTGCATTTTCACGGAAGTGATTTGTTCTCTACTCCTTCGGTTCGCGTGGGCCGAGATTGGCAATGGCACTTTGAGTGGGTTTATGCGAGTGGGCGGCAACACATGGGTGGAAAGTCAAGTAAATCAAGTAACAGGCGAGGAGAAAATGGCCATAAATTAACCATATGCTGCATGCGAAGTGGCTTTTATGCCGGTTTCTAAAGATATGAAAAATATTATAACCCAATCCTATTAGACTCGTACATATATGCTTAGACTTTAAGTAACTTAGGAATATAAGGTTCACTAATATTTTTATTCAGCAAAAAGAGGTTTAAAAAATAGTTTAATTTTTTTTAATGTCGATTAAGGACCGGCCCTCTTTTTATTCGAAAAAAAATGCTTTATGACGTGCAATAATTGAAATAATAACATAGCCAAATCAGTTTTCATAAAAACTTTGCCAGCCAACCGACTGTTAAATTCCGCATTTTAGTGTTAACTATTCTTTTTGGTCATTTACAACAGTCCTGTTTAGTTAACATATTACCATTAAATAAACTAAACCTTTCCACTATCATATTGTCTAGGCCTTCTTGGCAAAGGTCAAGATTAATCAATAACAAGCCTGCCATTCAGTAAAAAAAATGGCACACACCCCTTTTTTGTGCACACGAGTCGCATTTCATAAAGTTCTGTGTACAAACATAAAAATATATTTGAAAAAGCTTTCGATAAACAAAAGCTTAGATATTGTTGTTTAACTCCCCCATCTGCTTTGCTAATGTACGCTTTCGTAGCTGGAATTTGGCGATTTACTGATTAGGCACGCGATAACCTTAAATACCGAATTTAAAGTAATTTATGGCCCAACGAACGGAAGTCAATGAGTGTGTCTACCAAGGTGGCCAAATAAAGTTAATTGGTGCTGCTTGACTGATCCTTGACACCTTGGGGAGGTATTAGGGAAAATTTATGTCTTTAAATAGAATAGAATCCAAAAAGAGAGGTAAATGTTCTTGGTATATTTTGGGGAATGTATAATAATATTCTAAAATAAAGAAAAGATAATGCAAGATTTTTGCTTTACTTTTTAAAACTGTTATTCAAAATAATTTGAAAATTTTAGAGTTTTATAATTTATACCTTAATATATCATAACTCCCATTTGGGGAAATCCAATGCCCATGCATATATATGCATTAAGTGCTTTAATTAGGTAATAAGTGAATAAGTTCACTTAATCTCAACCTTATCTAAAAAGCTTTATTGGGTTATGTTTATAAGTCCAAGAAGTTTCATTGATCAAGTGCCGGCCTCAAGTGGAAACGCATGAACATAATTATAGTACTTTACCGCTCAATTTTATAATAATTCGCGTATGGGACTTCTCACTGTCTAAAGTTATTGATCACGCGGCATCCCCAACTTGAAATACTTTGGAGTCTTAAGGGATTTGCTTGTCCGATACATGATGTTCCGAACCACACGGCGTATGAATGATATCGGGCAGCGAGTATGCGAGAACTTGGTTCGATTCGGGGGCGACTTCTGTTTATGTGTCCGGCATAATGAAATAATGAAGTACTTGAGCACAATCGGAACGAGGAGAGCATAACCACCGAATTTTTTCCGGGAGAGTGCAATAAATATGGGTGCACGGTTGTTCGACGAAGTGCCCACAATCGGGCCGCCAATAAATATCCTAATCACTGGGCGGGGGGTTCGGACCTTATCTCGACCCAAGGCGTGATAATACTTGTAGGCAGCTAATAGCTGGCCCTCAGTCTAATTCAGTTGGCCATAGCAGAACGATCTAATTAATAGTGATCTTGCGATAGGTAAATTCTAAAAAAAACTATACAGAAAAGGATCCAAACTATTTTTCACTTTACTTGGACTGAAAACTTTACTTGAACCGAATATTTCTTTTATTTGTGTGTTTTGTAATTTTATAAAATTTGAAAATAAATGTTTAAAAATAAAGTGATTTAAAAATGATTTAATTTTAAATTTAGAGAAACTAACTTAAACAAATTGAAATTTTGTTTGCAGGATCAGGAGAATCTACTCGGCAACATGGTGCACACCTCGACGTCAAACAACTCGAAGAAACTGCCACAAATCGTGGCAGCGTTGGCAGCAGCTGGAGGAGCCTTTGCCTGCGGTACTTTGTTGGGTTGGACATCCCCGGCCCAAACGGCGATCGTGGATGATCACAAGGGATACGATTTCGATGTGGATAAGACCCAGTTCTCATGGGTGGGATCTGCAATGACCTTGGGTGCCGCCTGTGTGTGCATTCCCATTGGAATCCTTATCAATCTGATTGGACGCAAGTGGACCATGATGTTCCTTGTCCTGCCCTTCGTCATTGGTTGGGCCATGCTCATCTGGGCGGCGAACGTGGGAATGCTGTATGCCTCGCGTTTCATCCTTGGTATTTCCGGAGGTGCTTTCTGCGTGACCGCACCCATGTACACGGGTGAGATCGCTGAGAAGGATATTCGCGGAACACTGGGCAGCTTCTTCCAGCTGATGATAACCATTGGTATCCTGTTCGTGTACGCCATTGGAGCTGGCTTGGACATCTTCTGGGTGAGCGTTGTCTGCGGCATTCTGCCCCTCATCTTTGGAGTCATATTTTTCTTCATGCCGGAATCGCCTACCTACTTGGTAAGTCCACCAATCTAACTTAAATGCACATTTTGTTTCTATTGCAAACCCACTAAATTAGATTGAAATTGCAAAACATTCTTGTTGATCAAGTATATATATCCATGATATGAAAACAACCTATGAAAAATTTAATGACGTCTCTAAAAAGACTGGAAAAATACTTTAAGTAAATGTAATCTGCCAGTCAATCAATAATATATCTTGAAAAATTCCAACTAGTATATAGTATCTAAAAGATATGAAAAGCACCACGAGTTTGCCATCAAAATCGCGAATCCCCTCTGAAGTGTAGTCCAACGTGTCTAATTTCCAAATCCCCGTCGACAGGTTTCCAAAGATCGGTCGGAGAGCGCCATCAAGTCCATTCAATGGCTGCGTGGCAAGGAGTACGACTATGAGCCGGAGCTGGCGGAACTGCGTGAAACCGATCGGGAAACCCAGGCGAACAAGGTCAACGTATGGGCTGCTCTCAACCGTCCCGTCACCCGAAAGGCTTTGGCCATCAGCATGGGTCTTATGTTCTTCCAGCAGGTTTGCGGCATCAACGCTGTTATTTTCTACTCGTCGAGAATCTTTGAGGTGAGTGATGGATTGATTTGTTCTGAAAAAGGATGGTATTACCTATGAGAAATCTTATTACTTCTCAAATATGACGCAGTTAAAATTAATAGATCAAATAAATTGCTATTTAAAGATTTAAAATATTTATTGATTTATTATAATATAAAATATGACCCAGTTAAAATTGATAAATCCATTTAATTGCAAATTAAAGATTTAAAAGAAAGATAAAGATTTAAAAGAAAGATAAAGATAAAAAGAAAAATTAATAAAATATAAAATATTAAAAAGTTACAATTGATAAATCAAATTAATCGCGATTTAAAGATTTAAAAGAATTATTTATTTAATATATTATAAAATATACAATATCAAATTGATTAAAAGTATGGATCTCTAGAACCCTAGTAACCTACTAAATGTACGGTATAATTTTTATTCCAGGAAGCCAATACTGGCATCGGAGCTCAGTGGGCAACGATCTTGATCGGCATCATGCAGGTGGTGGCCACTTTCGTATCCACCCTGGTGGTGGACAAGTTGGGCCGTCGCATCCTGCTGCTGGCCTCTGGAGTTTCCATGGCCGTGGCCACAACCGCCATCGGCGTGTACTTCTATCTGCAGAAACAGGACCCGGACCAGGTGACGAGCTTGGGATGGCTGCCGGTGGCCAGCTTGTGCGTCTTCATCATCATGTTCTCGATGGGCTATGGACCGGTGCCATGGCTGATGATGGGCGAGCTGTTCGCCACCGACATTAAGGGATTCGCTGGATCGCTGGCCGGAACCTCCAACTGGCTGCTGGCCTTTGTGGTGACCAAGACGTTCGAGGACTTGAACGACGGCCTGGGCATCGGCGGAACCTTCTGGCTCTTTGCCGGTCTGACGGTTGTGGGAGTGATCTTTGTTTTCTTCGCCGTCCCAGAGACGAAGGGCAAGAGTCTCAACGAGATCCAGCAGGAGCTGGCTGGCAACCGATCGAACCCACCAGCCATCCCCGCCAACGGAGCGGAGAAGTAAGCGGCGGCAATTATCGCTCGAGGAGCCCAAATCGCAAACCGGAAGCCGAAATTCGGACCGGAAATCACTGTTAACTCGCTGTTAATTTATGTTTGATTTAGGTTCGCGTTAGGCACAAGACCCGTTGCGTTTTCGATGGATGAATTTGTTTATAGAATTTAATATTCGTTTAGATTTTCGGTTAGGCATAGCGAGAGATTCAGATTGTAAAGATGAAGATGAGGAAAATTGCAGCAAACTATAACTAAGAGCGAAGACTGAAGGTCAACTGCAGAAAAGCCGCGAGAAATGTTAAGCCACTGTTAACGCACTGTTAACCGGCCTGCTTTTGCAGCCATAGAAAAGACAACAGCAATGTAAGAAAAACATATATACCTATATATATATATATATCCATATAATGTATGTATGCTTATTTAGTGTTATTCATTCAATCAACGAATTCTGTTTTACAAAATTTTAAGGCATATTTGCATTTGTTCAGGTTTTAAAAGTGTTTGCAAGCATTTGTTCGATAATTCTTAATCTATATGTACTATATGTATGTCTATGTATATGATCTATATAGCTGGATCTGTTTGTGTCTAAACTTCAAAGAGCATTCAGTCGATTCACTTAGCATAGCCGTTTACGTTGTAAGCCACGCCTATTGCCAATTTATTTATTTACTCCGATTTAGCGAGGTGTTTTTATTTTATATAATAAATCTGAAATTTACACCATAATTTTAATATTTTTACAACCGATATTTGAGTTTATATTCGCTGAAAGCTATAAGAAAACCCCCCGTCTATCATTGTTAAACTTGCATATAGTATTTACGAAAAATAAAACTACCGATACAAGTCAAAAATATATCAATATATTTAATATGTTGTAAAAAATCATGTTGTTTTATTTAGCTTACCTTTTGGCTTTCCAAACTGGTATCAACTATCGAATAAAATTATTTTCGGATCGTTAAAGTTAAATCTTTGTTTGCAAAGCAAATATATTTTGATATAAACTACAATAACTCCATATAAAATATATAATATATATATTTTTACAACAGCTATATATAAATTATTATTAAACAATTTCCGAACATAATTTTAACTCAGCTATGACGAGTCCTACTACTAATCAGCTTAAGTGCTAAAACAATAAGTTATAATCTCAGACGGTGCTTGTTCAGAAGACATTCAGATGCAAGAGGGAAGTCACCAAGATATCCTTTAGAAGAATTTATCTCGATTGAAGTTAAGGATTCGCAACAGGCCGTGTTCTGCGCCCATGGCAACCCAAGAGTGGGCCGGCGAATTCCAATTGCAGCGAACGCAATTGAATCGAGTCAGGGCCAAATTTTTTACGTATGGAGGTCGTCGTTTGGGGTTCAAGTTCTTCTTCTTCTTTTTCGGCTGATCGGTAACCAGAGGATTGATTTGCACCCCATAGTCCCGAAGAAACTCATCCGCATCAAGGGCTTCCGTGGGTTTGGGATCACTACCGCCCAGATGATGCAACTCGGTTGTGGACACGGCTCGATAGTTGAGTACTCTCTTGTGCAGATCAGGACCACAGTTGAGGTCTCGCACATCCAGGAACACCAGTTCGCCATCGTCTGTCACAAACACCATGTGATTTTGCTGGCAATTCGTGTGCATGTCACGTGTCGTCGTCAGGGTTCCATCGAGAGTCTTGTGCTCGAACTTGATCCCCGCTGGACTTACTGCTATCGACCGGGTGTAATCTGTAAAACGGAATCACATCAATGTTGGAATACTTTAGTGAATCAGCAGGAACTTACTTGCACTACTGACAACTAGCGCCTCGCAAATCGGTGACCAAGTAAAGCTAGCCAAATAGAGAGTGTGGATAGGTTCCTCTGTCAGAATGAATGGCTTCGACCAGTTTGCAATATCGTAAACCTTAAATTGATTTATAAGAGTGCCAACTGCAAGCCAACGTGGTCCATTATTGTCGTAATGTAGGTCCATAACTAAGCAGAAAGAAAAACAAATAAATTAGAAATACATTTTAAAAGAAAACTTTATAAGCTTACATTGGATATTCCGCTCGCCTATGTAAAATGTATTTACAGGTGCAAAATAGGTCTGTTTATCCCGCTTAAAACAATTTAGATTGTCAGAATAGTCAATATCCCAGAAGGCTATGTTTCCGGTACTATAGCCAGTCGCTAAGAAGTTGTGTCCCGAAGCCTACAGATTAAATTAATATTTGTTTAGTAGAAAAAAATGTTTAATGATAAAGAACCCACCTGTGACCAGCAAATTTTAGTGCACTGATCCCGAACAGGATTGTTGACATCCAAGCTAAGAGTAATCAAGGAATCCAGTTGAAGGACCACATTAGCTCCTGCACTTTCATCATTCTTCAGGTTCAAAGGCAACGCGTAAATCTGGACATCACTAGAGGCATTAGCCACAGCCAAAACGCCTAAACGATTTGATGACTCATCGTAGCCACCGCTGGGCAAGAAGCAGAAACTGTGAACTGGTCCGTGGGGCACACGAATTCCATAATGAAGCTCCGGCCGCAATGCTGATTTATCTTTTGGATTGACTGATGACGCAGTAAATTTTAGCAACATCAAAAGGGAGTCTTCATCCTTTAATATTGTGTGCCTTGCAAACGTTTTCATTTTTGAACGAAGTGAACATAGCAAATACTGATCCGCAACTTTTGGAGGCAGAGGAACCCATTCAAGTCTTTTAATTGGTTTGCCCAGATAGCCGACATATTCACCTATTAAAAAAAGTACCTTTTATATATTTTTTTAAAATATTTTCAGATTCACAAACCGTGTTCACTAAATCCCTCCAGCGGTGCCAGTTGTTTCCAGTTGCCCTCTTTGCTGACCTCGCCGTAGGCATAACGCATGGATGTTGTATCCTTGGAGGGCAGCAAATCGTTAGCTTCCTGAAGGGAAGTCTTTGAATAGCTGGGCATCAGTTGACTGAACAAGGGACCAACTGAATAATTCTGCTGCGTGCTTTATAAAATAAATTAAATATAATAAATATTATTTAACGTAAACTGCTGTGTGTGTTTTGGTGCACTTACAATTCATTCCATTTACGGGTTGCCCGTGCCTCCAAGTATTGATATCGTGAAAGTACTGTCATAAATAAAAAAAAAAACATTATTATACTATACTAATCAGTACTTCAACTCAAATTTTACTCACAGGGCTTCTGTTGACATTCTCCCAGATGTACTGCCCGTTTCTTGTCAATATTTCTTCCTTGCCTTGATTTCTTTTGATTGTTAATCGAAGAGCTATCAGCAAGGGTTTCCTCGTTTTCGGTGCTCAAGGCGTCCTCATTGGAATCAACTCCTTCCGAATCGTATTCCTCAGACGATTCTTTGTCTTTTGCCATGTCGTAGTCCGATGAATCGCCATCGAAATCGTTTTTAATGGAGGTTTTCTGTGAAGTCAGCTCTTCGCCTATTTTCTTTAATTTTGTTTCAGCTCTAAAAAAAAAAGGAGTTTAGATAAAGGTATTAAGATGCAAAAGATGGATCGTTATCTTTCAATTTTTTTTAATAGAAAACTTTATGCATATGCATAAGGGGATATTTAAATTGAAATCTTCGGTAATTACTTGATTGTGGACTTCCGTTTGGCACGGCCAGCATTGCTGAAAACCGTTTCATTAACATCTTCTTCGGCAGGCTCTTCCTCCTTTTCGGAAATTGGACGCTTTGGGCAGGATCGTATATGCACCGGAAGTGAGAGTTTGGTATAGGTGCGCTGACAGTAATCGCACGTAAGACGCTCCTTGTTGCCACAACCCTCCAGGTGGAGAATCATGCCCAGGTAGGAACCCAATTGGTGATTACAAAGACGACACGTTAACTTTCCAGTGCTACTCTCGAGATAACTCTTCATGGATGCCATTACCCAAGGACGCGTTATTTTCTGTGAATAGAAATGATATTAAGCAACTAATTTTTATAAAAGGAAGGTGTAAACTCACTTTGGGTGGATCTCCGACAACCCAACCGACTCCGTAGTGCTCGCCCAGATGGCTCTTCCAGTTTTTGGCAGTACAACGTACCAAACACAGGCCACATTGCAACGGACCCTCACCCTTCCCATCCTCGGTTAGTTCTTCTTCTGTGTCCAATTGTTCACGTTTTTTAATGAGTAACAGCCGCAGATTATAGTCACAACTGCTTACTACTTCCGAATTTTCATTGGTGTTTGGTTTTTTGGCCGCTTCCGTTTCCATATCGACAGGATTCTTTCGCTTTCTTCCTCTTTTTGCTGGGATTTTCGGCTCGTCTTGATTAGGTAATTCCGAATTTTCCAAATCGACAGGGTACTTTCGCTTTCTTCCTCTTTTTGCTGGGACTTTCGGCTCATCATGTTTAGATATTGTTGGACTTGATATTTCAGTTGGTGCACTATTTACACTACTATTTCTCTCTTTTTTAGTTGATGGTTCGGAAACTTCGTAGTTTTCAGGCGTACTTGCTGCGGTGTTTGAGGTGTTCGGTGGAGCTAAACTGAAACGAGATGACGTTTTCCGTTTTGTCCGAGTTAGCAGAGTATCACTTTCCACTTGATGAGGTTCTTCAGGTTCTATCGAAATCTGAGTATCCTCAAAAGCTGTTGCATTCGATTTGGGAGTAGATCGGGATTGTCTCTTTCCTCTTAATTTTTTGGGTATGTCCTGTTCGATTGTATCTTTTTCAACTTTAGCAGATTCACAATGCGTTTCTGTAAGGGATTTTTCTGCGTTTAACTCAGAAGCGGTTTTTCTAGGTCTACCTCTTCGAGATTTTGGTTTTGTCTCAGTTTTTACAGAATTTGTTTCCTCGGACGTACCAACCTTTTCCTGTTCTTCTAGTGGCTCCGAATTCAATACTTCTTGAGACTGAGCAACAGGAGAAGCTGATATATTCAGAGTTTTACTTCGAGATTTTCGCTTTTCTTTATTATTTTGTTCATTTGGATCCTCAGAGAGTCTTTTATCAGAGTTGTTTTTATCTTGTGTTTTTACTGGATCAATTACTTTATTGGGATCAGAAACTGAAGCAGTGATTACAGCAGTTTTGGACGTACTACATCTAGACTGCCTTTTTCCTCTTGTTTTAACAGAAGTACTAGCTTCATTAAGTCCTTCAGAATCTTTAACTTCTTTAGACTCAGCAGGTTTAACAATTAATGGATCATTTTCTTTAGGTGTACTACTTCGGGTTTCTCTCTTTTTTGAGGATTTCTTTGCTTGTGTTTTAGAAGCTGTGTCCTTAGAAGTTGGTTCTGTTTTTGTATCCGCTTCTTTACTCTTTGACGTGGTACAGCGAGATTTTCGTTTTCCCTTTGATTTTGCGGGCGCTTCTGGTTTTTCAGTAAGCTCTTCCTGGGTTTCAACTAAATCTGTATGCTCTGCTGTCATTAAGTTTTCCTCTGTTACTTCAATTTCCTTTTCCTCTTTACTATTACCGATATTGTCCAAAGATACCTCGGCGTCTGTAACCGCGTCTGGTTGAGAATCCACAGTATCTTTAGTTTTTGGCGCTGAATATCGTGATTTTCGCTTTCCTCTTGATTTTGCAGCTGTCACAAGTTCTTCAGTAATTTTTTCTTCTTCCCGACAAAAGTCAGTTACTTTATTCTCTTCTGCCACTGATATGTTATTAAGATCACTGTCCTGACTATCCTTTATTATTTTTTCAGAAGTCACAACAGTACTTATAATCCTTTCAGGTTGATCAATGTTTTGAATATTGCACTGAGGTACGTTGTCATTTCCAGAACAATTGATATTGAGTTCACTGTCAGCCAAAGATCCTGGTGTTCTTGACGAACTCCTTGTTGACCTAATTTTTGTAAAAGTATCTTTGCTCGGAGAAGGTTTTTCTGGTGTTTCTACTACATCCGATTCACTTGATGGTCCCTTTTCGTTTATCACAGATTCTGACTTTTTGGGTTGAGTTGCACCCAAAATGTTCTTAGCAGCGGAGATGCTATGAATTTCAGCAGATGAACTCGAATCTACATCCAGTGTTGGTGGGCCAGATTCAACTGCAGTTGTGGTAGAGCGATCATTATCTTCTTTGGGAACCTCTTTATCGTTGCCGCATTCAGTCGCTTTCTCGTTCACAAGATTTTCCCAAATAGTTTCTTTTTTCCTCGGATATTCTTCAGCAGTTTCTTCTTCATTGATTGATGCGTTATCCCCTAAATCTATTGGACTGGGAGCTTCGCAGTTACTGCTATCTGAATCACTAAAAAAATCTCCCACAACCTTATGTTTTGTCGTACTAATCTGGGTGTCAACCTCGGATTCGTTCACAGATGGCTGTTCCTCCTCAGTTTCATCATAATCGGGAGTTGCGTCATCGCTTATATCCGTTTCGTTTAACTTCATTTGACTCACTCGATTGCTCCTTTCTGGAATCTTAGAATCCGTATCCTCTTTGTTATCGAATCCCAGAAATATGGAACTATCATCATCGCTAGTACTGGAAGTGGGAATGCGACCTCCCGCATTTGCACTAACTGGATGTAGAAATTCTAAATGTTTCGGCTTTTCCTGTGGGCTTTTCTGAACAGCTTTCGATGATCTCTTGCTAAGAACCGGACGCGTTTTTACAAGCTTTTTGCGGGGTTTTGGCGGTTCCTCTGACTTAGATGTTAGAGATAACTTCTTGGCCTGCGGTGTAATCTTTTCAGCAGTCAAATGTCCAATTAAATTTTGTATGCCTGTGGCGTCCGACGTGCTTGCACTGAGATTTAACTCGATTGTCTGCTTTCGAAATGGCAGCTGAGCTTCGCCCTGAGGCGGAGGTAAATCCTGTGATAGGACATCTATTAGGGAGACAGGAGATCCTGATTTTGAGGGATGTGCATCCTCCAAAACCTCTTGAGTAATGGCCTTCTTGCTGGGTTTATTTTTGGGCATTTTTGGTGTTTGGTAAAGCTGGGTTAAGTCACGTTGATGTTCTTCCTGGGTATTTACTTTAGTTTCCTCTGCTTTCCCTTCTCCGGTAGGCACCTGGGTAGCATCTTCCTCGACTTCAACTGGACTAGTAACTTCACTGGCAGCTTCCTCTCTGGACTCAGTGGATTCTTCTGAACGCTGCTCCTCATCTGCTGGCACCTTTGGATTGGTTTTAACACTAGATGAATTTAAATTTACTTTGTCTGAGCTTAGACTATCTAAATTAACTGTTACCTCGATTTCTGCGGCTCCGTATCGATCCTCCAGGAAGGTGGGATCGCTAGCCAACGTCTCCTCAACGTCCTCCTCAAATTCTAGCTTAGTTTTCTTTGCTTCAACTGGCTTTGGTATGCTTGGTCTTTTCGTCCGTTGAACTAGATTAATTTTAGCTTTTTTGGATCTGATTGGTGCCCTTTTTACTGGAGGTTTGTCTTCCTTTTTGGACTCTGCATCGGACACCGCTTTGATCTCGTCCAAAGGCACTTCTGACTTTTCCAATTTGTTCTGTTCTTCTGTTACCAGAATTGTGGATTCCTCTGAGTTTGTTAAATTCTCTTTGGAAACTTCAATTGGAGTTTCAGCGACTGGATTTGCTTCACTTGCAATCAAAACTTGTGGTTCTGGTAAATTGACTTGAACTATTGAATTTTCTGTGACATCTTGTACATTTATCAATGATCTATCCAAATTGGTAATGCTGCTTTGCATCATCGATGCATTGGGACTGATGCGTAGAACATTAGTACTATCACTGTTAACATCCAAAGTAGCGTGCAGAATGTTCATATCATCCATTTTTACTATCTTTCCAATGGGCAACTCGTCCTCAGGCTGTGGTGGTTTCTTGGCAGGCGTTGGATCAACGAATGATGTTCCACCCCCACCAAAAAGGGCACATAACCTCTGCTCCTCCAGCGAAAGCTCCATGTAGCTGCTTTCATCCAATGAATGCTCAGCCGTTAATTGTGCAATGAAATCCACTGCGGTTTCAATTTTACGCACTGGTGGCGTGGCCACTTTAGAGTTTTTAGAAAATTCTATTCTTTTTGAACTGCATGTAGTGGGCAAGTCAGGATTGCTTGGTTCTGCAGTTTCTTTCTCAGAATTGGCGGGAATACAGACAGGCAAATCAATAACAGATTGGTCAGTAATTACATCTCGAGGCATCTCGTTTATCTGAGGCAAGCCGACATCATTGTTTTCTGCTGCTATCTCTTTATTTAAATTACTGTTTTCCAATGGAATATATTTAGAAGTGTTTGATTCAATAACCTTATCTTTAAAATATGCATTTGGTTCAGTAGTTGCAGGACTTGATACTGTGTTAACTTTTTCTATTTCTGTGGGTTTAATAGGGCTTGATTCAATGTTCACTTCTTTATAATATTCGTTTGGTTTAGGAGTAATTTCGGGCAAAGGAGGAGCACCTGATGGTTTGGATATTGCAGCAGTCATCTGTTTGGTCTCAGAAGTTGATAAAATAATCCCTGAACTTAATTCTCCGACCTTTGTAGTATGTACAATTGGTTCCCTGGTTTCGGCTACAGGTAACTCCATTGGTTTAAATGTTGGTGATTCGTATACAGGTATATTGCCTGATTTTGATTTGATTTGATTCAAAGAACTAGAAGCCGGCAAATCTTTAAAAATTTGATTATATACAGGATCGTTGTTTTCTTCGAAAGTTGTTGAAGCAAATAATGGTGTCTTTTTTCGTTGAAGCAATGACTGCATAGTAAAAGGTGTATCAATGGTCGGAGTAATGAGTTTTGTGGAAATTGGTTCTGGTGTTAAAGGAGGTTTCACCTGCTCCGCCTGACTTCGGATCTCTTTGGCCATTTCCGCCAGCTTCTCCCGCGAAACCTTTAACTTATTGGCATTCATTATCACCTTGCCTTTTATTACCTTAGATTGTGGATTGACTTGAATGGGGTTTTTCAGTGGTTCGACCTGTGGCACAGTAGTGGTAACCGGAGCATTTGGCAGCCGCAGTCCACTCAAATCGATCTTTTCATTGGGTGCCAACACCTTGTTCTCCAGCACAATCAATGGCGGTGACGGGCTTTTATTGCTGCCAATGGAAACCGCAGGAGCTGTTTGAGTTATAAGAACTTCTGGAGGTGGCTGAAGAGGATTATGTGACAGAGCTTGGATGGATATCTGCTGCTGGGGTTGCACAGGAATCCTTTGCGGACTTTGTGAAACTTTCTGTTTAGAAATACCTGAAGAATGCTGTTCAGCAATCTCTTTTTGATTTGTTACCGGCTTGTTACTCGATCCGCACACGGTGCGATATTTGGGCAGTTGATTAACCAAATTGAGCAGCAGTGGTGGGTTCTTTGGGCGGACAGTCAAGTCCGCCTTGGCGATGGGCACAGAGAAGGCGGCAGGAGTTGAAGAGGTCCCTGCAACACGAGGAGCGGTACCCTGGGCAGAAGATGGAGGCGTATGGAGTGCTGCCTTGGACGTGGTTGGCATCTGCTGGGCCTGCGAACCCATCGTCATACTCTTGTTAAGTATCCTGTTCTTCAACAATGTCTTCACTTGCTTCGAACGGTCGACATCGGTCGGATGGTTCACTGCGAGATTGTGAGGCGGCTGGATTGGCACCGTCTTTTCAATATACTCCGAGATCATATAACGCTTCACAAGTGTCTGCGGTGCTTTAAAAAATAAAAATAAAGCAAAATTTAACAACTTGTGGTTTTATGTTTGTATACGTAAGTATTTATATTCAAAAATAAATTATTAATTTTTAAACTACAATCATCATAAATAAATAAGACCTATTGGTATAGTATGGGATTATAGATAAGTGCCTATATAAATTACATTTTATGCAAAGTGGCAAAAGTTATAGAATGAAATCCGGGTTTAACCAAAGAGTAATTCAAAACAGGTTGACCAAATAAAGAATACCAAAAACAATTGCTTGAACAAACTGCAGTTTAACGACGTCGGGATTTGAACCCGAACCAAAAGCGAACTCTGCTGCTTCGTTCCGACATTTCGTCCCTAACCTCATTTACGGGCACACTTACAGGTTGGACCATCGAAATAATATAAACAAGTGTGGCGAAAGTGACACTTGAAGCTAATTTACCGAGAGGATGTTTAAAAAAAAAATAATCTACCTAAACAGGGACATTTTGGATAATAAATTCGCTGATATTTTTAAATTTTGTTCTACCTTGTATAAGATTTTTTTTTATTTTTAACATATTAGTTTGAATTTTTAATTATTATATGTTTTAATATAAAAAAAAATTCAAAATTTAATACACAGTAATATATACTTATATGTCTTGGTATGTTTTTGGCTTGAAAAAGCATTGCTAAAACAACGAATTGATTGAGTTAATGAAGTTTATTTACTGTGCATGAGCAGACTATTCATTCTCAATGCCATTCTGAATAAATGTTCTAACAGGAAGAGTAGCCCTAAGATTTTAACGCATTTTTAAAATTTTTGTACAATGCAAATTGTTATCAAAATTGTTATATTAACATAAAAACGTTTTTTTTTTTTAAATGTATACCTAACGATAAAACAATTTAATAATTGCGATACTTCACCAGCGAATTTAAGGCTAAACTGGTTTTGATTAAACAAGGCCGGAGATTTAAAATCTATAAACCGTCCTTCAAAATCTTTTTGTGGTATCTGAGTTTAACACTTTTACAATGAAAGAAAAATAAAATTAACCAGAAATGATGAAGAAAGTAACCGCCGCGAGACGAACTCATAAAAATCAGGCCAAAAAGTCCAACTCTTTGACTATTCGTCGTCACCTTTACCAACTGCGCCATCGTATCAATTCCAAGCATCGCGTCTCAAACTCATACACGCATTCAAATGATTTTAGCCACATTTGGCAAAACCCCCCGCCCAATAACGGTTTTGGATAATTCACAAAAATTCAAAAATACGAAATAATGACAAAAACCAATTTTATTACCAGGCTGACGAAATTGTTGTTGTGGCTGTTGCAATTTCCTCTCTGCTGGGGTCGACGTCGACTGCGCAGCGGCAGAGGATGACGAAAAAGTAGGTGTTGGGGTTTCTGGCTTCTTGCCATCCAATTTTTGCTTTCTAAGGACCTCGGCAAGTTGTCGATCGAGTCCGGCTTTCTTTAGTTTGTTGAAATCTAGCTGAACCTTTTTAATTATCCGCTTGGGCGGAGCTGCAACTTTGGTGACTTGCGGAGGAGTATTAGTGGGATTACCAGAATTTGGTTGGGTGGAAATGGGGGCCACTGGTGCCGGCGGACCCATAATGACCTGCCTCCCGGAATTGTCCATTTCTGATATTGAAAGAAAACTTTTTCAAGCTGCGACTGTTTTTTTATTAAAATTACGACAAATATCCGAATTTTTCCACACTCGCTTTTGCTGCACGCCTTTTGTGGGTCGGCTTTTTCAGAAGTCCGGTATAAGGCAGGCCCTAAACATTTATGAGATCTTGCTTCTCTTGGCTTAATTCTTTTCACAAACACTATTTACGTTTCATTTTGGTCACCCTTTAGGACATTTTTCACTTTTAAAATATGAAAAAACAAGCATGTGCAACTCAAGTTAACAGTGTGACCGCGTATCTTTAACTAATAAAAACAAAGAGCTCCTTTAAAATGTATTTAAAGTTACCATGTAATATTGACATAATATCGCGAACGAAAATAAGAAAACATATAATATTTATGAAATGCCTGCCGGCCTCAGAAATTTAAGAAAAAAATTAATAAATAAATTGAATAAAAATTTTTTTTAATCATCAAAAATGTGTACTTCAAAGAGTTTATAGTTTAAAAATTAATTGTTTTGACAGATAAAAATTCATGTTTACGTGCTTGAATAATTTCTAATGTTATATTTGTCCCAAGCAAGGAAACCAAATAATAATAGATAAGATTAACAATTGATTTTATGATTTTAAATGCAAGAAAATCACAACAAAAAAATTTTAGCATATGATATCGAACTATCGATATGCCAATCGACTCCCACCACAAGCTGCTCTAACAACCCTGTTCTGTACACCACTAAAAACAATTTGTCGGCTAGTTTTTAACAACGTGAAACCTAGTTTTCTTTTTAAACGAACTGAAAATAAAGTAAAGTTGAAAAAATGGACTTTCAGAACCGCGCCGGTGGCAAGACTGGCAGCGGAGGCGTGGCCTCCTGGTCGGAGACGAACCGCGACCGCAAGGAGCGGCTGCGTCAACTGGCCCTGGAGACCATCGACCTAAACAAGGATCCGTACTTCATGAAAAACCATTTGGGCTCCTACGAGTGCAAATTGTGTCTGACGCTGCACAACAACGAGGGCAGCTATTTGGCCCACACGCAAGGAAAAAAGCATCAGGAGAATCTGGCTAGAAGAGCGGCAAAGGAGGCCAAAGAAGCACCCTCTTCGCTGCTGGCGCCAGAGAAGCCCCGTGTGGAGCCGAAAAAGTTCGTGAAGATCGGACGACCCGGCTATCGGGTGACCAAGCAGCGCGATCCCAACAATGGGCAGCAGTCGCTGCTTTTCCAGATCGACTATCCTGAGATCACGGAGTCCATCGTTCCGCGTCATCGCTTCATGTCCGCCTACGAGCAAAAGATCGAGCCACCAGACCGCAAATGGCAGTACCTTCTGTTCGCCTCCGAGCCATATGAGACCATCGGCTTCAAAGTGCCCTCCAGAGAAGTCGAGAAGAGCGAGGGCAAGTTCTGGACGCACTGGAATCGCGACACCAAGCAGTTCTTCCTGCAGTTCGCCTTTAAGTTTGAGCCAAAGATCATGCCGCCACCGCCACCGAATCTTCATCGGGCGCTGGGCGGCCCGCCCGGTGGATTTCCCATGCCGGGTCCACCTCGCCCTGCAATGCATCCGATGTTCAATGGCGTTCCTCCACCCCCGCCCATGTAATTCAACGAGGAGGTTCCCTGGAGATCTTGTAATATTAATTTGGTTGTCAAAAAGCAGAATCATCATCTAAGTGACTAAATGACAAATTAAAATCCATTGCACCTTTTGTGTTTCCAGTTTTGAGTTTTGTATAACCGAGAACTTCATTGAATTCAATTTAATCACAAATTTAACCCAGACAACCATTCAAATAAAAAACAATTTTATTCTTAATACAACTTGAGGGCTTTGTATTTACGTTTTTTGACTTAAGAAAATGAAAAAATATTGCTTTTTTCTTTGTAAATGTTACGTCTTACAAATTGATTGCGTTTAAGGTAATTAGCTTAATTAGAATCTGCTTAACTTAGACAATGTACACTATATCAATACACTTGGCTGGGCTTCCTTCTGTCAAACGATTTTAAATCTTTTCACGTTTCTTAAAATTCCGCTTTGAGGCGCATCGGTTGATAATATCTGAGACATGAGGCTTGTGCTCAAAGATCTTCATCAACTGATTTTGCGCCTCGTTGATGCCATCGGTAATTATCTTGCTGCGCTGAATGTTTCCCTGAAGAAATAATTTGTTTATTAGTTGGGTTCTGAAGTACTTTTTATAAACGCACCTTCAGCAGTTCAGTGACACGCTCCATTTCGCTGTGCTTCTCCTTGTCCTTTTCCAAATCTTGTAGCATGGTTTCTAGCTTTCCCATACTAAAAACCTCCGATTCATTCTACAAAAAACAAAAAGTTAAAACAAATCCTTCCAATAATTGGATTCATATTTCTTACCAAGTCCTCCATTTGCGAGCGTAAATGGTAGATTTTCCATCCATTGATCTTGCCCTGGACATTTGGCTGATTTGCCAAATCAATAACTGTGGCCCGTCGCTCCTCCCTTGGCTTCACATCCGTATACCGATGGAAATGATTGTTGGCCAACTTATGAGTGGGTTTGTAGGTCTGCAAATCAATAGTAATATTTAAGTTTTGTATCCTATAACGCAGTTGCCATTAAACTCACATTAAGCAGCGCACAATTGCGTGGTCGTCGTATAACAAAGTCTACTGGATTGGCGTTCTCCTTGTTGCCCGTCACAGCGGGTGTAGTGTTCCGATGGTTGGCATCGCCAGGAGTACTGTTTGGTGCCACTCCTGGTGTCGCCGCTGTCACCAGCAGACCTCCATTGTTGTGTTTCTGCATATAGGAAGCGCCAGCCGGCGGCGTTGGTTCTGCACTTGGAGGAGGCAGCGACAAAGATGCCGCACTTTGCGTGGAGTGCTGGCTGTCATTTCTGTGAAGGTAAAAATTGAAAGATTATTTCTCTGTATAAATTTCTAAGTTGATAAACCTACGTTGATCGTCGCGGCTTCTTTCGGGAGGAGCAATCGTAGCTGGAACTGGAACTGTTGCCAGTGCCATTCATACGCGTTCCCGCCTGCTGTTGTAATTGCGTCGAACCCACCAGATGCGGCGCCTGCTGCTGGGGATGCTGTTGCTGTGGCGTCGGTGCCTGAACATCCACAAAGGCACTGTTGCCACTGCGGGCTCCAAGTGTCGAGTGACCAACGTTCTGCTGCATCGATTGGTGCGAAGAGTACATCTTTGAATTAATGAATGTTTAGCAAGCTATTTTATTTGGTATACATTTGGGTACAAACCTCATTGATCGGATTGAAATGCGTGGAATTATCCCGTCCACTTGCACCTCCAGTTGCAGGCGGTTCACCAATTCTGTCCAACTGCTGATCCACACCAGGCGAGGAGTTCGCTGATACTGTCGTCGAGCCGTCCGATGAAGCTGGCGAGTCCGCCCGCGAATTCCTCGTTGAGGATACGGTGCTAACTGTAGCTGGCACACTTGCTGCGCTGCTTGCCGCTCCATGGGTTACGCGCTCTCTGTCTTTCTTGGCCAAAGCTTCAACGGTGAGTCCAGAGCTCACAGATGGCGGCACCGCCACGGATACTGGCTGGATATTGAAGGTGGTGCCTGGAGCTGGCTGCATATTAGGACCACTGGTGTTGCTAGCCATCGAGAGCAAAGTGGGTCCAAGGTTCTTGGCTGCTCGAATGGGCGATCCGTCTGCATCTCGCTTGCGCATGAAGCTGGGCAGCAGTGCTCCACTTCCTGCCGCCTGTTGCGGGTTGCCCGCCCCCGTTGTCACCTTCACGGATGTGTGCAGCGGAATAACCATGTGCTGTGGCGGCGCACTGTTCGGTCCTGCTGGTATTATCAATTGCTGGTGCCCTATGGTTCGAGTAGCCGCACCTGCGGCACCTGAGGGCAGCACAGTGAAAGTGGCCTGCGATCCGGATCCAGTGGATCCCGCTCCGGTTGGCGTGTGACTGGCAAACGGCAGCGAAGACACCGACAAGCTACTTCCACCGGCACTGCTAACCAATTGCGCCTGGGCCTGGGTGCTTTGCGTCACCGTAGTCGTGGTCAATGATAGAACGCCCGTGGAGGCGGAGGCCGGCATGGATTCGTAGTAGATTGTGGCAGCACTTCCCTTTTCATCGATCTATAAAAAAAAAATATAAATTTAATTATAAGTTTTTTTTTAAAATTTTAAATAATATTTTAGTTTTATTTAACAATTCATTGTAGTTACACTATTTATGAAAAAATGACTCATTTTGTAGTAACCAGAGAGGTACATTTTATTTGTCAGATTAACTGTCAAGTGTCATTTACCTAATTTAACTGGTTGCATTATTTTGACTATTGTATTTAATAGTTAATATTTTCATTAAAATAATGAAAAGTAGTTAAATGGTTTAAACTAACTGAACCGACAGATAATAAAACCATGTAGATTGCACTTAAAACCCACCTTCATCAACTGGCTTTGTGAAGCCACCACCGGGTTCCATGTGCGTTGGAAACCCGTCACTGTTGCTCCGCTCGTGCCGGATGCATCTGTTCCAGGCGCCGCTGTAGCCGGAGTCATCATCATCTTGCCCAGTGTAATGCCACTGGCATTCTTGATGGGCGTCAGGGTGCCCGTCAGGATGTTACCACCCGGTCCCACGGCTCCGCCTCTTCCGCTGATGGTCAGCGGCAGAACGGTGGCTCCTCCAGCTGCCGATGTGGCCCCAGCAACCGAACTAGGATTCACCACACTGGCCGAAACATTCGGCACTGGTACCGCCTGGATGCTGGCCACGCCCTGTGGCGTCATTGTGGGCGTTCCGCTTCCTCCGGTGGTCGACAATTTTCCAATGGGATTGAGCTGCGTGATAGTTAGCGATGGTTGGACTTTGGCGGTCATGGTTACCGGTGGTCGAATGCCTGTACAACGTTTAAAATTTATATAATATTAGGTTATTTAAAGTGAAGGTTCAACGTTTATTAAAGAGGTTTTTAAAGAGGCTTTTAAAGGAGCAAGTACAAAGTTTTGTTGTTATCTTTTAAATTAGCCATTTTAATTATCTAAACCTGCCTAGGTTTTATGAAAAATGTGAATTTTGTGTAACAAAAGCAGATATTTTTCCTTATATTCTTTCGGTTTAGAGCCACAGCTTGGCGTCCAAAATTTCCAGAGCCATCTTTCTGCGAAAATAGTCCATGTCACTCTGTGTAAAGTTGAGTGGAGCGTCCCGGGTTATGAACTCGGCGACCATGCAGCTGAAAACGCCGCAGTCGTTGCTGTTCGTCTGACGCGGCATGTGTTTGGCTTTCTCGATGCGAAAGCCACTGATATTAAAGGGCAGATTACGCTTATGCATGGACTCCTCCTGGATATAAATCTTCAGTGCGTCCAGTACTGGTTGATTGCCCTTACCTATCGAATCGTAGTACAGAATACTCTTATCCCGCATGTGGATGATGGCCATGCACCAGTGCACATCGCCGCAGTGCACCGGCACCGGAATAATGTCCTTGCTAAAGAGATCGGTCTTGCGGGTCCAACGCTTGACGCCCTCATGTCCCTTCTTGAGGAGGAGTGGCAGAAAGAAAGTGTTCATGGCATAAACGCTGGGCAGCTGGCCAGCCTTATTCTCCGAGCGTTCGGTTAGCAGATTCATGTAAAAGTTGATTATCATGTCATTGAGCCACATGCCATTGAGGAGAATTTTGATTTCCTTACGGCTCACAGCCAAACTGAACTTAGTCACAAGTGTTTCCCGATTAGGACCCTCAGCTAATTGAATGAATCGCTCGAAGTGCTCTCTAGTCAGTGGCAAATGTTCCACTTTTTGTTCTTTTGCCACCTTATTATCTTTTACCGCCCCATTATTATATCGGTCCATCCAAAACTTTTCGAATTTAAGACGTTGAATTTTGGCTTTTTTAAACTTTTTAAGTGGATGTTTCAAGACTGGTTTTCTTTCCTGGTTTTTTGTTTCCGACATCCTTGTTGAGTTTTTTATATTGTCATCTTCAAATAAAATGCTGCATTGATTCAAGGATGTTTGTGGGTTAAGAGGCGAAGTTGTGGGCTCTGCTTGCTCCATTTCGTGGTCCACATTTTCGGCTTCTTCCTTTACCTCGCTGGTGTCCGGGATTTGTGTGCCCTCCGGAGGGGATTCTTGAATGTCCTGGATTTCTATGCTCTCCGGAGGGGATTCCTGAGTGTCCTGGATTTGTATGTTCTGTGGAGGAGATTCTGGAGGCTTGGACTCGGTGCCGCTCCACAGATTGCGAATCATTCTGCAATACTTCTTTATTGACCGAGCCATTTCCTTCACCTGCTCTAGTGAAATTCCCCTTGAGGCGTTCGGTGCCGGTTCAGTCGGGGCTAAATCTTTTTAGATACAGAACCCTGCTGCTTTTTTTCACGCCATTGATCGTCGAGAAGGTCGAGGAATCGCTCTCGCTCCGACTGCTCTCTCTCCAAAGCAAGTAGACTTTTCCTCAATTGTGTCGGTGATTTAAAGGGTGATCGATTTGAAGAAGTGAGAGAAAGGTTATCACACACATCCTGTTGCGTCAAAATCGGTGACTTGAATATAGCCAGTCGCTTAGGACTTTTTGGTTGGTAGTCCGTGTTTTCCTCTGACATTGTGTTGATGGAATTACCATCCTCGGACGCCTTGTAAGTTAAAAAGTGTGCAAAAGAGGAGTCCATACACTGGTATTTGATTGGTTGGAGATCGTCGGTGCTGCATCGTTTTTTCGGAAGAGTTAGGACGTCAGTTTGCACAGAACCTTCTGTGATTTTGACTTTAGATCCTGAAGCCTCCTCTCCAAGAATGAGTGTTTTTTTCTTATTCATTTATCCACTTGTTAGATGTGACGGAATAGGTATAAAAAATTCAGTCCTTTTTTTAAAGGCCTAAAAATATATATAAGCTATGACAATTTTTAGGTAATGGATTGCTTCACATTACCTCCGCTTAAGGGTTTCCTCGATTAACTAAAAGTGGTTCACTAAACGTTGGTGAGCCGATTATAAACTTAATTTAGTTTTAGTTGAAGCTGTTTTCTTATAATTTTTTGTACTTTCGCTTCAAAATGACATTTAGTTCTGTGCTTTCTCGATTTCAAAGCGATAGTTTTCAAATAAAAATATTCAACCCAACACGAATATTTAGTGTTAAAAATGACAAAATGCAGTGGAACTGCTTGAAGAATTTCAGACTGGATTTAATAAATTAATTTAGAAAGTGTATTGTAAAATAAAACCTATTGATTTTTGTATGCAAAAGCATTTTATAATTTTTAAAAAAGTGGTTGCTTGCACCTGAGTATGTTAGATTTTATTCTTCTTGCTCTTTTGAAAGCTCACTTAAAATACCCATGCTTATGAGCTACAAGTGCGACGTCAACTCACCCATCTTAGCTGCTGCGGTGGTGCTCATCAGGAAGGGCTGCAGCATAACATTCCCGGCCAGTCGAGCGGCGCCTCCGATAATCTGCTGCGTCGTTCCCGTCGCCGGCTGCTGCAGTTGGATGATCCGTGTTGTGGGCAGATTGGTGGCCGTCAGAGCAGTTCCTCCGGCCCCGGGACCCCGCCCGGGAGCCACTGTTGCTCCGCCAGAAACACTCACTGGCGTCGGCGAAGCCGAAACGCTGGCATTCAGCTGAGGGATGGTCGGCGGAGCGCGGAGACTAATGCTCGTGGTGTTCAGTTTGCCGCCTGGGAAAATCTTGCCCGGCGGAATGGGCCGCACCTGTCGAGGTGTCACTGTAGTGCCGCCGGGAGTCGTGGTAGTTACTCCACCCGTGGGCGTGGCCACGGCAAAGCGAGGATTGAATTGCTGCCCGGGATTCTGACTCACATTGGGCGTGGACACATTCGAGGAGTAGACGAGCGTGGCTTGGTGCTGCCTTTGGGGCAACACAGTGGCAACATAGGCCTGTGGACCTCCGCCAGGACCCGCATTCTGTTGTGACGTCAAAGGCTGGCCAGTCGAAACAGATAAAGCTAGAAGAGATTTAGATTAGAGGTTTGCTTCAGACGAAAGTCAATTGATAAGTTACCTGTTTGCGCCTGCACGGGCGTAGTGGTCACCACACTGGCATTAGAAACCCCCGCCGATGTGGTTATAATCCTCTGGCGTGCCTGGGGAATGGTACGGATCAGCTGCACCTGCCCGCCGGAACTCTGCATCCAGGCAGCACTATTGCTGGACGAGATCACCGCTGACGGCGGTTGCGATGATAACGCCACGCCACTCCTGCTAACCGATGCCGTTGCTCCGCGCACAAATCCTCCCGTTGAACTGAGCACCGTGGGTGCAGTGGGCGTTACGGTGGCCGAGGATGTGGCTCTTAGAGGCGTCACGAGGCGCTGTCCAACGCCCACGCCAACACCACCCATCTGGGTGGCCGTTACACTGGCTCGCGGCAGATAGGTGGCTTGGGTTACTGGCCTGGTGACCGTTATCGATGCATTCGCCCCACTCCGCGCCGGAGCAGCTGGTATGGCCGTAATCTGAGTCCTTCCCGTGGCCGTTACGTTCTCCAGCTGCTTGATCATGGGCATCACCACTCGGACTTGCGTCGACTGACCTCCGGCACCGATGGCCCGTATCGAAGCCGCCGTCGTGGCTTGGCCCGCATTCAGAGATATGGGTGTGCCGCCCAAGGATGTTTGCTGAACGGGATTGGCTGCTGCGACCTTGATGGTGCCACCGCTGAGGATCGGAGTGCCAGATATCGATATCCCACCGCTGCCGTCGGATTTCACGTGGGTGATCTTGGCGGCCACCGCCGAGTGCGCTGCAGAGGATGGCAAATGGGATGGCAATGAGTACTTGTTTATGACGCCGCGCAGCTGCAGGGGCGGATGTGAGTGCGATACCAGGGATGCGGATGCGGATGCAGATGCGGTGGCTGTTGCGGATATAGATCCAGTGGCTGCCAATGATGATGATGATGGATATAAAGATGGCAGCAATGACAGCGATGGCAGTGCATGGGGATGCAGTGGTTGGGTGCGTATCTTAATGGTTTTCAGGGGTGCTGTGCGGGTGGCAGTGTGTAGCTTCTGTGAGATTACGGTTAATGGTTCCACATGGAAAACACACAATGGACGGACAGGTGTTACTATCAAGCAACATCAACAAAGACATAAATCGCTTGGATCTTAACTTAAAAAACCAGAAGTCAGTTCATAATTGTTTTTAAATATTAATTAATTAGTTTAAATTACTGAGGCTTTTTAAGATCCATTGATTTACTTCTGTTTTGGTCGAGGACAGGAATTTAGATTTGCAGGGCTGTTGGCAACCCTGACACGAATGCACAGTAACAACAAAACAAACACATACACACGCACAAAGAGCGGAGAGCAGTCTTTGCTGCGAAAGTGGCCACAAAGAGGAATAGGAAACAAACAGTGCGCGTATGCGAGAGCAAAAGAGAGACACGAAAATATTATGTATACAGACGCATACATTCTCAGAAGGCTAGTACACAGGGTACGTACGTACATACATATATAAATATAAATATTCCACTTGGATATCGGCGAACTTACCTGATGGGGCTGCAGCTGTACTTCCACCACCCACCGGTCCTCCTCCCGCGCCACCTTCACTTGACGCACTCATAATTCCGAGTTAAATTGACGAGTTCTGCGAAGCACAACAATTTCAAATTAGAAGGCAATTCCACGTTGTACATGCTTTTCTCCCACTCTTCTCCACCCTCTCCTTCTCTTCTTATCAATGTGCACTATGTATCCACGAATTGTATTAACACGCACACACAAGAAAACAAGCGGATATAGGCGGTTTTTTGAAGCGATATAGATGAAACTTGCCTTTTATGCTTAGTAGTAGCACTTCCCCGACTCAGCAAATAACAGCTTACTTTTTGCACCGCGCTTTCTATTAATTAAAATGCTTTTCTTGTTTTTCCTCTCTCTTCTCTTCTTTTCACTCAACAAGGCTTAATTGTGGTTAGTAATACCATATTCAGTTGGTTACATAATACCGACTATCGTATAGCAACACAAATCGATAGTTGGCTAAAAAAAAACATTTAGTATTTTTTGTAGCAGCTGATGAATAAAATTAAAAGACTATTAATAAAAACATTCCGAAATAGGACAACCTTTTAAAATTTGTTCATATAATAAGGGTATAAACTTCTATCCATCGGTGCGATAAAATATTTGTTTGGACCTGGGAAAACGTTCAAGGGAAAGCACAGATTCAAAAATAAAAATGCAGTTATATTTTTAACGTACTTTTATTACAAATAACTTAACACTCATTCATATCATACATACACAATTTTTTTGATGTATATTTACTTTGGTCACGATTTTTTAGGTTTAGTTCTTCAGCACTTAATGTAAAAAGAAAGTTAACAGGATTCTTTATTTTTTTCCATTATTAGTAAAATGTTGTATTCCGGTTTAGGTAAAAATACAATTTGAACCATACAAATCACACGTGTAACAAATTTTTCTATTTTTTTTGTTAAAATTATGTATTGCCTCTTGTAGATGAAGAACTTCTTAGTTTATTGTATAGAATATTAATAATTTCATTCGATGGATAGTCTTTAATAAGGCCCTTTAGGTAATTTGTTTTGTGACCAGCTTCATTAAAACAAAGACCATGCAACCTTTCAAAAGTCTGAGAAACATTAGTCCCTGCTCCATATAATATTTTAGTTAGGTCCTTGGTCATAAAAATGTTATCCTCGGACAGAAAGTGGCTTAAATAATTGTTATTATCAAAACAAGACTTATGAAAACTTTTCAAAATAGATGCGGCATTACTTCCTGTCATGGATAATATCCCAGATAAATCGCTTGAACTGAAACAAGCATTATAGAAATCATCCAAAAGTACAGATATTTTACCATTATCATTATAACAAACGTCATGAAAGTCTTTTAAAGCTGAACACGCATTATCTTCTGCTCCGTGTAATATGTTACATAAATTAGTCAGCGTAAAACCTTCTATATCATCTAAGAAATGTTCAAGATACTTCTTTGATTCTTCTATAAAACAGAATTTGTGTAATTTTTCTAAGGCTCCAGCTGTTCCACTCAATAGACTGCATAAATCCACTGGCTTAAAACCGATATCAAAGAAATCATTTATAATTTTGGACTTCTCTCCGTCATCAGTAAAGCAAACACTGTAAAAACTTTTTAAAATAGTTGAAGCGCGAATTCCTCCTCTACATAATATGGAGGATAAATTACTTGGCGTAAAGCCAATTCTATAGAAGTCATTTAAGAGGTTTGTTCTCTTTCCTTTATTATCAAAACAAGCATTATGAAATTCTTCGAAAGCATCTACGGCTTTTGCCCCCGATCCACTTAGAATTCCGGATAAGTTATGCATGGTAAAACAATCCTCTCCTTCTTCTTGAATAAAATGCTTTAAGTGTCGCCTTTTCTTTCCCTTTTCATTAAAGAAAACATTGTAAAGGTCTTGAAAAGACTTGGGAGCATGGATTCCCGCCCCGCATAAAATACTGGACATATTAGTAAGATTTACTCCTTCTTTCTCAAGGGTTTTAAGGTATTGAGTTTTCTTTCCCTCTGCATCAAACCAAAGATCACACAGATCTTGGAAGGCTTTAGGAGCATTTAACCCGCCACCATGCAAAATGCTGGATACGTTAGCAATATTTACTCCTTCTTTTTCAAGGGCCTTTAGCTTCTCAGTTTTCTTTCCATCGCCATCAAACCAACTGGCATACAAGCTCTTAAATGCTTTTGGAGCACTTGACCCCGACTTACTTAGAATGCTAGTCATATTGGATAAAAGTATTCCTTCGTTTTGCAGACTTATTAAATATTTCGCTTTCTTTCCTTGCTCGTTGAACCACAGGTTGTACAAATCTTTGAAGGCTTTAGCTGAATTAGAACCAGACCCACTCAAAATACTTGACATATTAGCTAGATTTATTTCTTCTTTTTCTAATGTTTTCAAAAAGAGAGTTTTGTTTGCCTGCTCGTTGAACAACAAGTCGTACAGTTCTTTAAAAGCTTTTGCAGAATTGGAACCCGCTCCATGTAAAATATCTGATATGCTGGAAAGATTTACTCCTTCTTTTTCAAATGTTTCCAAAAACGGAGTTTTGTTGCCTTGTTCGTCAAACCACAAGTCGTATAGATCTTTAAAGGATTTGGCCGCATTTGACCCTGCCCTGTGAAGGATACTCGATATATTCTGGAGGTTAATGCCTTTTTCTTCCAGTGTTTTTAAGTAAAGAGTTCTATTCCCGCTTTCATTAAACCACATATAGTACAGAGATTTAAAAGCCTTTGTGGCATTTGATCCAGATCCACCTAAAATACTTGATACGTTTCTTAGGTTTACTCCATGCTCTTCCAAACTTTTTAAGTACTGTGTTTTTTTTCCTTCTTCGTCGAACCAGGTTCTATATAAGTCCTTAAATGCCTTGGCAGCATTATTCTTTGCTTTACTTAAAATACCGGATACATTGGACAGATTTATTCCTTCTCGTTCTAAAGTTTTTAAATATTGTGTTTTGTTTCCTTTATCATCAAACCATAGGTCGTATAAATCTTTGAAAGCCTTGACGGCGTTCAATCCAGCTCCATTCAGAATACTGGACATGTTTGGCAGGTTAATTCCTTCTTTTTCTAGGGTTTTTAAGTATCTTGTTTTACCTCCTTGTTCATCAAACCATAAATCGTACAAGTCTTTGAATGCTTTTGCAGAGTTTGGCCCTGCTTTGCTTAGGATACTAGACATGTTGGGTAAGTTAATCTTTTCGTTTTCTAAAGATTTAAGATACTGCGTTTTATTTCCATGTTCATCAAACCACAAATCATATAAATCTTTAAAAGATTTCGCCGAATTCACTCCAGATCCACTTAAGATGCTAGACATGTTCGATAAATTTATCCCCTGTTTTTCCAACGTCGTTAGATATTGTGTTTTGTTTCCATGTTTGTCTAGCCACAAGTTATAGAGATCTTTAAAGGCTTTGCAGGCATTATTATATGCTTTATCTAAAATACTAGACATACTTGCTGTCTTTATTCCTTGTTCATTTAGAATTTTAAGACTTTTCGACTCCACCAAATAGTCCAGGAACTCATTATATGCTGGAGTCCCTTGTTTACCAACTAAATTTTTAGCAAACTGTATTTCCTCATTATTAGTTGTCTTTGCATCAATTCGTGGTCTTTTTGCGGCTGTATTGTTATCATCCTCAACGGAACTCCTCTTTTTTGGGGCTTTTGAACTATTTTCAGAATTCTTTTTATCTCCATGTCTCCTTGTGAAATTACTTTTTGAAGTAAATTCCTCGTTTTTGTTAGTACTTACTCCATGGCCTGGCTTGGATATATTTTCTTTCTTTTTAACCGAAGTTTTCCTTTTTTTTGAGCTTGTAGCATCTTGATTTGCTTTCGAAGCCCTTTTGCCTAAAACAAAAAACACATGTTCCTTTTAAAAGACAAACAAAATATCTTAAGCATAAAATTAAACATACCCTGTTCAGATGCTGCCATTATCAACAATTGCACGTGTTCTGCTACGAAACAATGCAATTTTCCTACATATATCTACATAAATTTCAAGTTCGATTTTTTGAACAATAAATCCGGCTTTATCGCCAATCCGTTGTATAATTTACCGCGTTTTTTATTTAAACTGATATTATTTTCTGTTTTGTTTTGTTCCTCGTTCAACAATTGTCAGTGTTACCAAAACTCGCTGGTAAAACAAATCGACTATCGCTCATTGACTAAAACATACTTTCTTAAAATAACAAAGTAATAAAAGTAATTGTGCCGTTTTTATTTGAAGTTTGCCAAATAATGACAAACAACTACAAAACTAATTAGTTTTTAAAATTAAGCAAGCTGGGAAAATTTTTCTTAAATCAGAGTCTAACTTAATTTTTTTTATTTTTGATCTGAATTTATTTTTGAAAACGGTGATACCATAGAAAAAAATCAGGTAAAATTGCGCTTTAGCGGCTTTTGCTAAAAATGGTCTAGGAATTTTTTTTTTTTTTTTAATGGATACCTTGGGGCCTAAACATTAATAAAAAAGTGGCGGAAAGCTTAAATTTTAATTATTTATGTGTTAAAATTGCAATTATTACTGCCGCGAGGCAACCCGTTTTAGAACATTGCCATGTTTTTCTAGCGAAAAACTTTACCGTTGAGAATGTGTTGTGGATGAAGAGTGCTGCAATTGTGTGAAAATTTAAAAACAAAAGAAATTAAACAATTTTACCATGTCTGGCACTGCCAATTTTACTACTGAACGCTGTAAAGGTTGCGAAATGACTCAGAGTGATTTTATAGTACTGAGTGAATACCCAGAAAAGCTATGGCCAGTTGCTTTTTTGCTATTTTTACAAATAAATACTTAGAAATCAAGCTTTCCGCCACTTTTTTATTAATGTTTAGGCCCCAAGGTATCCATTAAAAAAAAAAAAAAAATTCCTAGACCATTTTTAGCAAAAGCCGCTAAAGCGCAATTTTACCAAAAATCAAATATAATAATAAAATAATAAAAATGTGTAACAAATAAACCGAATTTCAGTTTGATAATTAGTAATTATCGGTATTACTACTGTTGGTATGTTTCCTTAGCAAAGCCGGTGTATTTTCTGGCGCCACCTGCGGCCACACTGGCCAACCCCACCACCACCACTTCGCTCAGTTGTGTTTTCATCTTGCCTTTTTCCACTGGTCTCTCTCGCGAAGTAGTTGGAAAATTCACATTTGCAAAGTTTTTCGCTGGGACCAAAAGCTAAAGATTTTAGAAAAAAACATAAGAAATTCGTGTGGATCTTGCGTGAGTGAATGTGTTTTTGTGTCATCAATCCTGTCGTGTGTGCGAGCATGTGTGTATGCGAGTGTGGGGTCGCAAATTAAAAGCAATACCACACTGAAAACCGACACAATCACACACGAAAAAGAACAGTTTAATTGAATTACAAGTGAAATTAGAGTGCCCGATAATTGTCAACTGACTAAGTGAACAGAAAAAACATCAAAGGTGTTACGTGAAAAACCCGGGGTTCACCAAAGGCCACAAAATCACTTTTAGTGGCTGGCTCAAAGGAAAGAAATTGATTTTCCATTTTCCACAATTGCAATTGGAAGCAAAGCAAAGCAGAAAAGAGAAGAGCAAGTGTCCGTGTGTGAGCGAGGGGGTGTCAGAGAGAGAGAGTGAGAGAGAGCGGGTGACGGTGAGAGAAGCACTTCCAGGCGTCGCATCCTCCTCCTTTTTCGCATGCAATGAATATTGTCGGGGAATATGAATACAGCTCCAAGGATATGCTGGGCCATGGCGCCTTTGCCGTCGTCTTCAAAGGACGTCATCGCAAGGTAAGAAGAGGCAGTCAGTCCAAAACAATCAAATACAAACTCTAACCGAATAACAACAATTCCGTCATGTTATTAACCTGTTTTTCCCCCTCAACTGATTCGTTGTTATTGTTTTCATTTTAATGCGGGGCTTGGTCGCATTTGTAAAAAATACAATAACAAGTCCCAAAGTTATTAACAATACGCCATTGTCAAAGGTAAACACGCAGAAAACACCAAAAGCAAAGAGCTCTCGCCAAGTGTCGCGTATATAACGAAAAATCAGCTGATTACAGTGCAGCAAAAACTTTTTGCCGAAGTGCAATAAATAAGCCATAAACAAAAAAGTGTTTTAGAAACGGTTATATAAAAGATAGATTTTATGTGCAGATATTCTCGTTAAGTTTTATAAGAATCAAATAAATAAAGAACTTTTTTCCGATCAAATCGTTAGTTTTACATTTTTGAATAGTTTGTGTCTTATGTATTTTAACACACTGTACCGAAAGCTAAATTGCTGAGCGAAATCACAGCCCTTTTGTTGTGTTCCAACCGTGGCTCCATTTTCGATTTCTTTAAAATTTGCGTGCTGCTTTTGTTTGTTCTATTGCTGCCTCTAGAATCCCTCTCTTTATTTCTGAGCAAAGTTTCGGTGGTTCACGCACGTGCGATTTCTTTTGGCGATACGAACACAATACCCAAGCAACACTGCGTATGATAGATATTCAATACACACATATTTGCGCGTTAGAAGTGTGTTGAACTACTTCAGGGTCATTCTAGAAATAATAAGCTCTGAACAATTTCTAGGCGCGTTTTGGGCAGCAAAAGGGCTGAAAAATTCCAATTACAATACAAAGTAAACAAATTGAAAGGAAGCTACAAAGTCTATAGTTGCTAGATATTTTAAAATGCACTTTATAATTGCAACTTCTGAGATTGGGTCTTAATTTGAATAAACAGTAGATTTTATTGTGAACATTTATCAACTCAACAATTTATTCTCCCACAAATTATGCATATTTATACGCCATAATAGGCTTTTTAATTGTCACCAGCTCAACCAGTTTGGCAAAACTGCAGGTCAAGCTACTTTTATCAAATTTTGTTATCCAATAAAAAGCAAACTAGTATTAATAAAAATAGACAAACAAAAAAGATAACACGCGAAATTGTTGGTCATTAACATGAACGACTGTTTTTTGTTTCATTTTCATTCAGTATTAAAAAAGCAAAACAAATCAAATCAAAAGAAAACACGCAAAGTGAAAAGCTCGAAGCGAAAAGTTTTCAGATCGGCAACAGCTGCCAGTTATTGCATCAGCTGATTTCTGTATCCATTTAAAACACGCACCTACACAAACCATATGTATGTTTATCTCCTTTAAAACAATATATACTTGAATGTCCATATGATTATGCCGAAACAGTTTTATCTCATACATATCGTTCAGCGTGTTATTGTATTTATTGTTCAGCGATCTTGTTTTTGTTAGTGCAACAAAGCAAATAAGCTCTTATCATCGCAGTTGTTTTTTTTTGTTGTATATGTACCTATTTTTCTAAATTGCTCAAGTTCGTCTCGTTAGTACACGAAATCACATTATTAATTACAAATGCAGTGTGACAACAACAACAACAATAGCAGTAACAATAACAATGGCACAATCGGCTCACACGTAAACCAGACATTCGCCTCGTCTCTTTTTAATGGTGTAAGAGTCTCTCTTTCTGTCAATTTGGTTTTGTCATTAATGGCTTCTCTTTCTCCCTTTCACTAAAGATCTGTCGATTTCATTTTGGTGCTGTTTTGATACTTTCGTGTTACCGATCGTTAATCATTTAATGAAAATCCCAATGTGATCAGTAAATAATTGGGTTTGAAATTCAATCTTCTTTTTCTGAGTAAATAGAATGTGTCATTCGATAAATAACTATTACCAGCAATTTTTCCTTCTTTTTTTTTTGATCTTGTTATTTAAAATTAATCCAGCGATTTTATATCATTTTTGTTAGTTTTTCATCTTGAGGTTTTGTATTTATTTTCTATATTACTTTAACAAAATTTAGTAAAACGTTATTATCTATCCATTTAATTGTAAAAATTGAGAAAACCCATTTATAATCTGGAATTTTATAATGTTTTTATTCACTTGAGCCACACTTTAACGACAGTTGGAATGCGAGTTGAGCTCAGTTCATTTCCCGCGTCTTTCCTTTTATGGCCATTTCGGGTAACTGGTTTTGAAGTCCGGCAGTTTTCGATTTCTTTCCATGACTTAGTCACTTGGGTTACTTAAGCAGCGCGAAGGACAAAGGCAATGCTAAGTGCCTGGCATTTGTGTATGTCTCCAAGAGTGTATCTTTTGTCTGCACGTGATCAGAGCACTCGCTAAAAATAGTCAAAACATGTGCAGCACCAACGGATACACACCCAAAAGATACTCGTACTTGCGGACAGAAAAGGAAATCCTCCTCAGAGGATCCGAGTCCGCTTCCAAAAATAAATGTCATACAGCTGGGGTACTAAGTACCGTCTGGTAGATTTCCCATTGCCATGAATGAATTCATCAATCTTTATCTGGCGGATACGCTGGCATGTGGAAAACCAGACGACACGTGTTCTATAATTCCCCGAACGAACGTTTCATTTTATCGCCCGCCAATTGCATAAGCTGTCGGCGGGAATCATGCAAAAATTACGTTTGGAGCGTGTAATGTTTATTGTATTTTCAGAACCCTCCCCTTCTAACATTGCGCAATATGCATATTCATATGTTTTGTTTGTCCAAAGCTAAAATGCGATTGCCATTTGCATTTGATTTCGTCTCTGCTTTTCTACTCTTTTTGTTGCATTTGGCCGGAAAAATGCGTCTTGAAAATGTCTAGCCAAGAGAGATAGGGATCTCCCTGCAGTCGTTTAGATTTCGAAAAACTATACTGATAGGGCTTAATAATGTTTTATTATAAAGAGTCTGGGCAGGCTCCTGTTAACCATAATTAGTAAAGTGCCTTTAAAATTAAATAAAAAGTATCTAGAAATACATTACGAAATTTCTTTTTATTTTTTTCTCGAGTTTTATTATTTAAATAGCTCTGAAAACCCATCGCTTTTGTTTTAAACTTGCATAAAACAAACGGAAGTTAAACGTTAGGCAACGAATACGAAAAGAAACCCGCTCCTTCAACTTAAAATCACCTTTCCAATTTGTGATGGTGGGAACAACAGGCCAAACACGTGCAGATCAAATCAAACCGAAGTTAACGCTTAAATTATTCATCAAATGCCGCCAGACATCTTCCAGCATGACATACGAATTATCCAAGGTATCACTCACACGAAAACTAGTTTGTCTTGTTCAGCTCCAGATCGGTAGTATGGTATTCTATATAAATTAGCCGGCTGGCTTGTGATCCAATCGGGCGTAAATTATGCGGTATTGAAATAAAAGTTTTGCGTCGCAAATAATTTAAGAATTTCCGCGATTTGTTTGCTAAGTTTTTACGACAGTGAGACAGATACATTTTCACCCGCCAAACCAGTTGAAGTTGTTTGTATCCATCGGATACTTTGGCCCGGCCTTAGATGATGTGCTGCACTTTATTATATTCACTCGCTTTTGTCTCTGGCTTCACTCTTTCTGGCATTTTCTGCGCAATTATTATCGTTTTCGCCAGCTATTTTTGGCCAAAAGAAATGTTTTCCTTTCTTGTTGTTAGTTGTGGGGCCATTGCACCTAAAACACCGCAAAAAATAACAAATTTTGCTACGCCTTATCGAGCCTCTCAGTTCGTTGAACCTTTTTTTTGGGGTGTGCGTTTGATGAAATATCTAACGAAATGCTGCACCCCGTCACTTCAAGACTTTGAAGAGTTGCAAAGATCCCTGGGATCGGAGGTCTCGTCACTGGTTTTTTATTTTCCCCACACCAGGTCTTGGGGCAACTTTCCATTCGCTTTTGACACAGTTTTCGCTTGCGTTTGGATGATTGAGGTGATTGGGTCAAGAACTGCTCGGCTTCCGCTGCCCGATGTCCGCAATTGTTTTTATGGGTAATCTAATCTCTGTGGTTTCAATTATCTTAGACTAGAAGGTAAACAGAATATAATGCAGTGACGTAAAGAGCCAAAAATAAGAGGTATATTTGAATGGCTTTCATTCATACTTGATAATGGATTGCAATTTTAACAAAGCAAATTTATGGTAATAACAACTTATCAAATGGTATAAATAAGTATATTCCTATTTTAACAATAAAATATTTGTTTATATCAAAGAGGAATGAACATTTGTTTGTTTGTAAGAATGAAGCCATTTGTTTGTAACTTTATCTTTTCTCGCTGAACTGGTTTAAATGCCTTCTGTAATCTCAGAGAAGTCAGAGGCCATCCTTCATTAAACACGGGCAAATGCTTGGCAACAGATGCAGTTGAAATCGCTCGAAGATTGTTTCGAACAAACAAAAGTGCAGGGGCCTTGTTATCGGTCAAAAGAAGCTGCAAGAATTGCTTGATTCATTGCAATTTACTCAACCGGAGCAAATAAAAATGCAAATTTATATAAATACATCTGCGAATGCACAGCCATAGATTATGAGCGTGGAGGGAGCATATCGATTATCATTTCCATTCAAACAACGCGTGAACACCGGTTGAGGTGATACGATATTCTGAGGGGAAACCTATAGACTGTCTGGCTGTATTTGTTCCCATTAGTTGTAGTTTTGGTGGGTATGCTAGGTAAACCCATTTACTAATCAACAAACTTAGGAAATTAAATGTCAAGTTTAGAATTTAGGAAATTATTTGAAGTGGATTTTATATCTGTAATAAAAATTTTAATAAATATATTTTTTAGAATGTCATGCTTAAATAGGTTTCCATATTACAAATAATTTCTTATTTAATTGAATATAATAGATTAAAATTTTAACACGATTTTGTTAAGGTTAAAGATCACTAAATATAATTTATGATTATTTTTGGAGGGCTATAATCTTTTGGATAAGATAAGATCCAGTCGATACCTGCCCACCAGACTGGCCACTAACCGAGTTGTGCTTCCTTGTAGTGGGTAAACATGTTTAACTTTACACTTTCGTCTTTTGATGTGGGGCTTTAGTCGGAGGAAAGACGGCGGAAAGTGCAAACACAGACAAAGAGTCATTGTCACCTGCTAAGTTGAAAGCAAATAAGGTGACCACATCCAGGGCGAGTCGACGGGGAACAACCAGGAGGTGCAGTTAACGACGTCGGCCTTATCAGTGGGGCGATTCAACCGGTTAACTCAACCCGTTAGCAGACAGCAGGGAGCAGGGAACAGGGAACAGGGAGTACCCAGTGCAAGTCCCGGCCAAGTTCGTCACTTGAGCGCTCGAGTAAACAGCCTTATTCACCGCAATTATGGGCCTGCCCCCTCCCCTTTTTCTCCGCCCGCCCGGTTGAATGCGTTTTTGCGTATCTAATAATAACATTTAACCGAGCGAGACCCTCCAACGTGTTGGTTGGGGCCCTCGTTTCTCAGATCTTGCAAGCGGAATTTGCATTTCCCTGTTGAAACAGAGTGTGTGCTAATTGAAGCGAGCCAAAGACATTTGCCCAAGGAGAATGTAAACATTTGGAAGGCAAATTTATGGCAGCAGCTGTACGCAAAGATTATCGGGGTTTAGATTGGGGGAGAATAACTCCATGGGAATGCAGCGCTTCGCACAAAGACGAGGTCAGAAACCTGAAAATCCGGAAAGAATTTGAACTGTTAATTAATTTATAACCCCTAGTTATTAAAACTATAAATTCCTAATAATTGGAAATTTAAAAGCATAAGACCCGTTCAATAGGATCCACACAAAAGTTATGAGTTTTTAACTAGCAAGATGAAATGTATTAATATTTTTTTAATTAAATTAGTAGAATGTGTTAAAAAGGTAAAAATCATCTTCAAATAAAAAAGAAACCATTTGTTTTGGTTAAATTGATTCTCAAGTAAATGACCTGCAAACAATTTAATTATTTTGATAAATAAAATCTTTATTATCATGCACACCAAATTTTCTTTGTGGTCGAGTTCAAAACAAATGCAAAATGGAAAGCGCTTATCCATTCAGTGTTTTGTTTTTGCCAGTTTTGTGTCAATTAAATTCCCATGCAAATAAATTGAGTCATCGGCTGACTTTGGTTTGTAATTGGGTTAGCCGTTCAACGACTTTGATGTGAGTAACCCTTAATGGAATATTAATGGAGTGTTTGCTTTATTCTTCTGCAGAAACACATGCCAGTGGCCATCAAGTGCATCACGAAGAAGGGACAGCTGAAGACGCAGAATCTGCTGGGCAAGGAGATCAAGATCCTGAAGGAGCTCACCGAGCTGCACCATGAGAATGTGGTGGCTCTGCTGGACTGCAAGGAGTCCCAGGATTGCGTTAGCCTGGTCATGGAGGTAAGTTTTGTGGCCAATAAACCACATTAAAATAACCGCATAGCGAGGCGAGCAGTTCATAAATACTTAATGCTTTTATGGCTAAAACGTGTGTGAGTCAGTTTAGATGAAATCGTAGTGGGAATTGCAAAGCAAAGTGCACGTCGGCCAGCTCCACGTCATTCCCCTTCCCAAAACCACCCACCCACCACCTCCTCCTCCTCGTCCTCAATTCTCTTGACCAAATTGCTACGCCATTAATTGCGGAAGTTGCGAAATGAATTCGTAAACAGAAATAAAGAGAGAATAGAATGGTAAAAGCGATTTGCGCCGAATGGCTGATCCTCATCAAATTAAAACTTGATTGAAACGTTTCTATTTTAAGTTAATATAACTAACAGCTTTTTTGGCTTTTTAAAATGAAATTGTAATGAAATTCATTCACAACAAGAACAGCTATTTAAATATTTAGGTAGAAGGTAAAATGTTTAATGAAATAACAAAGATGGTTAAAAGTTCAACACACTTAAATAAGGAAATTGGTATATAATATAATATGAGCACATTCTTAGCCATGGTATACTCTATTTTTTGTCTATTTTATTTTGTGATACGTAAACACTCTTGGTTGCTTTTTGTCTCTTCCGTTTTTGTTAATACGCATTTTGTTAATTAACACCAATGCAGACGCGCATTGGATACTTATATTTAACCTCAAGTTTGTTCAACTCAATTTGGGTTACAGGTGTTTGCATGCTTTTAGCGCTCAGTGTTTATATACAATCTATTATCTTGAAATTAGGTCAAATGCCCGTGGCACGAGAATTAGCTTCCTTTTGGCGAGCGTTCAACTGATAAGATTGGATAGGGTTGTTTTCTTGTGAATACTCTGGTATTTAGATGGGCAGCAGGACAACAGAATTTAATTGGGTTATCAAAGAGATAACTGCTGTCTAAATCGTAGTCAAATATTGCTTCTAACCAAATTGATTAAATTTAAATTAAATTTAATATTCTTATGTTGATTATATAAAAATGTATTTTAAATGAAATTTTAAATAGAGAACCTGTAGTTTGCAATACAAAAATAGTTCAGTGTTTACAAAAAGCTACATGAAGTATTAATTATTATTTATTTTTGAACTTATTGTACCTCTTCAAGTCTGTATTTGAGGTTGGTCTAACCTTTTTAGTTGGGGGTAAAAAAAGTTTTAATCGTTGTTAGGGTGTTTTCAAAATAGTTTTAATCAAAAGCCCAATCTTTTGCTTTTTGTTTTGCTTTTTATTTGCCTTCCGACGCCACATTGTTGTGGCCACACGATTGCATGTCATCCATCGGCTTAGGTGGAGCAAATCGAAGTGATGGGGTAAAAAAAAGCGATAGGAAGGGAGTGTTTCGTTTCATCTGTTGTTTATTGTAGAGTAGTTGGCTCACATTCGATCGCCTGACTTTGGCCTCATTCGCCTTGTTTGCTTTTTATTCTAATTTGTTTGCCACCAGCGAGACGAAGAGAGAAGTCAGTTCGCCGGAATTGTAATCAGTTCGTTTTTTGTGTTGTTGATGAATATTTATTGGTTCGGCGGCCACGTGTTATCCCTTTCCGCTTTTCCCACCACAACTGGCTGCTTTGGCATGTCTGATTTGTTTATTTATCTTGCCAATATTTTACGATGTGTTTAATTTCGTTGTCCAGGGGGATAAGTATGTGATAGGAAAATATGGGGATAGCAATCAAGGTTATCAGGTGCAGAATTTCAGGGAGCTACACTCTGTTGTAATTTATTTTTGCTTACATTCAGCAATACTTACCTTTAAAATATTTCATTTGTAAGCATTAAAACTCATTTCTCCTTTTCTACTATTTACAATAATTACTTTTATTGTATTTTGGCAAAGGTCTAAGGCTAAAAGCTAAAGTATCTAGGTTTACATTAAATTAGTGGCTGCTATGGAATTTGTTTGAAACTAAACCTAGGACAGTGCCAGAAGTATGTGTGGTATCCCTTTTACAAAGCTCCCGTAAGGAAAAGAACGCTAAGAGACTAGGCAACTTATTAACCTACTCCGACTAACAACTAGAACCTAACATCGGATAGTTGGAATTTATTTCCTGGTTATTATTGTGCGGACAAACAATTAGGTGTAACGACAGTTGAACCGAGTTGACCGAGTCAAAGTAGTTAACTATTTAGCCATGTACATCACGACGTATACCTACTATACAATCTATCAAAAATGCTGTCAAAATGGAATTTGTTCTCAAAACGGGAGGATATGACTCTCTTTTTTTCGTTGTTTTCTTTGTTGATTTGGAAAGTGTTCTTAGGCTAACTTATTCAGTGGTATCTCCTCAGTGGGATGGACCTGATCCTTTGGTTCGGGTTTGCTTGTGCGGCAGCATTTGGTTTTTATACCGCCAATATCCTTGCGGCAAATGAGTCCGATGATGATACCAATCCCGGCTAAAATTATGATGCCTGGTGGTTAAGATTACAACAATTAGTATTATTATTTATTCAATTGTATTTAGAACTCACAGATGAGCAGAGTGTTAATGGCGTCCGGGGAGATTTCCACCTGGTTGGTCTTCTTTTCGGCACTCGATTCCACACTCACACCGCTGCTGTTGCTCGTCGAACTTAGGATTCCGGCTTTGACCAACTCCGTGCTGTTTTCCATTTTTCCACGATTGCGATTGGCTGGAAACAGATGAAATCGCCACGTTAGCAAGATCAAGTACGATGGGAAACAATAGTAATTAAAGATCTCACCAGTTCTCGGCGGTGCTGGAGTGGAGGTGACTGCCTTTGGCGTACTGCTAGTCACGATGGGAAGACCCGGAATGTTTTTTAAAGGCGGTTGTTCCGTGGGGAAAACGAGACTGTTGTTGAAGGATTTACCCAATACGAACTCAAAGCAACTGATGTCGAAGTGCAGGAAACTAATCACATCAATGGAGGTCAGTAGATTACACAGCTCCTCGATGTTTTCCTTCTCCAATTCCGGCAGCTTCAGTTTTATTATTTTGGTTAGCGGCCTAAAAGCTTTCGTATTGATTTGCTGTCGACGAGAAAAGAGCGAGAGGGACAACTATATAGTGTGGCAAAAACACAGCTGATTTGGGGCTGCGCCAACTATCGATACAACGATAGCTCGGAACGATAGTTATATCGCACTTTTAGCGCTCGATTCTTACCTGTTTGAAATCGTTGTTGTTCAAACGGAGTACTTGCAGGGCACTCATGTTCTTGAACGTCTCTTGGGGCAACTCCGTCCAACTGCAATTAGAGCAGCTGAACTCCACCAAATCGGGTTGGTTCAAAAAGGATCCATCCAGGCGCTGGGTTATCGTATTGTTGCTCAAATCAAGAAGGCTTAGTTCCTTGGCCGCCGAAAATGTGTCGGGATCGATTTTGGTTAGCCGGTTGTTGGCCAGCCGCAGGCGCTGTAATCTCTCCGAGCCTTGGAAGACCTGAAAAAGCATATAAATCATAAGTTTTAAAAACTGCAATATTTAGGTTAAAGCTCTTGAAATTGCCTTGCTCCCAAATTAAATTACCCATTATGACAACTATGTCAACTACTGCAATTACTTCGTTATTCGCGAATGAGGTAATCAACTTCTATAGATTCTTAAAGTGCTCACCTCCTTGTCTATGTGGCTAATTAAATTGTGGTTCAGATTGATGTCCACCGCTCTCGACAGATTGGCGAAATCTTCTGGCCTCAGTTCGGCAATTACATTGTGGCTCAGATCGATGATGGCCGCCGTTTTGGGCAAGTCCAAGGGAACATGGGTTAAATGGGCATTCGCACACTGGACGTATTTAAAGTCCTCCAAGCAGAGACAGTTGCGCGGGCAACTGGGCTCCAGGACATGGTTGCTTCGTCGCGGTATATCTATAAAGGGAAATACTGTCAGATTAAATCTGTTAGTCCAGTTAATATTTACTTACTAAATATTGGTCGAAATGTGGTGGTGGTCGATGTGGTGGATGATTGTGGCATCAGTCTATTTTCCGCTGTTTCTGGCGATTCTTCGCCTTTCGTTACGTCACTATAATCTTCGTCATTATAATCATAGTCCTCGTCGGGAATGGGCGATAGATTTGCCTCCTCGCTGCCCGCTGGAGCGGCATTTGTGTGGCTAATGCTGTAAGAAAAAACCCTAAATTAATAGCTATCAAGAAAAAGATAAAACAAACAAAATTCTATTATTTCTAGTTTTTTTCCTAAAGAACTTGAAAACCATTAAAAAAAATACGCAGCATTAATGCCGAATAACGCTGAGCAATTATATTTCAACAGAAATCGGATTTCGGAAAGAGCAATTATTTGACGAATTTGTAAAGTGGTTTTGCCAAAAACCCAAAATTGTCAACATTTGACTTTAGATTGTCCGTTCTAAGCAGAACGTGGTTACATCATTCACGTCTTGAAGGCGAACACACCTTGCTAATTTGTCCTGAAAACGCTCTTGACCTATTTTATTATAGTCACACAGAAACGTTCGTTTTCCCCACTATCATTATACGCTTTTGTTTATGTTTGCTCCGCGAAAGAGCATGAATGAATATACGACATACATGCGAGAGCAAATATCAATGTATTTCTCAATACAGCTGTGGTCAAATTAATAGCCTACTTGTCAATACAAATTCAATACAATTTGAGTAGTTAAGTGGCTAATTGGCAATTAACCTGGTAAAATGATAATGACTTGTTCAATGAGACAGGTAGTAGCACTTTTTATAAATAATTTGTTATTATATAGAATTTTAAGTGGTCATATATTTCTGAAAATAACTGTAAATGCCTTAGTAAAAAAGACGAAGACGAAACCAGTTTGTATTTTATGGCAGAAAGAGACAACTTGACCGGTTTTTTTTTTCACGATTTCGTCTACTCTCACTTTTTCTGTTTTGATTTTTTACTGTGCCCTCTTTATTTTTTGCGACTTGCCTCGCCTGATTCTAAATCGTTCGTTATCCTGCCTTTGGCGCATTCGTTTCTAGTGGGTGTGGGAAAAAATCAGGAAAATATATGGTAGAGTAGTTCAAGTGTGTCTTAAAACTGTCATTTAGAACTCTCTTCAATTGCGTGACTTTTGAATGAAGTTTCAATGACTGTTGAAGATACTCGCGTCAGGCCATAAAAGCGCTATTTTTAACAGAACAATCAACTTGATAAAACAAAAACTTGTTCTTGTTCAAGTGCTTAGTGCTGATAAGAAATTGAGCTAATGAAATATTTCTACCAGATAATAAAGATATAAAAATCGAACGTAATCGAATCGCCTTCAAGCTTCAGCTGACTTAAGTTAATGCCTATTGCGAAAGATCTCTAAACTGTAACTAACCATGACGACCTAGTCAAAGTAATTCCCTTGACTACTTCAACGAAATGACTAAAATTGGAAGCGGCGTACTTAAGGGCACTCTACTTTGACATTTAACTTGAAGTGGCTATAAAAGCAAGTAAAGGCCAAAAAATCAATAGAAAATCGTTCTTAAGTCCACTAAGGAAACTTTAATTTTTTTATGAAACCGTTGAATAAAAAATATCTGTAAAAAATAGCAAATCATAAATTTATTTGCAAAAATAAAAACTTCAAGTTCAGATAGTTATAACTGGCATTATTTTCTTCTGTGTAGCCAGCTTAAATAGGAAATGGCTAAAGGAAATCTGAGTCATAAATTGATTTTACCATAAAAGAGGAAAAGCGAGACAATTGTAAATTTCTGTGCTATTTTTAATGGCTTGCTTATGCTTGAGAAATTCAAACCGCTTACCAAACAAATTTGATAATGAAAGACGGTATAAATTATCGGACAACCGGGAATTGTTATTATTTTTATCAGATTATGTGATATGATTAGGTGGAGTGTAAATTCATGCACATAATATATAATAAGCGGCAATTAAGAGCTGTTGCCGTGGACTATCAATAAAAAGTTGCTATTTTTTTTATAACCCCATGCGTGAGTATTCCATTTGGCATTGATATCTCCACTGGTAAGCGGGTCAAAGTCCCGTTGTTCGAGTTCACCTGTCGTTATTTCGATTTAAGTGAATTAATCATTGCGAATGTTGCTCAACGGAAACTTTGCCCTTTCCTTTCTTCTTTCGTTTTTAGCACAGGTTTTTTATATAAATAAATGTATTGCTTTTTCAACCCAATAAGAATTTCAAATCGTTTACTTAACACATCGAAATCGATAAATATTTATTGAAGTTTGGTTTTTACCTTACGCTTAGCAAAAATATCAGCAGTAATCCAAACTTGAAATACACGTGCATTATTGTTTAATATTTGTTTATCGTTATTGGTTAAGCTTTGTTTTCACTGCTTCTCCAAGGCGTGTTTGCTTTTATTTGTGTTTATCTGTTGGATTTCATTTCATTTTCCTCGCATTTGCCAAACTTGATGTGAAAATGTTTAGGCTGAAAATAGATTTGATTAATTTTTCAGTTGTTTATTTTTGCCTTGGTTTTTCACTTTGCACTTTTAATATTGTTCTGTTTTGGTTTATCTTTATAGTTGTACGCGTTGTTTCTATTTGCATTTGCCGGTTTACTTGTGCCAAAAACTAAATAATTATTTCTTGCTGGCTTTTTGCTCCGCTCGCACGAACTTTTCCACTCGCTTGTCGACTCTCCAATGAGCAAAAAATTTCTCAAACATATGCGGTGGAGCAACTAAACAGGTGTGTGTGCGCTTGTTCACTCTCTTAAAAGAGGACAGTAGCCCCAGAGAGGTAGCCCCATTATCTCTCTTTCTTAATCGCTCCCATGTTTTGTTTAATGCAGGGGTGCTCAACGCCTATGCACCGAGTGCACTTTTGTTTTTGTAGAGCTCTGTGCTTATGGGTAGTGCGCCCCTAAGCACCGTGCCTATGGGCTTCGATTTGCATGCGAAACAAAAACAATTTTGCTTGTTTCTTCATTACATCTCTGTCCGTCGTCACGCTTATCTGATCGCAATGTCTTTTGTTTTTGTTTTTTCCTCGAGCACATGCACTGAAACTTATCTTTCTGTCTGCGTTGGCTTTTGATTTATTTCGTGGTGGACCATCGAAAGTGTAAGGTTAAATTTTTTGGCGGATCACAATGTGTGATGAAATAGAGAGCAGTTTTTTTAGCATAAACTTTAAATGCGAAGTACAATGCGTAAAATGCTTCGTAGTTCTGGAGGTAAGAACTTTTTTTTCTCTCAGTGCACAGCTGCGCCCCAACACAAACGCGCCGCTACATATGTACACGTTTTCTTGTGGATGTGTTAGTAAACGCACTGCCATAAGACGATCTTGAGCACCCCTGGTTTAATGTTTAGCCATTTTCGCTAATCTTATCAGTTTCGGATTCTCTCGTTCTAACACAAGTTTAACACAATTTTGATTGACATATTAATTGTAGTATTTAAAACAGTCTTTAAATATTAGCACGTTTTTAGTATAATGAATTTAACTACACTTTTGGACACCATTTATAAAACACCATTGATTGTGTAGAAAATAGTGCTATCACTTTAAAAAGAAGTCAAACCATTTACATTTTCATTGAGTCATCACAACAGCGTCGCCTATTTATTTTTCAACATAATAAAAAAAGAATACTTATTTAATTTATTTGTTAAAAATGTTTAAAATTAAAACTGCTCAGGAAAATGTACTTTAACTTTCCTGTTCTATTTCCAAACTAATTAAATTTATTTCCCCCTGTCGGATTTATATAGTTGTCGAGCATTTTGAACTTTGATTTGTAATTATTTTATAAGTCGGTCTGTCCTTTCGAAAACAGTTGATGTATCTTCACAACTTTTTACATAATTTACTGGAAAAGTTTAACGCGAACAGCTAGCTGAATCATTCCGATTAATTTAGACGTGATTTGAGTGATAAGTTTGTTTGAATATTTAAAAGAACCCGCTTGATTCACCGATTAGTGAAGCAAAACTCTTGTTTTTATTCCGTTCCATTGGCCTTTGTGTTGTGATCACTGTGTACGATTATTATAAGCTTTGTTTTATCGCCTAGAATATGTTGACCTTTAGTCCATTGCGTTTGTTAGGAAAGACTCGCGTTGTTCTCTATTTGTTTATAAGTAGAAAATCGTAGAACACACCAAAGTTTTTTATTTAGTTTGATTTGGGCTTTTTTCGCCCTTAAATTGTACCAAAAATTATCAACCAAATTGAACTGTTTTAGACTTTTAAAGCGCGTAGCGGAATACCGTGCGATCCGTGTGAGCGTCGAATTGAAAATGAGCCAAGAATGAACCCGCAAAGAGAAATACTGTCGAGGACTGAAAATAGTCGACTCTTAGCTTTCAATGCTCTCTTTATGTCATTATCTGGAAAGAAAAAAAACAGAGAACCCCAATTGTTGTTAAATTACGCAAGTGCATTTTCCAATAAATCGCTGATTCATGACCACTTGTTGCCGGGAAAAAAAATTTTAGTTTGGTCTGGTATTGCATTTATTTTAATTATTAATAACGCAGAAAAAAACCCTATCCAAAGCGAGTGTTTCCCAATTTCTTTTTGGAACTTTTACTTTTATATTTATGTATTGCTATAGCCTGATGTCACTTTACATGTCAATGACTCGTTTAATGTTCTTTTTCCCTCGCTTCCCTTCTTGGCTTTTGCGATTTCACAAAAAACGAGTGGAGTGAAATCTTTTGTCATTTCAATTTGGCTGTTTAATTGCCTAATGTTTCTGTTGTTGCTGCCATTGCTGGCTTTGTTTGCTCATTAAACTGTAAGTGGTCCATATATTTTCTCATGGAAAACAAAAATCCATAAAAACGTTCGTAAATGTGTGTAACACGCTTTGTGGGTTTTAGTTGTGTGCTTCTGACGAATTCTATAGACATGTCTTTGATTGGCGGCCCCAAGGTCAACAAATCGCAAAATCCTTTTTGGCAACTTGCTCGGGCCAAAATAACGGAAAGACAGGGGTTCTCTTAATTTACATTTTGACGAGGGTAGTTTTGCAATTTATTGTTCGAATCTAAAGTCACACACATGTGTATTTCCGAAGGGAGGTTTGAAACAAAAATTAGTGATATAACTAAAATTAAAAAAATTTACAAAATTCTATATACGTATAAATATATATTTAGTTTGGCTTATCATCAAGCAATGCCTTTCTCTTTGTTACCGAAGTAAACCGGAACTTAACTTGTGTTAGATAACCGACAAAAGAAAAAGGCAGCTGATTGATCTCTAAATACATTTCTCTAATTCCTGTTCTTGATTCAGAAAACGAAAAAAATCATATTCGCGTTGACCTTGCCGTTTTTCTATGATTGTCGTTTGGACAAAAGATGAGCAGCTGCATGGGGAAAGACAGCTGGAAAAACTGTCTGAATCTCGGGGCTCTTGAATTTTCGCACTGATTGGATTTAATTCATTTGCATGGGTCGCGTTTTGCTTTGAGGTCTTTGGGGTTCCAAAAGATTTATGTGCGCTGAACTCTTGACTCGTGCTCGAGGAAGAAGCTCTCTTAGTTTAATTTCCCACTTAACTATGCTCATTTTCTCTTTTTGACTTTCTCTTTGCAGTATTGTAACGGCGGCGATCTTGCAGATTATCTGAGTGTTAAAGGGACACTGAGCGAGGATACCGTAAGACTCTTCCTCGTGCAACTAGGTAAGATCGGAATATTTCTGAGTTCTATAGTATGTACTTTAAATATTTCAGAGTCTAACAAAAAACTTTAACAATCAAACCAAATGATAAATTTATCACTACCATGTTTTAAAAGTCTAACAAATTTAAAAATTAGACATTTTTTTTTATAACTATTTCTAATTTTATTTTTTGTTTTCTTAATTTCAGCTGGTGCTATGAAGGCACTTTATACCAAAGGAATTGTGCATCGTGATCTCAAGCCACAAAACATTTTGCTATCGCACAATTATGGCAAGATATTGCCAGCTCCATCGAAAATAACCCTGAAAATTGGTAAGATAAAGGAAACTATTATTTCTCATAATAAAACCCACATAACCCGCATAAACTTACAGGAAAACAAGTTTTCGCTTTCTTAAAAACTTTTCCCTTTTATGAACATGATTTTCGTTAACGAACTGGTTATTTTTGAGTTGTTATTTAAATGGTAATGATTCTAATAGATTCAACATTTCTTTTTTACAGCCGATTTTGGGTTTGCTCGTTTTCTGAACGAGGGCGCCATGGCAGCCACTCTGTGCGGATCTCCCATGTACATGGTAAGTAATCTAAGCAAACCCAAAAAGAATTTAAATATTTGTAATATATTATCATATATTTAACATTTATAGGCTCCCGAGGTGATCATGTCACTGCAGTACGACTCCAAGGCGGATCTCTGGTCGCTGGGAACGATTGTCTACCAGTGTTTGACTGGCAAGGCGCCATTCTATGCACAAACGCCCAACGAACTGAAGTTCTACTACGAGCAGAATGCCAACCTGGAGCCCAAGTAATATATTTTTGTTATATTTACAAAAGAAAGATGTTCATTAACCCGCTTTCCTTGAAGAATTCCAAATGGGGTGTCGCCGGACTTGAAGGATCTGCTGCTGTGTTTGTTGCGTCGCAACGCCAAGGACCGCATCTCCTATGAGAGCTTCTTTGTGCACCGCTTCCTTCAGGGGAAGAAGGCGGCCGCGTCGCCAGGTGAGCCAAGCCAAGCAGCCAACCTGCGACGGCGAGTCTCTAAGAGTGGTGTTCTTGCAGTTGACATGCCACCGCTGGGCGGAACCCCGCCCGCCAAGGCCAAGAGCCCCCTGCAGCAGCAGCTGGAGCAGGAACTGCAGCTGGTCAAGCTGGCCGAGCAGCAGCAGAAGGAGCGCGAGGAGCAGGAGGCCCAGGAGGAGGAAAATACGGGTAGGGTTTCCTTAGTAAATATTTCTTATGTTTACTCTTTATGTAAAACAAGAATTAACACATCTGAAAAATGTACTAAAGTATGTGTTAATACACTAATTAGCACTCAAGCTTTGTTTATCAAACAAGCGATAATTTTAATAATTAACGAAATTAGTTTAACCAAGTGAAAATAGGACACTTAAAGTGTTAACAACATAAACTGTAAAACCGAACATTTTGAAAAATGTTCTTTATGTTTTTTAGATTTAAGAAATACATAATTATAACCACTAAAAGTTTTCCACTGAAACACTAAAATTACTATTTCGTCGTATAAATTGTTTCCCAAAATGGTTTTAAACTTTTAAAATAACTCTTAAAGTAATTACTTACTCATAAAAATTATGTTTCATAATATAACAAATGTTATTTGTTTCTTTTTCTAGTCTCCGTGGTGGCCAACCCGGCCATTTGTGCCACCATCACCAACGTGGGTGTCCTCTGCGACAGCGAGAACAACAGCGGATCGTGCAGCTCCCACGAGGACTCCGATGACTTCGTGCTGGTGCCCAAGAACCTTCCCGAGGACCAGCGTCAGGGTGTGACCCAGGGCCAGGGCCAAACCCCGACCCAAACCCAGCCCGCTTCCGGTGGCCAGCGTCCACAGCCGCAACAGAATCAATCCAGTCCGCCACGACCCAGCAGTCTGCCCATCTCGGAACCCAAGCCAGTGCCGGCACCAGCTCGTCGGCAGGCGACGGCAACGGGGGTAACTCCAATCCGAGCAGCTCGCCTGCCAGGCAGGGTTCCGGCCCCTTGACGGTGGCCACTCTGGGCGGCCAGCAGATACCCCGATCGCAGCCGATAAGCGTGAAGCAACCGCGACCGGATCAGCGCAAGAGCAGCGTGAGCAGTGACATCAACTCGATCTCGCCGCCGGCGGTGCAGTTTGCCATTGGAACGCCGCCGACGAGGATGCGCTCGGCGTCGGGAGGATCGCTGTCGGAGACACCGCCGCCGCATGCTCCCAGCACCTGGCAGGTGTCGCCGGGACACTCGCAGTCGCCGTTGCGGAGGAGCGGCAACAGTTCGCCGGTTCTGCCATCTGCAGCGCTCACCAAGCTGCCCACTTTAGGCAGTCCCACAATGCTGGTGGCTCCGGGATCGCTGGGATCGATTGGCTCGGCGGGCAGTGGATCGGAGAACAATAACCAGCATCATATGCTGGGACCGCGGGCGTTCACGCTCCCTGAACTGGGCGCCACTGGGGGGCTGCACAGTCTGCTGGACACCGGAGCCGGCGGTGGCGGAGAACCACATGCATTCCAGGCGCCCGAACTCTCGGAGGAGACGCTCATGGATCGCGAACACAACGAGACGCTGTCCAAGCTGAACTTTGTGTTGGCCCTGACCGATTGCATCCAGGAGGTGGCCGATTCGCGCTGTGCGCCGCTCTCCACGCTCATGGTGGCCGGCAGTCAGTCGGCGGCGGCAGCTGCGGCGGCGGCGGATGCCCAGCAGATACCGCCACACGCCCCGGAGCACTGCAAGCGGGCCGAGCGCCTGGTGCTGCTCGTCCGGGGACTGCAGCTCCTCTCGTCCGGCATGAATCTGGCCTCCCAGCAGTTGCGCAACGGCCAACTAAAGCCGTCGTCCAATGTGAAGAATGGTGAGTGGAAGGAATCTTTAATTGGAGTTAGATCTTCTTTAATGGTTATGGTTTACCCAACAGCTTTGCTCACCATGAACGCCAAATACCGGAGCATGCTGTTCGAATCGAAGCGCCTCAATGGCAGCGGTCTGTTGCAGAAGGCGAATGCATTTAACATAACAGCGGACAAGATTCTGTACGACTATGCACTGGATATGGTAAGGAATCGGTTGCCCTATCATTATTTATATTTTTTTTATATCCTAACTAATGAATCTCTTGTATAATTTTAGTGCCAAGCGGCTGCTTTGGATGAGCTATTGAAGAACACCAAGAATTGCTTCGAGCGCTACAACACCGCACACATTCTGCTGCATTCGTTGGTGCAAAAGTGCAATCATCCGCAGGACAAAATGCTGCTGAACAAATGTAAGTCTCCAGAACTCAAAAACAATTTCACAAATTACTATAATTACTATTGAATTACAGATCGCGATGCCGTTGAAAAGCGTTTGAGCATATTGCAGCAGCATGGCTACATCTACGTGACCGATGAGAATGCCTAAGTATTCGGAGCAGAAAGAAAAGAGCTTTATTCCAACCATGAAGCACCGGCAATCTTCACAACATCAACAACATTTCCTTAAGTTATTCACCGTTCTTTCGTTGGGAGTGCAAACATGTGATTGAAACAAAAACTACACTATCCATACATAGACATAGACCGACAAATAATTTAAAACACCATCCCACAAATCATTTCTGGCGTTCTCAGTACCCCAAAACAAACAGTCCAATGTAAATAGTTTGAGCTATGCAGATGTATGTAGTTTTTGTTTTTTCTATATAATTTTCGGCCCGTGCGGCAACCATAATTGTTAAAGCTTATATCGAGTGCAGATGCAACATGAATAAGGGCAGATAAGAGTCCATATAGTCGTAAGATAACCATAATATTATATATATATATATGTTTACATATATATATATATGTACAACACGAAAGCTAACCAAGCAAACCACATTACAAAACGTAAAGGGCAATATGCAAGCCAAACTCAGTTTAATTCTATATTTAAAGGAAGCAGCGGCAGAACCCAGATCCATATATCATGTGCTAGAATTTTCCCCCGTAGTTGTAATGCCTATTTTCTTATTTAACAATCTAATATTCCCCCTATTATTATTATTATATTACAAACATACCATACAATATTTATGGCTGCACTACACAAACATGTTTACAATGTGCTATGTTCATAGTTTTTAGTTAGGTATTTTCTAAACAAAACAACTTTAAAGAGGTATTTAATTTTATGACAAGAAATTTATATTTTAAAGAAACTTTTTAAGTTTTTCTACAACCGAAGCCCACAAAACTTTCGAAAAAATCTATATATGTATATGGTATACAAAATGAGAGAAACACATAAAAGAGTGTATAAAAAATGGAAAACAAAATATCGATTTGAACTAATAAAAATTACTAAGGAAAATCGTATAAATTAATGCGTGTTTTAAAAATGGCTGGTGATTAATTAGAAAGTTTATTTCTTGGTTAATTATATTTTTATTTAGGCATTGACTTGTGTAAAAATTGTAGAAAATAATGTTCAACGTAAGATTTTGACGTGATGCACAACTATCCTTGGCGCATGCCGCTCCTATTTACATGACTTTGGACATAGAGACCATTTGTCGGAATTATAGTCACTCCACCCGCCTGCCATTGTCCACTGTAGGGGGAGCTGAATTGGGACGGACCAGTTCGACTATATCCTGGCATAGTGGAAACCGGTGACGTTGGGTAGGTAAAATTTCCCGGCGGAGGAGTCAGGTTACCGCTTACTGGAGGACCTAACCAGCTTTTGGGATCTACAGTAGTTCCGCCAGATTTCCTTGGGCTCCCGATGGTCGGGTACGGCTTTTTCTTCTGGTCCGTTGGCTTCGGAGGATTAGGACTCTTGTTGCCACAGCTGCCGCACGGACTGCAGCAGTAATTGCAGCAATTACGACAGCCATTGCAGCAGTTCGCGTAGTAGTAGTAACAACCGGTGCAGGGATTGTAGTAGTAGGACCAAGGACACGGGTTCCAGCAGGAGGTGCAGCAGGGATTTGCAGGACAAGAAGCTGGAGGACATGATTGTTGAGGACAAGATTGTGGAGGACAAGGTTGTGGAGGACAGGAAGGTGGAGGACAAGGAGGAGCCTCCCCTTGCTGCGCTGGTGGTTCTGGCTGATTTCTGAGAAAAAAAGTGAATTAAATAAAATATTATTATGCTTTTAATATAGCTTTGCCTAAGATTCTTCAATGGCTTGATGACAGTACTAGGCCAAGTGTTATACACGTATAAGATTTTAAATTTGAGACAGTATTAGGCCAAGTGTTATACACGTGTTAAAAATGAATTATCGATTATATGCAATGTAAAGCTCTGGTGACACTAATGAGAAAGAAGAAGAGTGAATTGAAAAGAAGACGAGCCATAAAATACAAAATTAAAACGCAAAACAAATAAAATAATTAATTTAAACTTGAATACTTTGTTTTACAACACGTATACAAAAAGTAAAGCCGATTTATAAGACAACTTACTCTGGCAAATTGGCAATGCAGTTGCAACTGCAATTTTCATCCTTTGAAGGAGCCTCTTCGGCGGGCTGGTCCTTCTCCACAGCCACTGGGGGAGTTGACCCATCTGCTATTGGCTCCATGGCGCTGCTTCCACGCTTGGACTTATTCCGTGACTTGGAGCGTTCATCCGATTTCTTGTGCTTTTTGGCAGGCGGTTTCGTTGATTTTTTGCGCTTATGCTCAGGCATGAGGATATCGCACCACTTTTGCAGATCACACGGAGGACAGGACTCCGCGGCACTGCAGTTTAAACGGAAAACATTACCGCATTGTCAACTATTCGGTGTTGTGAAAAAGATGTGTGTGTCTGTGGTGCACTGTGTGTGAAGTCTACTTCTAGAGCTACTTAAGCTCGGAAAAACCATTAGACATTAAACTCACCGGCTGAGGAGCTCGGAGCATTCCATGTCCTGCTTCTTATCTTTTTCTGACCTCGAGTTTCCGGAAGGTGGATATTCCGCTTCTTCACTAACATAATAAGGATAGTATTGATTGTAAGGACTAAACCGAGTGCAGTAACATTTAATGGGTTCATTGGTAGTAGGTTCTTCCATTGGAGGTTTACTTGGTTCTCTTGAAGTTTTATTTCTTTCGGATCGAGACCTTTTACTATCTTGACGTGGGTGGTTGCCATTGGAAGAATCTTTTTGAACTGTGAATGTTGTATCCATTGGTGGACAATTTGCGGAATTGTAGGGATAATATTGATTTGATGGGTTAAAACCCATGCCCACATTCTGTTGGTTAGAATGAGTATTCAATTGGGGTTCTCTACTCGAGGGAGCTCCCATCGATCTATTTCGTCTTCTTGGGTCGTTTGGCCTTTCATCTCCTTGTCCCGATGATGACTTAGATTGGGAAACTGACCTAGGATCTATATTCCTATTACTATAATTTTTTGTATATTGCTGGTTGTTTGGTTGATTATAATAAGGAGCTTCACGGTTTTTGGTAGGATTACCCAAAGGACCTTCACTGGTTTCAATGTGCTTTTTTGGGGACTGTGACCGGTTATCATTTTCACGCACTCGAACTGAAGATGCCACTGATTGGGAAACTTGCCTGGAATATAGTGTTTTATCACCGACATTATGTTTATAACTCTGATTGTTAGTTTGCAAGGAAACGACTTGTTTTGGTTGATTATTAGCCACATTTCTTTGTAATTCAGTATTACCAACTTGTGGAACTTGACTCGCAATGGGGTTATTTAAAGCAGGTGGCATTGGATTTACTGGATACGGGTTAAATGTTTGCTGAGCGACATTAAATGGATAACATTGATTATTTGGCCCACAACCCATCCCAATACCCTGACCAAATTGGTTATAAGGAGGACCTCCTCTGGCAACATTGTGAGTTGTAACTGATTGCTGATTTTCGTAATGGAATACTTCTCCGGTACAGGGATTAAATCTATCTAAATATTTTGTGGGAAGACCTGCTGCCGGGGGACCACTTGGACTTGGGGAAGGAGCACATTCCTGACCTGCCATAGAAGTCTGTGCTTGTAGAGGAAATTGAGGACCAGGAAATCCATAACTTCCATATTGGGTAGCTATCATTGGAAATACCATTGGACTTCCTGCCGGTAAACAGGTTCCATAATACGGTACGACACCAGGTTGTCCTGGTTGAAAGGTCGGAACTGCTCCGTTAAATCCGGGTCCGTAAGCTCCTGGAGCTCCATTTAATCCGGGCTCGCATGCTCCATTTCCTGTGGGACCATCCTGTTTGCAAGGATCGTTCAATCCATTCCTGCTATTTTGTTCGGGATTTTCCGGTTCGCATTCATCCCCACGATTTTTATGCTCACAATTTTCCTTGCAATCATCCACACACCGACCATTACATTTATCCTTGCACGCTGAACAGCTTTTTGATCTTTTCTTTTTCTTCGACGACTTTGGATCCTTTAGAAGAAAACTAGGTGGCACCATGTCCGAGAACTTTTGAAACTCCCCTGGGAACACTACACGACATTTTCGAGTATCAAGGGAGCACGATCGTGGACAACAAAAGGGTCTTAGGCAACACAGGCATCTGTAGATGAGGTAATTAAATAAAACGCCGAAGACATAAATCATAAATTATTCCATACCTGTCATGACAGCTGATGCACCTCCTTAAAAACCGACATGGATACATTTTGAACGTAAACGCTTAGCCTTAATCTCCTCCTTCCGTTTTCCTTCAACTTTCCACTTTTAATCATGGCCAATTACGAGAAACTCACAAAAAACATTTATAGTCAAAATTGTAAAAAAGTATTCGAAACTATTTTTGATGTCTTAAACTAAGGCTTTTATGTTAAAAATTTAAAGAAAATTTGACAATACAAAATTAAATGTCATGCCATAAAGCAAATTTAAACGGAAGTATTGTACAATTGTTTGAAAACTCGTGCTGCTTTAAAAGTGAAAAATGCCCAACGAGTTGCGGACAACTAGGCCAAGTCCTTATTGGCGTCATGCCAGTCCGTCGAGGAGAACAATGGCGGGCAAGATGGATTTATCACCGGAGCAGGCAAATGAGCGCATTGGAAACCAATTGCTGCGCACCCTGGTCCACAGTCTTCCTTCAAAGATAGAAACAACACGATCCCGATCCTCCTGCCCATCAACACTTCGACATCGCAGACAACCTAGTGGCTGCAGATCCCTGGGAACTCCGGAATCAGGGATTAAAACCAAACGACCCATTAGATTGAAGGCGGGAATGCCGGTTCAACAAGTCGAGAACAGCGATCGAACTAGACAGTCCTATTTGGACTCCATCCAGCGAATGAGTGACTCCCCAACAGCCAGAGCAAAAGCCAGAGAAGAGGAGTTCGAAAGGACACCGGAAATGGTAAATGAAGTAGACACCCCAAGATCCAGAGAAAGCCTAAATCTAGAAAGCGAAAACAACTCATATCCCGAAAGCAAAAACAACTCACGTCCGGGAAGCAAAAACAACTCAAATCCAGGAAGCAAAAACACCTCAAATCCCGAAAGCAAAAACAACTCAAATCCCGAAAGCAAAAACAACTCAAATCCTGGAAGCAAAAACAATTCAAATCCCGAAAGCAAAAACAATTCAAATCCAGGAAGCAAAAACAACTCAAATCCAGAAAGCAAAAGCAATTCACTTCGTGAATCCCAGCAAAGTTTAACACAAGAAACTCCAATAAATTCAGTGGAGGGTAATCAAAACAACTTGAATCCAGAAACCAATCAAAACTCAAATCCAGAAACCAGAAACAATTCACTTCGTGAATCCCAGAAAAGTTCTGTACAAGAAACTCAAAGAAATTCAGAGGAGAGTAATCATATACAAACCCCAACAAATTCCATGGCAAGTAGTGTGTTTAATAGCAAAGGAAATGTTAAAATCATCGAGGAACCGAAGGAATCAAAGCCAGTGGAACAGAAACCATTGGAGGTTTCGAACTCCAAGATTTATCCATGTTTTCGGGGAGAATATCCTACGCGACATCGTCCTAGTTCGTTTCAATGGTTCCAGGCAGGAGTTCCCAACTGCGGAAATTTCGTTACCATCTGCGATCAGGAAGAACAAGTTATGGGCGAGGCGGAAATTATTACCGCTTGCGAGGTCACAGAGGCTCACTTCCTGAGTATCGATTGTGGGGATGATAATACGAACAATGCAACACCATCGCAGTCCAAATGCAAGGGGTGCCAATCGCAATGGAACTGCCAGGGTCAGAAAGCATTTGGATGTCCTCAAAAGCCACAGAATGGAGGGTGGCCTGGATCGTGCTATGGCCAGCAAAGGCCTTCTTGCTTTCAGCAACAACAACCTTGCCTTCAGCAACAACCATCTTGCTTTCAGCAACAACAACCATGTTTTAAGCAGCAACAACCTTGTATGCAACAGCAAAAACCTTGTATGCAACAGCAAAAACCTTGTATGCAACAGCAACAACCTTGTATGCAACAGCAACAACCGAAATGCCGGCAAAATCAGCCATGCAACAATAGGCCAAAAGGATGTCTTAAATGTCAAAATCAGCCAATGAACTCTTTTGCCTTCAATCAACAACTGTCAATGCAGCAACAAATGAATTCTCATCAACCAACTCAGCAAATGCAGCCGCAGAACATGTATTCCTTTCAGCAAAGAAACATTACCGAACAGGAGCAACCAGCTATGCAACAAATGCAACTGCAGATGCAACAACCACAACAAATGCAACAGATACGGAATATGTTTTGCTGTCAGCAACAAAACCCAATTGAGCAGCAGCAAACAGAAATGCAACAAAGGCAGTTTCAGATGCAACAATCGCCACAGAATATGTATTCCTATCAGCAAGAAAACCCAATTGAGCAGGAGCAACGTGTAGTTCAGCAAAGGCAGTTGCGGTTGCAAGAAACGCCACATGTGCAACAGCAACCCATTCAGGAAAACAACTATGGCCTCACTGAAATGCTGGCCGAGGAGCTGAAGCAGCAAATGCTGGCGGCGCAGGCTCAGATTGCCCAGATTCAACTGCAGTTGAATAGTGCCTGTGGGGCAACCAGAGTGCGGCAGATGCATGTCATCACTCAGAATGCCGCCGAAGTCCCAGGTTGGGCGCCAGAAACTCAGTTCATGGGAGCCTTAGGAGAAGAACCAAATGAGGGCGATCCTTACGCAGGAGCTTGCGATGAGGATGGCAATAGTATTCCGAATTTCTCAATACTGTCGGGGCAGCAACCTTTTCCATGTCCAAGTTTGGGTTCGAACAATTTGGGAAGGGATAGATCCCCACCCACAGACCCTCAAACACCCGAACAAGACATGCAGCATGGGCTGTATCCTATGGCCTTAGCGATGAGCACTGAAACTCCCCACTTTGACCAACAGCCAGAGTCCTTATTGCCCCAGCAAATGAGTCCCATTCAGGAGCAACATCCGGAGTCAAATTTGTCCCAGCAAATGACTCCCGTTCAAGAGCAACATCCGGATTCAATTTTGCACCAGCAAATGAGTCCTGTTCCGCAGCAGTTCCCAATGCCACCTTCTCAATCACAGCAAATTCAGCAAATGCCTTTCAATCACCAGCAACAGCCAATGACTTCTTCCCATCAAATTCAGCAAATGCCTTTCAATCACCAGCAAAAGCCCAGGAATTGCCAGCAAAAATGCGGTAGATGCCCACCTTGTCCGCCTCAAAAGCCAACACCTTGTCAGCAGAAATCTCAGCGGTCATGCTGCCAACAACATCAGCAACCTGTGAGATGCAATCAAGCTTCTCCATCCAAGTCGTGTACGAATGCCATAGCCTTCTTTCCAAGTTGTTGCTGCCAGCGATATGCTCAAATGCGATTCATGATGCCGCGATGTTGGCCACGCTAATAACTTACAACCTCCAAAGTTTGTAGAGTAACTCACCTTGAATAGAGCAAAATAATGTCCTTCAAGGTGAGATACTTTACGAATAAAGGTTCTAAAAAGTGCTAAGTTGTGCAATTCTTCCGTTTAAAATTTAGGCGAGTCAATGGAGTCTGAAAACTTGCTTTCAATAAAGTTTAGATTTAAAACCTTACTATTTGAGTTTTTTGTCAATGTTTAGAAATCGAAATTCAATTTAAAATTCAAAATTATCCAAGCTTTTGGGATTTGAAAACGACAAGCTGAGAGCCAAAGCTGCACGTCCCATTTCGTTCAAATTACAGATTTTTTTATTAAAGGTATAGTCGGAGGGGAAAGAAACCCTTTTGAGTTTATATTTATCGAAGAATGTGTAATTTAAATCAAGTGTGCGGCGGTTTGCAGAAATGCCACTATTCATGCTGTCGTCAAAAAATGCATAATTGCTTTGGCAAAAGATATAAGCCTTGCTGTTGTTGTGGGGATAAATTATTGGATATCGATGGTACGGAGCAAGAAGCATATCCTCCCCTAAACTGGGTATTAAAGTGTCCACTTTTACAAAAAACACCAAATGCACCAAAGATGGGTGGTAATAGGAATTCGGAGTATATAAAAAATGTTGCAAAAAAGAGACAAGTTGGGAAAGTAGCTCCGCAAATGAATTCAACTGGTAAACCTTTTGGTAAAATCCATAATAAAATTAAAACAAATGTTTCATTTCTTTTCAGGTAAAAAGATTTCTAAAGTGAGTCCAAAAACAAGTAGTTCTTTAATGAATCAGGACAGCCAAAGAAATAAGGTAGGAGTTTTAAGTTATAAAATATTTTAATGTGTTTTGTAAGTAATCTTCTATTCAGGGATCGTGCTTACGTTCCAATTCTAAGGAAGAAAAACTATTATCCAGCTCAAGATTATGTGCCTGTACATCACGAAAAGCAAATTCATTTAAACCTGTGCAAAAGAACCAGAAGCCTTTGGAGGAAAAGGCTACGAAAAGAAAGTGTCGTAAACAAAAGCCGGAACAAATGGAAAATCGAAGAAGTTTGTTAAAATCAAAACAGAAAAACAAAAAAAATATAAGTAGTAAAATGATTACAAGATCAACTGGCGGAGATGCAGATGCAGATGGTATTTGGTGAGTTGTCTTCTGTTATATACAACTAATTCCTAACTTAACAAAAACCATCTGTTTATTTAGGTTCGATTGCAATTTACCTTTTCGAGTGAATATTCCGTTGCCTATTAATATGAATAGTCTCTTTGGCAGCCGGTCATTTTCTAGCAAAGCTAACTCTGAGAACTGTAGAGCTCTAGTCCCTGCAGGAAATATCCAGGAGGATAGAAAGTTAGAACTTCCTTGGCTCTTTGATTTCACATTGACGCAAGCTTACCAACCGCCAACTTTAGAATCTAATTCTTTATCCAGTAAATCAATAACTTTTACGAGAAAAAAAAGGACTTAGGCGAGCTAAAAAATCTTGTCCATGCGAAATATCCACTCAAACAATTGAAGAAGAATCCGATCCCGTCTTAAGTTGTCTGGAGCAAATTAGAAGTCAATTGGCCGAAAAATCATTTGAAGAAAAGAAAATCTTTCGTTGCTTCGCCGAGAAATCAACAAGTGTTAGGATTCTTCAAAAGGAAAAAAATACAACGGATGTGAAACTTAATCATGATGACAAAAATGAACAACAAACAACATCAACAACGAAAAAAATTTCCAAGCCCAAGAAAATAAAAAAGGATTTACCAAAATTCCGACCTAAATTAAAATTTGGCATTGAACCTCGAAAAATATCAGAAAGCAGAAACGAAAGTAAGTTATCCAATATTGCAGAAGTAACGCCATCTTATCAACCTGAGGTCGCTGAAGAATCCAAGAAACCTGACAATACAGATTCTATTTTAAAATCACCTCCTCGGATAACTATTTCACCAAGTTTACCACATTTTATAAAAATAATGCCCTGGCCAGCCTTACAATCTGAAGAACCGAAGCCTGATAGCAAGATGTGTACTTCAACTACAATTAAAGACCCAATAATTGATAACCAACTGATATCTGTAGACCAAGAAAAATACTGTTTGCCAAAAAATGAGATCAAGAAAAATTCCAATGCAAGTTTAAAGTATTACCAAATATCTATGCCACAAAGTGTAAAACAAATACCACGGCAGTCAAGTCAAAATCTCCAGGTTAACAAGTCAATGAACAGGAATAGGTTTGATTCTTCTAAAGAGTCCTTAAAAACAACAAAAACTATAAGCTCGTACGAAGCATCTGATAAAACGAGTAATTCTCAACCATCCAAACGCCAATTTCCAAATTACTTCTTATCAAAGAAAAATATAAATAAGGACAGCAAAGAATCCTTCTCATCATCGGAAAAATCGTTTGAGCATAAATCTACTAGAAGTTCTGAAACTATAATTTCAACTTCTCTTTATTCTTTTAGTTCGAAATCAAATAAATCACCGGAAGAAAGCGAAATTATTAGTTTACAAAAGTCTCTTAATAATATACGATGTGGAAAACCTAATCGATATCAAAATAATCGCATAAGTTCTGGCGGAGAAATTTTTTCCAGAAGCCCATCTAGCTTAAATGAAGTAACTAAAAACAGAAGCTCGGATAAAACACAACACAATTTGTCAAAAGGCCTAAGAACAAACCAGGAACAATTGATGGTAAATAAAAGGGGAAGTGATATTAGTAATCATTCAAGAAAATCGGCTTGTCAAAGAAACTCTCAGCCAAAAAGTTTACAGAACACAAAGGAATCTGAAAAGGATATTTATGCTCCCAATAGCCAGAACAATAAAAAGTTGGAAGTTATGAGGAAAAGTTCCAAAAGTAGTTTGTCAGAATCATTTCGGACTGTTGAAAAAAGTTGCACCAGTAAGAGCTCTGGTCAAAACTATTCGAGTAATAAAGATTCTCAAAGTCAGATAGATGAGGAAACTTTACCTGTGACTTCAAAGAGCGAAATTGAAGAACAATTGAGTAATATTCCTGTTTGGAAAAATACAAATATGCAACAATCAGAACATAAAAATGTAAAGAGGCCCCGCTCACAATCGGCCCCGGAATATTGGATACTTGAACGTGTTAAAAGCGAGAATACCAATAGTTCTTATAAATCAGCTATTAGCAAGCACACAGCGTCGCTTTTCTCTAGAAATCCTAGAAAAAGTCCTGAAAATGTACTTGTACTTCAGGACGAAACCTGCGAAAGCGAAACTGATGAATATGAAATGGGTGGCTACACTTTTTGCGAAATGGGAAATGATTGCAAGGAAACCTCACAAACTACTTGTTCTGAATGTAAAACTGCAGATTATAGTATAAATGCCAATATATTAAAAGAACTCAAAAATCAAGAAGAATCTTTAAATTCTACCCAAGCACAGGATGCAAATTGTATCCCAATAGATGTGATGTGGACACAGCAGGAGCAAATAAGGTAAGTGATTTAATAATAAATTTTGGATTTTCTAAATAATTTAATATCTAGAATAAGTCCACCCATAGTACTGGTGCCTTTTCGTGTTAATAGCCAGGAAATGGTAGGCGTTTCCGAACTGAAAGAGTGGTGAGAAAAATTCGTATTTTATAGATTATCAATTATTTTCTTAACCATTTGATATAATTTTTAAGGGAAAACCTACAGCTAAATTTAACTATGTTAAATTCTAACCAATTGCAAATGGCGACAGAAACTACAAAAAGAATTTTAACCAGGAATCAACCAAACCAGAATACTCCACCAAGTCGAGGGAATGGTGGCCATGTTTACGTTAACCAAGAGGAAAAGCCAATGAATTCAAATTTGAGTACTTCTGTTGTCCAGCCTCACAGTAAATATGAACAAAGTTCTTATTGTACTTGGACTGATGTTCCTATGAGTGAAAGGCATGAACCAAATGAGGAATCTAGTCCTTCACATACCAGACAGAAACCAACGGAATCGGAAATAGACCAAACATTTCACAGGATTCCCGAAGATAGATCAATTTCTTCAACTCGCTATGGACCTTCATTTAACACCAAACATCAAAGATCTAAAAAGGACAAATATACAAGTGAAAGTCGTTCGTCTTATCGACAACCTCAAGGCAATCAAGAGACATATTTCGAACAACCTAGTTCTCATAGTCAATCGGTTTACAATTATGATAGAGACAACCAAGATCTTCACCCCAGGGTACACAATTCTGCAAGGTATCCTACAACCCAATCAAATACTACCGGCTTAACATGGATAAAACCCGATGGAAATTCCGAGTTCGTAGCTCGATCCAATGCCACGATGAGTTCGACTGAGGTTGAAACCCTGATGCAACCACGAAAACTGCGCAGCAAGAAAAGTACGGATATTAAAAGCCGAGAAACTCCTATTGAGAACTCAGTTCTCCTTGAGACAAAAACGCCTTGCAATAGAGAAAATCTCATTGAAACTTGTGGACAACCTCCCAGTTACTTCCGTTCTCAGCAATATACGGGACTTCCCCCGAATCTCCAGCATGGATTTGTGGTATCACAGCAAACAGTTCAGTCGCTACCACCCCAGGTTTCTATGAGTGCTCCACAAAATACTGGTGAAAATTACATAATAGATCCACGAGATCAATTGAGAACTGTAAAGTCACCAGTTTTAGCACCAGTTATGCAGAGTTCTTTTCAGCCGCATCCAGGGCAGACTGCGAATCCTTACCAGCAAATAATCCGCATTTATCAGCCTGTTCAGGGTCCATGTTATCCTGCAGGTTTAAATTCTAACCATTCTGGCTGTCAATCATTAACAGAGAACATTAAACTTCTTCCGCCGGGATTCTATGATCAAACCGTTAGAAAGTATAATATATCACGCATGGACTCAAACTTTCAACCGCCTTCTTTGCGACCCGAAATTCTTCATTCGTTACAGGCTCACCAGCAGTGTTTTAGCGGACTCCCAGCTTATCCTTATAGCAATCAATTTCAACAGCAATTTGTAATGAATACAGTTCCATCCCCCAATCAACAATTTACATTGATGCAGAACCAGTATCAAGTTCAACAACAAAATCCACGAACGATGTTTTGCCCACAGCAAAATGTAAGATTGGATGACTTCGATCAGTCGGAATGTATCATATAACAAAATTTTCAATAAATTGAGTTAAAAAGCGTGCTTTTAGTGTTGTTTTTCAAAAGGGTAAAAATAATTTAGTAACGTAGTGCTATTTAAATTTAGTTTTTAGGGGTACCTTTTAAAGTTTTCCATTGAAAAAGTTTGTACATTTTTTGGCGCCCAAATTCAAAGGGAAACGAAAGGCAATGGAACAAAACTATCAGTATCGTAAAAAACCATAAAACGATTCCATAAAACGCGATAACATCGCAACCAGACTTACCACCGCTATTAAATTTTATCGATAAACGAAAACAACATTTGTTTATATGACTAATTTTAACTTACACTGAAGTATACGTAAATACACACGCTCACACTGGAAGTTCTGAATGGATATGAGTGTGGCCAATACAAAAACAATGGCCAACATTGTTGATAAGATAAGATAACTCCCATTTCCAATGTGTTTGCTGCTCTAATGCACATACTGTATCGCGCTGCGAATGATTCGAATTTGTTCAGCAAGTACGACAAGAATTGTCAGTAAACAATGGCAACTCACGCCGAGAAGGATTTTTACCACTTGGTACGTAAATTGTAGCTCCCAACTTTAACCGCCCAAAAAATGTGAACTACTTTATACACACACAAGTTGAATGCTTTCAAATGCGGGTGTTGTCATATACCGTGTGCAGTGTAAATAAGCAAATTCATCACATGTACAAACGTTTGTGCATACAGTCATCCGCGCCATTTAATTTGCATTAACATTTCACTTTAAGCCTGAATTTGGCCTTGAAACAGATCTTACTTGGGAGCACCAAATATCACTTAGTTTTCGCACGAATAGAGACACACATGCTAATTTAAAGTTTCTCCGCTGGTTGCGAGTGGCGGTGACCCAGAAAACTAGAAACTGCAATGAATGCTATGTGTGATCCACATCAACGTTTGTCAATGTTTAAATCTGCACACAAAGGCACCTGAACACCAGCGAGATAAGATGGGAAAGAACACTTTTTATTTATCTTTAGAATGCCGATCTTGAGATTACCTGGGTTTAGAAATTGAACTCCCATTCAAGTTGTACATTTTTCGAATTTATATATTCTTTAAAGCTTGTTTATGGTGTCCAATACAGTTTTACACACCATATAGTAGTATAATAATGAATCACTCTTCAACAGAAATTCCATTAGAAATAGTTTCGGTTGTTGCGTCAAAAGTGGTTGATATCTTGAAAAAAAAACCCTACTGATTGATAACAAAATTAATTATAAACAAAGCCGATACATTCTTAAATTCATTACATTACATTTTGTTTACCATAAAAACTACCAGAAAGTAAACAGCTTATCTTAACTTCCCGTTTCAGAACGTCAGCGTATCAAAAGCATTAAATGGCCTGGAAGCGCCACTTAAAACCAAACATGCCCGCTCCATTATTATTATGATCCACAAGGCCAAAGAGGCCAAAACATTCTGGATGATTATATCCCGGCAGCCTTTGATGCAGAGCAGATTTACCGCCTGGAAATTCTCGCATCTTCTGCACAAGGTCTTGCGAGAGGCCCATGAAAGTTCGATAAGGCATTCCCAGAGCCACAAGAAAATGATTCTGGAAGTGGGGAAAATGTGGGGACTTCTGCAGGACGATATCGGATGCTGTATACAGGCTTATAGCAAGCTTCTGGCCACCAAATTAAATTTCCATGACAAAAATAGAATGTTTCCCGGATCCCTGAACATTTCGTTCACCGAACTTTTTATTGCAGTCGACCGGGACTTAAATTACTGGTAAGCAAGCTTGAAAATACAACATTTTTTATGTTATTTAATTAAAAAAATATGATTTTAGCTTCCAACTGTGCGTGGAGATTTTTGACTACTTGGAGGATATAATTGCCCTGCAGCTAACCATATTTTCTTCAATGGAAAAATATAGAATGTCGTCGATGACGCCACAAGGACAATGTAGATTAGCACCAATAGTTTGTCTTATCCAGGATTCAAATGCTCTCTACGACTTAAGTGTTCGACTTATGTTTAAATTGCACGACGGCGTACCTTACGATGTTGTTTCCGGTCACCGAGATCGGTTTCATGGTTTGTTTCTTAAGTTAAAAAGTTTTTACAACAACGTGCGGCCTCTGCAGTATTTCAAGGATTTAATAACAGTTCCGGAATTGCCGGACTCAAGTCCTAACTTCAAATCCCAAAATGATTTTACCAGTTATGTACCGCCAGTAGTGCATGTTCCCCAGGAACCTGATCCTGTAGTCGAAGACCTTGTGGACACTAACAATCACGAATCAGAAGCCTTTAGTCAAGCCCAACAGCAATTAAGTATGCTGGAGGGAATAATAAGTGAGAAAGAGGCTGGCATTGAGGAACTTTCATTCAAACTGGTTTCCCTTCAAAAAAATTTTGATGAGCTGCAACAAAGTTATAGGAACGACATTCAAGAGTTGCAGCAAAACAATACCGTCTTATCAAATGATTTGGTTTTGGCGAGGGAAATGTGCGCAACGTTCAGGATGCAAAACGATGATCTTGAGCTGCAACTAAACCAAAATCCGATTCTTCTGCGTAAGATATACACTACATAAAAGCAATATTAAAATTCATTAATTAATATTTAATTAATTTACAGAAAAAGCCATGGAGGAAGAAGAGAAGCATAAGCTATCCTCGGAAAAGTTCAACAAACTAAAGACACTTTACACTAAAATTCGGGATGAGCACATTCAATTGTTGAGAGAGGTAAGAGAAAAAAACAAACTCAGTTTTAAAATATTAATATCAATTATTTTCAGCAAAGTGATTGCAACAAATCTTTAAATAGGGAGAAGCAAGTTAACTCTCAGCTATTGTTGGAAACCAAGGAGCTATCCAACGAAATTGCCAAAATTAAAGGAAACGTTGAAGAAAAAGAGAAAGTAAACTTAACTCTGCAAAAGCAAATTGAAGAGCACAAGGAAAAAGTAATACAGCTGGAAGCGATTAAAAACGAAATTAAGGAAAAACTCGACGACGTTGTTAAGCAAAAAGAGATTCAAGAACTAGATATTAACTCCACCTCCGAAAACTTGAGGTTAAATTGTTTAAAAGTAGAGGAGCTTAATGTCACTCTTAATGAAACGAAGGAGAAACTCTTAAACGCCGAAAGCCAAATTACTGTTAAGAGCCAAGAAATCGAAAATATAACAAAAGCCTTCGAAGCGGAAAAAGCATTGCTTTTAACTAAGTTGGAGCAACAAAATGTGGAAAGCAAAAATAATTCGGATGCGCAAAGCGCCGAACTACTTCAAACTAAAAGTAACTTGGAGCAAAAGGACAAAGATTTAAACGAAGTTAAGAATAAGCTATCCACCGCCGAAAGTGAAATCAGCTTAAAGGTAGTGGAAATCGAAAACAATTCTAAGGCTTTTGAAGCGGAGAAGGCATTGCTCCTAACTAAAATAGACGAACTTGTTTTAGAACACAAACAAAATAGCGATGCACTAAATGCTCAGTTGCAACAAACGACAAATAAATTGGAGCAAAAAGAGTCTGCATTAGAGGTAAACTAAATAAAAAACTAATGAGATTCTAAATTAATACATTTATTTACAGCATACCCAGATAATTGTTCAACAATTAAGGGAGGAAATTAATTTAGCGGGTCAAAGTAACGAGGATTTGCAAAGCAAACTCACGAATACAGAGGACAAACTAACGCAAGCAACGCAACAAATTAATTCTGTGACAAGTTCACTCGAAACTTGCAATTCCGATTTAAGCGATCTTAGAAAATTGGTTATCAAAACTGTTAAAGAAATCTGTAACTCAAAATTAAGCGGATCGGAACAGCAACCATTGGATGCGATACCCAACATAATTAGTGAAATGGAAATCCTTCTTAACAAATTTAACAGTTCTTCCGCTTTAAATTTTGTCGTCTCAACGGAAGGAATGAAAGATGTTATGTTTTTGGGCTATATATTCATAAAGTTATACGATCAATGCGATGTTATTTACAAAACAACTACCGCAATTGAAACGGGTCAAGGTACGTTTATCCAACAAAATCATTAATACTTATTTTAAAGGAGTATTTTTAAACTCTTTTTAGAGATTTTTGCGAAAACATCGTTGATATGTACAGACGTCTGCCAACTGTTTCAATATTTATTAAACAATGAAACAAAGGACGCCGAAAGGCAAAAAACTATTAATGATATACAAGCAAAGCTGAAAGATATAGGAAAGCTAATTGAGAAGATTAAAGCCACCTTTGAACAAAAAATCGATCTGGACAAACTTCTTGAAATAGAGCTCCGCGAGATGGACGCTGCCATCGATGATGCAGCATCTAAAATAACAGATCTACTTGCCAAGGCTCGTGAGAAGGATAACCAAACCAATTTGGAGGTAAACGGAAAAATTGTGGACGCGTGCACCACGTTGATGGAATGTGTAAAGGCCTTAATCCAGAAATCACGTCTTCTGCAACACGAGATTGTTGCCTCCCAAAAAGGTAGCTACGAATTTGAAATATCTAGTCATGATACTCAATTTTTTCTTCTTCTAGGAAATGCAAGTGCCAACGAGTTTTATAGGAGAAATAGTCAGTGGTCTGATGGTTTAATATCAGCTTCAAAGAGTGTGGCAAAGGCTGCTAACTATTTGGTGGAAGCAGCTAACAAAGCCATTGAAAGTGAGTCGGGTAAAAACTTTGAGCTCATTGTGGCTGCCCAGGAAATCGCAGCCTGCACTACCCAAATGGTTATAGCGAGTAAAGTTAAGGCGGAGCGGAACAGTCAAAAGCTATCGGACTTAACAAAGGCCTCGCGAAGCGTAACACAGGCAACTGGAACTCTCGTTGCCACCGTTAAGGATTGCAACTCCCAACTGGAGCAACAAAGTGAATTAGAACTTGCAAAGTTAACCCCATCCCAAATTAAAACGATGGAAATGGAAATCCATGTTAAAGTTCTCGAAACCGAACAAGTTCTTCAAATGCAGCGACTAAAACTCTCAGCGTTTCGAAAAGAGCATTACAAAAATGCAGATTATTAAATACTATATTTATTAACGTTACTAACATTACAGACTATCTTTTTTTATTAATGCACATCATGACAAATAATATATATTCACAATATTTACACTACGGTCATTTCGCCTAAAAATGATTCCGTAATATTGTTTGGGTGATGATTCCATTTTGATTGCATTTGGATATTTGGTTTTTATTGAACCAGCTTAATTCAAAATGCCCTTTCACCTAGGAGTATTATTAGTGTATGGGTTTATATGTTTTTGTTTGTTTATTTTGCTTACTAGTTGGAAAATAAAATAACACTTATTGCCAAAGAAAATAAAATGTTTAATTTGTTGTCAAAAGGTTTATGTTTATTATCACGAACCGACTCATTGCATTTTATAAAACGGCATGTTCACGTTCATCAAAGACACTTTTTGCGTAGTTTATCTAAAAGAATAAAATATATGGAATTTATGTGATAATCATTTCAAAATTTGTAAAAGTGAATAAAGTTGTATGCAAATGGAAATATCTTTTTTAAAGCGAATGTGATTTTAAAAAGGAAGAAAAATCTAAGAAGCTGATAAGAATGCATTGGCAAAAAAACAGCGAAGCCTATTTAAACAGTAAATTAACGAAGCATATGTACATAAGTATTATATTTAATAAAGGGTCTACTTACGCATCTTGATGCAGCCTCGGCACATTCCTCAGACCGACATCGGATCCTCGGCCTCGTAACTTTCGGAAGGTTTGTGGAAATCTCAATGTAATAGCTAGCTGTTGCTCTACTACTCGATGATGGTGTTGTGCTCGCATTTGTTACAAGGACATGACACGAAAGTATCTCTCCGACGTGGCACTCAAACGTAATAGTTGGATTGCCATCGCATAACGAAAACATTCGCACATATTCGGTGGAAACTAACAGTCGCAACCTCGCCTCTTTATCGCTCCACAGGTTCGGTTCGTAGGAAATTATCTTTTCCGAAAAGTTTTTATGATTGATTAGGTATAAATATTGTTGTCCTTTACTCTGGCGATTGGAATATAACGGTAGGAGGTCACCAGGAGCACCAGTTACGCATCTGGGAAGTCTCTTCCTGTCTGGAATATTTCTGTGAGTATCCCGGCTGGTTTCTCGAACCGCACTTGCCGTTTCCGAGGCCAAATCCAGCACTCCTATTATTGGCTTCGTAACAGTGCCCACCAGACCTTTTCCCAGGCCACTAAGGAAGCCAGGAACACCATCCGCCTGGGCTCCATCGTAAGTGTGCCGTACTATACTCGTAACTCCGCCCAACAGTCCAAATCCGAGACCTTTCAGACCAGCTGCAAGGTGACCACTGGATGTATTGGACTGCAGTTCAAGAATTCGTTGCCTCGTCTCGTTGTCGTGGTCATTCAGCACCACTTTTCCCAGGCTATCCGAAAGCGTTTCAGTCAGCTTTGCCGTGGAATTTGATATACCATGCGTAACATTTTTCACCAGACTCTTGACAGAGCCCTCGAAAATAAGTCCAGACACTCCTTCAGAAAGATCGTTGGCGAATCCCAGGGGATTTCCAAGAAAATCGACACTGCCCAAAATCGCACCCGCGTGCCATTTGACTTGGTTGATGTAGTGCTTCTTCATTTCCTTAAGATAAACGTCCATGGTCTCGAAGTGTAATTTATCCGAATACCGGTCGAGCTCTATCTGGGCATCTTCGAACTTGATTAAAGTTAGTCCAAGTGTCTTTTTGGTTTCGTGTAATTCAACTGGCAATTTGGAGGAAGTGTATGCTGATAGTCGAACCTTTTTGCGAAGTATAAAGTTATTACAAGATTATTACTTTTATATTTCAATAAGTTACCTGTGTGGCACCAATGCTTAAATTCTCAAAATAGTATCTTTTCATATCCTGCAGAATTGGCTTCTCGTCAATGCTCTCGAATTGAGACTGCACACTTAAATTCTGACGGTTGGTTTTGCCATATCCCAGGAATGAAGCCACTTTCAGTATCAGCTTCTCCTCCAGATTCGCAGTCGAGGGTTTCAGGTCCAGTGTAAAGTACTTAAAAATGATAGCGTTCTTGTTGGGACAAGGCAACATTTTCAATTTAAGAACAACTGCACTTTTTAGTTCGTCGTCCTCATTTGAAGTAAGCGTATGCAACGCTATCGGACTGGCCGCATCCAACAGTTGATTATCGATTTGGATATAAGCTATGTTCAAATCCAAGGAGTTCTCCAAAGCACTCTGAACCATATCACAATGTATGTGATCAAGGCTGATAAACATAATTTCCTCACAGGGCTTCCGCGTTATAATTGAAATACCTATTCCCTTTACGAGCTCGACGTTTATCTAAAAGTAGTCATTATAAGTTTTCGTTGATAAGGAAAGATATTTGTACAGATTTACTCACCAGATACTCGTGCACGAAAGATACTTTTCCTTTATCTGTAATTTGCCTATTATTCAGAGAAGCATGCATCCATAATGAATCGGGTGTTAGGAATACTGAATTTTGTTTAATTTTAATATCACATATTTCGATCGTGGTAATTGGTCCATCCATTCGCGTCGAAAGCTCCAGTTGGCCAGAACCAGGCCTCAGCTTTTGAGCCACAATATGCTGGCCAATTGGTATGGAGTGCTTGTTCGTTTTATTTTCACTTCGACCCACAACTGCTTCATAATTTGGTTTCAGGCCGCTCTCTCCAAATTTAGACTAAAAAGTATAATGGTTAGAATAATTCTTATACGCTTATTTAAAATGATCTCTCACCTGAACACACATATTCGCGTGACACATTAATCTCCCATTCTCGAATCTCCAAGTCTGGGTTGTGGCCCTCTGCTTGTTGGGTGTTCGAACCACCAGATTTGTAAATTCCATTGGGTTTGGAGCCTTCTCCAAGTCCAGCACAAGTCGCACTGCATTTGCATCATTGGTTTGAATCGGTGGAGTGGATCCCTCATGTTCCAGTTGACCATTTGAGTTCATGAGCCACAACTGCGACCGATCACCGGAGTTTTTCTCCATTATCACAACTTTTCTCCCACGTACACCCAAAACCAAGTGTCTGTGCGGGTTTTCCTCCTCACTCGATCGTTCAAAAGTGCCTTGAAATGCAATGTAAATAAAGTTGGTGTACGTCAATGTTTTCTTAATGTTCTTAATGTTTTCGATGGGGAACTCTATCATATTTCCTCCGGGTGCCTCCATCAACAAGGACTTATATCCCAAGGGATCATCCATGACATAAGATAGGGAGGATTGTGGTCGAACTGGCGTTATCCAAACTGGCTTCGATCGCACTTGCGAGAAATTTATGACAACTTCCGAGCAATTATCAATTCGAATAGGCGGTGGTAGAGTTCGAGCGTCCGTAAACAGAAGTATAAATGTTGCATCTTTTGAGATGATCTCCAATCGAAGGAAGAACATTTCGCCCCATTCGTTTCGCACATTGATGTACAGACTTTGGGCATCGTTTATGGGGATTCCTTTCGACCAACAGCAGCACTCCACCTCTGGAATTCTCACGCAGATGAACTGCTCCTGATCGCAGTTGGGCCAATGGAAAGCGAAATTGCAATCAATAGGTGCTGAGATTATTTTACGTGGATCGGGACGGTCCTAAAAATATATTTTTATAATAAATTATATCTTGAAATTCCCTGTAAATCGTTACTCACATAATTGACAATATCACACAGTTGCATAAACTCCAACTTGTAGCCACTTCGATTGTGCAGATGGAATCTTGGTGATAGGGTTACGAATGTTGTGCAGGCATATAGACCTCTACCCCTTCTAATGCTTATACCAATTGCATAGCTTCCCTTTGTGTTTTCGGCTCGCAGTTCCCTGTCAGTCAAGTTCTTATGCATGCTAAAACTTTTGCACCACTGAAATTTATGATTTATAAATAGGAATTAAATATTTTCTGGTAATAGATTAACTTACGATATTGTTAGAGCCATAGGCTTCGCCCAATCTCACTACTAAGGCGGGGGATCCTTCCTGATCGGAGAATGAGAACATCAGAGGTGCCACTTGTCGCGCAGTTTCATGCTCCTCAAATTGTCCAGCCGCCGTGTTGTTTGTACCCTCTTGTTTGTAAATCAGAGGCAGTCCGGTTCTGTTGATAATCCAAACAGGAGCACTAATATAAATTTCTATGCCCTTGCCTTGCAGAAATTGAATGGAAACGCGCAGGTGCAGTTCCCTCTTTTTGATGTCGAACAGTTTTAACTTCGGCTCAATAACACCGCTGTGGCTCACGGGAACTTTAAGTTGACCAGAAAGTTGGAAGTTGTCCAGTGTGATGCTCAAGTTGATGGGCTGGTTAATGTCGAAGTTGTAGATATTTGTGCTCTCCGATGAGTTTATCCTTCCGGTGGCGTGCTCGTGGATCTTGAACATCAGGTCGCAGCAGAGCATATTGTTAATTTTCAACGGAGGCAGCAAAGTGATCTTGTGTCCCGGTAAATTCTGTTCTTTAATGTGATAAATTTCCCGTCTTACATCCACTAAAGTGTACAGTTTACTTTTGGTATTATCATAGCCAACTAGAAGCTGGCGGGTGTTATCTTTGCCGCAGGTTTTCCAAACAATTTCCGAATTGCTGAAACTACTCTCCTCGTACGCCTCCTTTTCACTGGTATTGTGTGCCACATACAGCGAAGCATCGATGAACTTCAGCGGCAGAGACAGTTCCTCGTTGGGTTTTATTACACTGATTGCAGACAATCCATCACTATGGGTACTCTGAAGTGACATCTTAAGGAAAACATTCCGATCCAGTTTGTTGATCACTCCCAACGAGGATTTCACTTTAATCAACTTCTGAGCAGATCCAATCAGTGATATATCGAAGACTATCCGGCTCTTCGTGGAGAACTGCGAATCTAATTTGGTGGTACGGAAAAACATCCCAACTTTGTCCACCGATATTGGTCCAATCAACGTCCAGCCATGGATTTGTACGAAAATCTGATGTAAGTTCAACTGGTGAGAGTGAATGTGTCGCAGTTTGCTTTTCTGGCTAAAATCAAATGTTTTGGTTTCGTTGGGCTGTACAGTGTACCAGTTCTTAATCAACTCCAATTGTTGTAAGTCGGGACAAGAAAGATCTCCAAGGGGTGCATAGATTGGCTTAAATAGGAGAGGTGTTCCGCTGAGATTCTGAAGGGCAAACGGAATAAACGGAGAGCGTTGCCTGAAGTTCTTGGCTCCATTGTCGTTGAAATCGTTTGTCCAGTTCTTTAGAACCATGTTAAAAAGTTCTATAAATGTGGAGGTGACATTTAACTTGAGCATCTGCTTGCTGGAAATTCCAATCTCGAATCGTTTTTTATTGTCCAAGTGGCCCTTGGTGTATTTCCACTTCAAGTTGGACTCCCATGTCTCCGCCACCGGTTCCCAACCACTAAGACGACGATTATAATAGTTAACCGCAGCTTCCGTATCAATATTACCCATGCTATAGTGCCGAATGTTGCTCTCCTTGGGATTGGGATCCTGGGTTTTGAAAGTAAAGTTCAGCAGAAACTTGGAGAGGGAAACCTCCAGCAGTGGCACATCGGCATCCATGCAGTCGTCGATTATGTACACCGAAATGAGACTCGCGTCCACCACAGCGGTTTTCATTTCCAGGGCGGGATTTCGGTAGGTATTCTGCTTTTGCTGCGAAAGCCAGAGTGCAGCATCGTTGATCCTCCAGTTATTCACCTGCATAGCGTACAAGCAGTCGGATAGCTCAAAACCCATTGCCACGAGGGGAGCTACCTTCTCCAGATCGGAATCAGCTTTTGTTATTACGTTCTTCGGTCGAGTTGTTTGCGTGGGCAGCAACCGAGCCATTCTTGAAAACAACTTCACGTCGACATACGAAAGTCGAATATTCAAATGTTTCTGGATGAGAATGTTCAGGCAATTACTCCGTAGTTCAATAATCAATGTGAAAGGATCAATTATGGACAAAGCGCTTTCCTCTTCGGCGTCCAGAGTGCAGGAAAATATCTCCAGATGATTGATGTCCAATGATATAGGCACAATATTACTATTTGGCTTATAGCAAATAACAGTGGTGCTCTTTAGAATAATTGCATTCGAATCCAAACGACTGCATTCCTCTGCAAATATGATTTCTGAATCTGTGATGTTCACAACGTATTCCGTGGAAACACTGTTATCAATCTGGGGTTTCTGTGATATCTGGTTGGCCACAACAACGGGAGCAGGTGAGTCTTCTTGCAAGTAAGATTTTAATTGGTCCAGAAAACTGAGAAGGGCAAAAACTCTCATGTTGTTGAGCATAATGGTGTACTTGCTAAAATTCGCTTTCTTCCTGCAGTGAATTTCCACCTGCACCGAGTTTTCTATTCTCACTTCCTTTTTTGACGGAACCAATATGTTTTTAAAAACATTTTCATTGCTCTTGTCGGTTTCGTTCCTTTCATCAACAATCAGTATATTACTAGATATCAAATCTATATCTTGTGAACCGTCGCTGAATAAATCGATTTCCAGAGTGGACTTTAAAAAGTGAATGCAGGCCAAAGGTTCTATGACAGCACTTTGCGAAGTGTTTAAAGCGAGAAGTAGTGATACGTCTTCCAAGAAGATTCGTATTGAAATTAGAATCGATACAGTTTTGGAAACTTCGGCTTTAGGTATAAGATTTATAGTGGATAGTCTTTCAATGGATGTGCTGCTGTTGTTGTGATAATTCATGTAAATATCATCCGTTTGTTCTCCTATATTGTTGTTGAGAAAACTTCGAATCAATTTGTATTGCTGAATATTGATCATGCCATTCAATTTGGAGAAAGTTCCTTGAACACTTATGTCTGGACAGACGCGATGAATGTCCGCCGAAAGATTTCGCTCCAACTGCAGATGAAGGAAGCACGATTCATTAAAGAACGGCTGGCCCAATCTCAGAAAATTCATGTCAGCGATTATAATTCGATTCTTCTCCTGTTCGACTTTCACCTTCATTGAGTTCCTCTCCCCGGAAAATAGGTTGATATTGACCAAATCGATTCGCATTACGTCCAGGATTTCGCTTTGATTCGGCGTAGCACTCATTTTGCTTATTATATTACTGTCGGTGGCGAAATGAAAACTGTTCTTCAAAGTAAACTGCCCCAGATAGGCGATAATTACTTCGTTTCTGTTATAGGAAGCGGGAAGTACAATAACTGGGGAATCCGCTTGAATTACTAGCTTCATTTTTGATGGGCGCACATTCTGTTCGTTTCCATGACTTTGTTTCTTCAGTTTTCTTATAACAGGCTGTAAAATATAAAACGGTGTTTAAATAAACAAAGTGTAAATAAACATGCAAAGTTCTCTGAATCTTACCGTTTGCAATTGCAGCAGGTCTTTAACAAAAACATGCAATTCGGTGGAAAATCGTTTGGTGTGAATATAATGGACTGCAGACATATTGATTCGCAGGGTAGAGTCGGTATCCAAGGTCTTTAACGCCTCCAAATCGACAAGTTTTCTGAAAAAAGATAGTTTTTAGAAAATTTCATTACATATTTATAATAAATTAAATGCAGCCTTAACTTACTTTTTGTATACAAAGTTTAAAGCTTCTGTGCCACTAGTTAAAAACTTTTGCTTATAAATGTTTCCATATTTTGTAAGATCATAAACCGAAACGGATCCTAAACAGCCTTCAACAATTTTCGAAAGGGAGTCCTGAAGAATCATGAAAACTGCATTCGAAACATTCACTCTGGACAAAAGAGACTCATTTCGAATCAATGTAAAGTTGAAACTTCTGATTGACACCTTCAGCTTACTGAAAAACTCGTCAATATCTAAAATCAAGAATGTTTCATTAAATTATTATGGTTTAATATGAGTTACTTACGCTTCTCCACACTTTTCTTCTTTTCCGTATACTTTTCTTTCAAGTTATCAACAGAAACTAGACCGAAAAAGTCGAAAATGGTATACCAGCGTTCTACGCAAATAGCCAAATTCAAGCAGTTAAATTGAATTGAACTAAATTGCTCAAGTTTACTTTTTTGGGCAGATCGACCTGTGTGTGATTTATAAATGACAAGAGTTTGGCTTTCTTTCTTTCTACCCAAATCACTTTTTTTGCCATTTGTAAACTTTTTGTCGCCGCTAAAGACTTTTGCCTGCATGTAGTTAAAGAAGGAGGACGGCACAGAATTAGATCTGTTCCTCAGGGAATTACAATAGCTTGGTAAATCGGGACACGAAGACGATGTCAGTTCGTTTTTCTTAATATTTTTCTCAAGATCTATGGAAGTCACCATATTTCGGAATGGTGATGATACATCAGATTTTAAATCTTCCATTAACACAGATTTTAGTACCACTTCCATATCCTTGTCGAATCCTTTAGCAATATGTTTTACATTAAAGTCTTTAAATGTTAAATTTATCAAATCGTTGTGGAATTCATTTTGCAGGTTAATTTGAAATACAGGCACAGAGAACTGAATAATTGTGCTAATATTGGTTTCATCTTCAATACTCGAAGATGGTTCACTGTCACCGTTTTGGTCGAGCTCTTCGGATTCACTTAAAAAGCCATTTGAGAAGTTTGTTGCATAGCGGATGGACTCCAAAAGTAACTCGTATTGTTTTCGGTTGAGAGATACTTTCAGAGCTTCAACCATACTTCCTTTTATCTGTAAAATTTTATATGCATTTTCATTAGTTACAAATTTAGGAACATCAACATAAACAATATAAAATATCTACTTACCGAAAAACTGTTTAGTATTTTTTCGTGTCCATTATTTTCACTATATCCAGCGTAAAGATGTAATGTAATTGCTGTGTCATGCAAAATTGGAACTGCATCCTTGTTTTTAGCAGGATGAACATTAAAACTGTGTTCTCGCTCATCAATGTTCAAGGAATATACATATGTATTTTTAATTTCGATCGTATAAGACTCGTCGAACTCATCTGAATCACAATGAACTGCATTTGAGCAACTTATTTTTCCCAAGTTCGCAATTAATACGTTTGTACTTGTGTTGGAGATGGGTAAAATAATTATTGGACTACTAATTATAATGTCAAGCCTGAAAGAAAAAGTTTAGATAAAAACTATGAATTTTAAAATGTTATAATAAATGATAATACCAATTCTCCTGTCGATTTCGTTGTGGATGAACTGGTCCAATTTGCTCCACTGCTCTAACCTGTTGCACAAACTCCTTGGCCATATCGGTAGCTTTGTTTCCAATCGAGGTCGCAAACTCTCTGAAAATAAATAATTATTTAAAAAATACTTTTGTGGAAAATCATTCCGGCTTTTTAAAATCTTACCGCAGACTTCTTTTAAAATATGTTAAACAAGCGTTTACATCCCTCAGAAATCTAGGACAGTGAGTATAGGATGCAGAAGCCATTCGCATTTGGAAAGTACAAGTAGTTTTGTCGCTCCAATTACTTTGAAAACTAATTGCATCACTCTCATCGCTTTTATCTTCATTGTAATTATTCGAATATATTTCATTGGAAAGCTGACTAAGAACAGTTTGTTTGTTTGTGTCTGTAGTCCTCAAAATTTGATCCCGACCAACAGAAAGGATCCTTGGATGGCAAAAAGCTTCTGAAGTGATGTCGATAACTTGTATTCCGCCCAGAGATCCAAAAATTGATAAATCAGATTGAAAGGATGCGTTGATTTTAGCCTCCGTCAACGTAACAGTTCCAACTTTCCGGCCAACATTAAATTTGTCTCTCTTAATGGTGTATAACAATAGAATATTTAAGCGGAAAAAATCGAAAAATATTTGGTTATGGTTTCTATTATCGTCTTGACCACTAAGTTCTATTGGCACTTCAACTGATTCTTTTGCTGACTGAGGGCTTTCGCTTTGGAATATATTTTGTGCCAGAAGGGTCCTGTTTGCGAAGTTCAGAATTTCAAGAATCGTGTCCTGATTAGCTAAAGAAAGAAATCGGAAAAATAAGATTTTAGCTTAGATAAAACAGGAATTTATAAATACCAATAATGTCCAAGCTGTTGAATGTGATGTTGGTAGTATGAAGTGTCGTTGAATTGTTTTCATTGGCGGGAACAATTTTAATATCAACCGAAATGAGCGCTGTTGAGTCCTCATCATCACAGAATTCTGTTGACTTATCTCCTGAAAAATTCGATATAAAAATAATTAAAAATTATACAAACAAGTTGTGAGAATTTTCTTGTTAATTATTATGGGTTGGCAAACTGGTTTGGTTAATTTGCAGTTAGCTCGCAGTTAGAATAGAAAAAAAGGATCCTGATTTTATGTTATACATACCCATTTTAATGTTTTGAACTGCTTTTGTAATCATGTGCGGACTAGTGGCCCTATCAAAAAAATTTGGCGATCCAGGCGAGGTTGGCGAAACAATTGCACTATGTTTAAGACTGCCAGATAAACTATCCATTCTATAAGAGTCATAAACATTTTTAAACAATTTTATATTATTATTATTTAAACATAAAAGAACACAACACACGCGAAGACACAAAAATTGTTAATCGTTTTCAGCCGTCTTTAGAAAATTACAAACAAAGATATTTAAGCTAAGCAGCGAAATAAAAAGCATTCTAACAAGCCTTTCTCGGGATATAAACCAAATACATACCCAACATGTCGATGACTAGCCACCAAGAGCTCAAAGTCAGGACCAAAGGACTGAATGGCATCCACTAGAAGCAATCCGTGCACCGACATGGAAATGTTCGTCTCATTTGATTCTTTTGTTAAACCAGCTCGTGCTCCGATGATTTGGAGCTCAGCAATACTCCTTTCTGTCGACTGCATTTCTATCACCAGTTGGTCCATCACAAACTCAATAACAACTCGACTTCTATCGTCTTCAGCCAGGTTTTTGATTTTCTCACTTGCATAAATCGTGTTGCCTCCTCGGTAAATATTTTCCATTTCCTTAGAAGCCTTTATAATCGGTTTCATAATGTTACAACAGTTGTTAATGAGTTCTTCGTTTCCGTGAATTATTATTGTTGGACATGTGCCAAAAAGCATAAATGAGGGATAGTCCGGATCCACAGTAAAAATATTCCTCTGTTCCAACGTAAGATTTATATTAAACTTATCAATGAGGTGGAAACTCGATGATGTTTTCAAGCATGCTTGCCATCGTTCTTCGTATTTGCAAACCAGTACTTGAAGATTTGTAAAATTAATAAGATATTTGTCATATATCTTATTATGTAGAACGTACTCCAATTGAACATTTTTGTTTAAAAAGGATTCGATCTTTGAATTTTCAAGGAGCGTCGGAGATTCAGAACCACTTTTTTCTGATGCAGGCGGTGTCGAGCATGGAGTCAAATACGTTTCGTCGTCATCGCTTGTATTTTCGGTTACAGCCGATTCTATCACAGGAATTACTCTTTTAACCTCAATTTTTCTCATTTCTAGTTTTCCAAAGTCCAGTAAAACCATAAGTGAGTTGCTGACTTTGTAGTTTTCCAAGAAAATAATACGAGGCGCAAAGATTTCAATTTCGAACATCCAAATCTTTCGATTTACCTAAAAAAAATATAAATAACAAATATAGTGAATTTTAGTAGAACCAAAATATTTAATTACCTCATTGCCACTAAACATTTGATTCCAGTTTTTCATAAAGTCGGTTTTCTTTTCGACTCTATCGCGTGGTGGGTATTTATTTGGATTTGAATTGGACAAGAAGTCCAAAATCCATTGAATTGCATCTTCATTATAAATAAGATCTAAACCTTTTGATTTAATATTGAGCTGATATCGTAAGTGGTTACAATTTTCATATTGTAACTGAAATAGGGTATCCTCCTGGAGCCCATTTTTTGCTACTTGATTTGGTGTCGCTATATTCCCTGTTTGTGGCTTAATTAAGTAGTTGTGCATTGTATCACTGCTGGTTTTATCTATTAGATATACTTCTTGCAATGATATTCCGATAGTGTAAGAAGTTAACTGCGGGCTGAGCTGAAGGTAGGCCGCAAAGTTATTTAATTGCATTTCCATTGATTTCTTCTTTCCATCACTCAATGTATCCTCAGTCTGAAGAATAACCAATCCTTTCAATAGCTTGATTGAAAAGTGCCCGAAAACAGCATCGCTTTTCAAGTCCGAAGAATTTTGAAGTGAGTTTTCCAACGCAACTAGAATATCGTCTTCCAAATGTTTAATGGTCTCATCCTGTTCGCCATTAGGAGTACTGGGGCTGTTTGCATACCAGCCCATCCAATTTGGGAACCAATGAAAGAGCATATTCTTTCCCTGATCGCTCTGCGATTCAAATGAAAATCCTTTTGTAAACACTTTCTCAAAGCATATTCGTCGCATTATTGTTAAATCCGAGATCTTTCTGTCGGTCTCGATGTAAGCTTTAAATTCCTTATCTGCAACGGACAGATTTTCATTTGGATTTAAAATAATCGTTTTGTAGAGTAGCATGTAACGCAGATTATCTTTGAGAATGGACCACTTTTCCTCGTTTTGCTTAAAGTCAAAGCCATGACAAGTTGTTGCATATCTCCACCACAATCTTGGATTACTTTCCACGCTGCAACTGGGTCGCTTTAACCTGTATTGCCGAACTTCCTTTACTTGCCGGATTTCTGTGAGCTTATCTAACATCTGAAGCCGCTGGACCTGGAAAATAATAATGTGTTTATTTCATTGAAAACATTGCATACAATGATAATGCTCGTTGAAGAGAGATGAAAAATGTGCCACTATTTTTTTTATCAAGTTTGGGTCCACAAATTGGGGACTGGTTATTGTTTTATTTAAATGATAATGGTAATTATCTTTACAGTTTAATGTCTCAGTAAACTAAACAACAATGTACGGTGCGTGAAGGTTAGCAAACATTTTGAAAGTACATACTATAGGTACTTTATGACTCATGAACGTTGTACTCTAATAATAAAACTTCCATTACTAAAAATTTGAGTATATGAATAATGCTCCAAATTCCACAACTTACTTTGGATACGTCTATGACCACCTCTGGAACCAGAAGTTCGCAGGAAACCCGGGGCTTATCTTTGGTACGAATCACCTGTTGGCACTTGTCGCGTTTCCACCTGGCAGTTGCACAAATGGGTTTGATGATGAAGTTGTGGGGCCTCAATTCGCAGGTCGAGTGCAGTTTTTCAAGAATCTCTTGGTTGGAGTAAGACTGACATTTGATGTCTTCGTGCAACAGATCCCAGTAGACAGAGAGCTCTTTGAGCTCAACAAGTTTATAATTCATTTCGTTGTTTGTCATTTTGTATGACCCATTGGTCCAATCACAGTCACAGCTCTGGGCGGTCAGGGATCCGATCTTGATACCCGTGCATATCCTGCTCTTGCCGGTGTCCACAATGTCCTCGAATCGAAAGTGCACATCGGATATCTTGAGTTCGATGTTGTCAATAATGTTGGTGGCCATGTTGGTGCCGTATTTAAGCCAATTGTTGTAAGACGAGAAGTAGTAGGACTCCATTTGTTTGCCCTTTTCGGATCGCCAGCCCGCTTCTGCAGCGTCCAAAACTGATAGCTTGTACTCCAGATCCTGCAGCTTCTCCTTCTCATTGTCCCAGTTGTCCAAATTCTTTGGGCAGATGATGCAGAACAATCCTTCAATCGAAATGCACCAGGGCGAGGTTCTGAACTGGCGGACTGGAATCTGCAGCTTGATTTTTCGTATACTGCCGGCGGTGACTTCGACCGGCAAATTAAACGATCGGAGGGCATCTTTGCGAATGGGTATATTCTCTAGCTCAACTTCGCCTGTATGAAAAGATATTGTATATGCGATACGGAATAAGATAAACAATTATATCACATTACCCGATAGGAGCGCCACCGACAACTGGGCGGAATTCAAGTTCTCCAGATATTTTCCAAGATACGTATTCAATACCCACGTTATGAGGTCCCGTAACATGCTTCTTGTTTATTTACCGCATACGCTAATCCTGTTTAATATTTGTTTTTAATATCTTTCGTCAGAATCAAAACTAAAAACATATGATTGGGAACTATCTACACCGCGTAAATATTGCCGAGTCACAAATGGAATGGAATCACGGAATCGAAACAGGTTGGGAAAATAGATAAAGAATGAAAAACAGGTGGTTAATCTATTAAAAATAGATAACATTTAATATAAAACAAACAATCCTTCTGTCAGATTTGTGTGGTGTGTGTTAAGTAGTAAAGTGGGAGAATTTGTGTGAAATGTTTTATGATTGATAAGAAAATTATCGATATGGCGCGATACTCTTTAAGTTTCATCACTAGAAATTGTCAAAAACAAAAACTTATTTTGAGATTCTAAGGAAGTTTGTTCATTTTTTACAATGACCGACCCAAACGTACCCCGAGGGGCCTTAAGCTTACAGGTAAATATTTTAGATAAAATTCAATGTGAAAAAAGCATTTATTCTTTGATCAATTTTAGAATGTTTTAAAGTACACGGTGCAACATCATGACCAAAATGCAGAACCGAAGTCGGAAGGAGCTCTAGATGCTGATGTATGTAAACATTTCTTGTTTTAAAAGTTTACAGAAAACTAAATGCCATTTTTATTCAATAATATTTTCAAACCATCTAAAAAGTTATATGTTCTTTCAAAAATCTTAAAATTTGAACCAAACAATGAGTCAATCGAAGCATCTAGAATTTATTTGACCATGTGCTTCTATAGGCGAAATTCTGTATTTAAGACATTTTTGAATAACCATTCTTCATCTTTTTAGAGAGCTGAATTTTTGACAAACGCACTGAGTGCAATGACAACAGATGTTTCAACGGAACTTAGAGCAGCTTTATCCATATTAAATAGCAATGATGCCACCACAGAAGAACAGATCGAGAGTCTAGATGTTATAAGGAGCCATATTGATCAAATTGATAATGCTATTTCTCTGATTAAACTCGGTGGAACTGCAACCTTACTTCGCTATATAAAGGACGGAGATAGCGAGGTCCGCATTTCGGCACTCAATACTGTGGCCGAAGTGTCGCAAAACAATGTATTTTGCCAAAACGCCCTCATAAACGACCAGTTTCTACCTGAACTTATTAAGAATTTAAGCGATACCAATCAAGAAATTGTGCGCAGTTCCCTGTATGCGATATCATCGCTGATACGAAACTTTCAGCCTGGATATGATGAGTTCAAACGAATCAAGGGAATTACTGCTCTGATACCCTGTTTAAAATCTACAACTCTAAGTGTCTACATAAAAACTGCATTCCTCATAGCGGCCTTAACTTCAAACGACAAGTCTGCCAGAGGTATTGACTTTATATTAATAATCCCTCCATATAGTTTAAATCATTACCTTCTTGCAGATGATTTTGTGAAAGCTGAGGTATTTCCGGTGCTTGTGGATAATCTTAAGCTAGTTGAAGATTTCGACATTAAACAGGAAACTACTCTTTTCGCTATTTCGTCTCTTTCGTTGGAGTCTGATTTAAAGCTTTCCACGGAGAAACGCAAGGAAATCCTTTCTCTTCTACAACAGATTATTTCCAAAAATAAGCAGTCGGAAAATTGCGAAGTAAGATTTTAATATATTTGTTTGTATTAACCAAATTTCATACCTATTTTATTTACAGGACATTGTTAACCATGCAAGAAAGATTGTGGACAATTTAAGTGCACATTAAACGTTAAGGTCAATAAATTTTTCACGTAAAAAACTGTTAAGTACGTTTGTATTGAATACAAAATTTAAAAATATCACTAATTTAAAAAAACTTTATCGAAACACATTTATGGGATTAAATTTTGTAACAATTTATTCATCTTAATTTGTCAGTTATGTTGGCAATGTGTCAAAATCATTTCCAACCGAAACAATCGGAACGTGTTCAAAATTAACTTCAGTCGGGTGATCGCAAAGCCTATTTCGCTTTGCGAATATGTTCCAATCCATGACCTGAACGGCACGCAGACTTTCCGCCTCGTTATGATGCCTCAAAACCATGGATTCCTGGAATACAGACCACAAGTTTATAAATCGAATTAAAAATATATTTCTACGGTAGACATACCTTGATTTTCTCCCACTTATCATCGACATCTTGCAACCAGCTAAGTAGCAATCGTCCATTGAATCGGCACCGAGCACTCTTCTCCTTTTCATCCTGCTCTGGTGTGATCATGTTGTAAACCTCGTCGTCCTTTAAGTATGTACAAACGGAATAGGGCGCCGGTTGGCCAGATATACTCCTGGCCGCCTTCGAGTGGACCCGTATTATCTCCTGCTCAACGTTTAAGCAAAGCTTCTCCCGCTCCACAGTGTGTGCCTGGATTAAATCTTGCCTGGCCTTCTCTTGGTCCTGGTAAATCCTCTCCATTGCCTGCGGCACAGTGCGGGGAATATCCGGAGCTGAAGTTTCCGCATTTCGACTTAGTAAGTACGATTTCTTCGTCAGCAAATACTCGTTGTATCCTTGTGGGGGTCTCGGCTTCACCGGGTACAAGCTCTTCCATTTTTTCTCAATCTGACGTCGGATGCTTAAGAACATCTGAAAGCCGTTGGTGAAGGGATGGTCATGCGGGTGAGACTCTTCAGAATTCACTCCTGAATCAGCGGCATTTGAGTTCTTCGAACTGTCATCGGTGTTCTTGGGCCGAATCTTTCGCTTTCGAGGATGAAGTTCTACGTTCGACGAGGGATTAATTTCCTTCGATGAAGAAGTCGACGACGTCGAGGGGCTCGGCACATTGGTGATTGTCTCCTGGTCAAACTGGTGGCCTTGGGGGATTGGACTAGAAGTCATGTTGCTATAGGATAGCTTCACATCGGCAGGATCGTTGGCATGATTAGATGAAGCCGGCGATGGAGAGCTGCTCTGCATTTGCGGGGAGGAGTTATTGGAGCTGCGCTCAACACTAGTGACCCCAGTGCGATGAGAGCTGCGTAGGACTCTCAGATTCTTCTCATCATTGAAGAGCTTTATGTTTTTGTCGTCCAGGACAGTGGAGCATATGCTGTTGCTCTTCTGGGGACTCTCGTGCGGGCTTATCGATTGATTGGTTATGACGGTGTCAATGGAGTCGCTATTGGAGCTGACCACATAGGGCAAAGCCGCATTGCGGGAGGCAGTCACTTTTCCAGTTCTTAGCACGTTGCCCTCGGTGTCAATGGAGCAGTTTTGCTGCGGGATCACAATCTTCAGTGGCGGCACCTTGAGTCCTCCGTTGTACAGACTGTCATTGCTCTTGTAATCATCACTGCACTCAGTTTCGTTTTCAATGTCCACATTCTTGCTTATTTCCGCCTGCTCCTTGTCGGCACTTGAAGCGCTGCTTTTGTTTCCGGATGGTGATCCCTTTGCCGTCGCTAACTTGGAACCCTTTTCTACTCTGGAGGTGAGCTTCAGGGAGGCCCCCTTCAAGTCCTTGCCATGCTCGGAGTCCTTACGCTTCTTTTTCTTTACGTCCTCTCCAGATTCCTCGTAGTCCTCCTCTATGTCCGAGTAACAGCGCTTGGCAGCAGAAGTTCCCTGGTGAATGGAATCGCTGTTTTTGCCATCGTTGCTGCTTTCCTCCGCGGAAGACTTGTCTTTTGGGTCCAGAACCTCTGGTTTTTCGTTCAGGCTGCTCTCATCAATCTCAGTTTCTCCTTTCTTGCTTTCATTCTTTTTTAAATTGGTCCGGGATGAGTCTGCAAGAACGGAAAACTTATACAATACATTTGATGGCTGTGTGATTTTGCTTGAAACATTCTTTGAAATTTTAGGAAGATATTTATTATTTATTTTTTTTTATCAAAAAAAAGTTTGCAATTTAAGTTATTAAATTCCATATTTCTGTTAAAAGTTTTCAATTTTCTTTAATACTTCATCTCTTTACTTTTTTTCTTACTTTACTTGCGAAGAGAAGCAGATACTTTTACATACATACATATGTAAAAGATACATATGTGCAGTACTTTGTAGGTTTGTGTAAAAGGAAGTTTCTCCGGTACGGGTTGAATTGAAAACAAAATCCATTAATGCATTTGCATGAAATTAATACTCAAAAACTAAAAAACTCCTTCGGAAAATAAAAAATATAAAGCTTTTTCACGCTTTTGTATGTATATTTACCTGTCGAGGAGGTAGCTGTCATTTGTATAAGTAAAGCCATTTGCTGTCTCTCCGACATGGGAGTGTTTGAATTCGATCTAGGTTGGGTAGCTCCAGTATTAAATCCTATCCCCTTCGGTCTTGGGGGTGGCATACTCTTTTGTTCAGTTTTATACGGTAGAAATTAAAATATAGAACAAAAACGGAGACTTGTAAAAGTCTTACAAAATTACAATTTAATCAAAACGAATAGTGCGACCGTATCTCGAATGAAATAATATGCCGGCATGCGAATATAAAAATGTCGCTTGGTAAATAACGAAATTTTTAAAAATTCGTCGATTTAAATCCAATTAAACAAAACAACTATTCTTATGGTACATTTTTTATTTAATACACAAAATATTATTTTTCATATGCTAAATAAAATCAATACCTGCTCCAATAAAGCCGTTGCCGTTTTTTAACATTTTATAGATGTTTACGTTACTTTAAATTATCATAATTTGTTATTACTATTTTATAACTATTTTCATATTTTTTTTTCTTAAGGTATACACACAATTTTGATTTTTTTTTCAGCATCATTAACTTATTTCATACTCATGATATACAGGTTATGGTATTATCAGCAATATTGTAAGAAGTAGTTGATAGTTTTCATTGATTAAATTTTAGTTATAAGTTAATTTAGTGTTTCGATTCCACTCCGTCCAGCACTCGGCAGAGTGACCACTCTGCCAGTACCACAAAATGTCGAAAAGGGGCAAAGGTATGTAAAATCCCAGGCTACGGTTACACTCGGTTTTATTTTAGAAGTGTTGCAGTGTAAGTTATTTTTATAAAAACTAATTTATATTGAGGATTATTAAGAAGTTTGTAAAGTAATACATTCGGTAACGAGTCAAAATAGTAAAGGGCATTTCAACCTAGCTTGCATAATTGCAGATATAATTTATTTTCAAAGCCAAATTCTGTTCACGCACACAAACATATGTACTAGTTTGTATGTGTGGATGTTGCAAGTAAATATAACTTGAAGAAAAGTTTGTGCTGGAAAATATGATCAATTTTACATAAATAATTAAGCTTCTCGAAAAAGGTATCTCTCATAATTTCGTGTGGAAAAAACAAATTGAGATTGTAGGCGAATTGTGCGTTGACTTTAACACCTATGGCATATCCATGACAAACATGGAATCAAATGTCTAATGCACCTAAACTTTATGTTTATGTGTTAATGGATTTAATGTACATAAAGTGACTCACTTTTTTTATACACTGGAATAAAGTGAGCAAGTCGAGTGTGTTTTGCAATATGCTTTTGTTTAATTTTTATAAACTGTTAAAGCTTTTCCGGCTTAATAAAGTAAACAGTTTTCTGATCTTGATAAAGAATCAAGTAATCCGTCATGTCCGACTCACAATCTCTTTTTACGCAATCTATATTTCCAATTTGAAAGGCAAATGGCGAAAGACAAAGATAATGGATGTAGTAATAACGATATCTAGTTGTATATTGTTTTTTTTTTAATACCATATTTGCAATAAAACTCTTAGGATATTAATAGCATTTGTCTGTGAAGATAATTGTTTTCTGCTATTGGTGTAAGCAAAACTATCTTTGCTGTTCAGTTTTTTTATAGCATGACGCCAATTGTTATGAACTTTCGCTCATATGTAACAAAATGTACAATAAAACATTTTATGAGCTATAAATACTCATTGACAAAGTTTGACATGTTTAGAAAAACAAAACCAGCGATGGTGGAAAATTAAATAAATTCTTACATGGACTTATTCGATATTATGAATCGAATACAATCCCACCCTTGCCATTAACAAAAATCCAACTCAACAATTGGATTTAACAATATTTCATTTCTTATTGGCTTAAAGGCACTTCTGGTATTTCTAATTGTTCAATCAAGTTATTTACTTATCAGATATTTATTATTTTATTTAAGTTATCGTTATAACGAATATAATAAAGCGGGAATATCCGATTTTCATCCCCCATTTTATCGAGCATGCGCACCCCCAATTTTCATTTTCATCGTATTGATTAACGCAGATTGAATCATTTTATATACGGTTAAAATGATTGTCTCAAAAGCTATTAAATCATACAGGCTGTAAAACACATTAAATACCTAGACTGCCACCTTTTTATTTAAAGTTCACTCATAGAATTATTCTTCGTGATTTCTAAACGTTGCTGACACGCTTTTAATCCTGTTTTTGTATATGTTTTGCAGACAGAAAATCGAGAAAATCGGCAAAATGACGCAAATGTCGCAGGACGAAATAATAATCAATACGAAAACAGTTCTCCAAGGCCTCGAAGCCTTGCGAGTGGAACATGTTTCGATCATGAACGGAATTGCAGAAGTCCAAAAAGACAATGAAAAGTCGGACATGCTGCGTAAAAACATCGAGAACATCGAACTGGGCCTGAGTGAAGCCCAGGTGATGATGGCCCTCACATCCCATCTGCAGAACATTGAGGCCGAGAAGCAGAAGCTCAAGACACAGGTGCGTCGCCTCCACCAGGAGAACGCCTGGCTCCGCGACGAGTTGGCCAATACGCAGCAGAAGTTCCAGGCGTCGGAGCAGCTTGTTGCCCAGCTGGAGGAGGAGAAGAAGCACCTGGAGTTCATGGCCTCAGTGAAGAAGTACGATGAAAATCAGGAGCAGGACGACACATGCGAAAAGTCTCGCACCGATCCGGTGGTGGAGCTGTTTCCGGACGAGGAAAACGAGGATAGAAACAACATGTCGCCCACGCCGCCCAGCCAGTTTGCTAACCAGACTTCCGGCTACGAGATTCCAGCGCGTCTGCGAACTCTGCACAATCTGGTCATTCAGTATGCATCGCAGGGAAGGTAAATCAAGAATTTTATGATTACTTTTAGAAGAAAAAATTACTCTTTTTTTTTATTAATATTGTAGATATTTAATTGCAAAGCTTATCCAACTACTTTCCAAAATCTGCTTTATTTTATCTTCTAGTCTTCATATTAAAAATTCTAATTTATTTTCAGGTACGAAGTAGCGGTTCCCCTTTGCAAACAAGCTTTGGAAGATCTCGAAAAGACCAGCGGCCACGACCATCCGGATGTAGCAACAATGCTGAATATTCTGGCCCTCGTGTATCGTGATCAGGTACGTCTTTGCGTTGATTAAATTAATGTAATGTTAATTAAAAACTCTTCACGCTATTCAGAACAAGTATAAAGAGGCCGCTAATTTGCTGAACGACGCTCTGTCGATTCGAGGAAAAACTCTGGGCGAGAACCATCCAGCCGTGGCGGCCACGTTGAACAACTTGGCCGTCCTCTACGGCAAACGTGGAAAGTACAAAGATGCCGAGCCCCTCTGCAAGCGTGCCTTGGAGATCCGTGAGAAGGTCTTGGGAAAGGATCATCCCGACGTTGCTAAGCAACTCAACAATCTCGCCTTGCTCTGCCAAAACCAGGGCAAATACGACGAGGTTGAGAAGTACTACCAGCGAGCCCTCGACATCTACGAGTCAAAACTGGGTCCCGACGATCCCAATGTGGCCAAGACAAAGAATAATCTAGCTGGCTGTTATCTAAAGCAAGGAAGATACACCGAGGCTGAACTACTTTACAAGCAAGTATTGACGCGAGCCCACGAACGTGAGTTCGGAGCCATCGACAGTAAAAACAAGACCATTTGGCAGGTAATTTGTTGTTATACTATTTTGCCAAGTAAACACTTCAAAACGCCATTGCTTATCTAAATTTTCAGTGGGCCGAAGAGCGTGAGGAGCACAAATTTGATAACAGGGAGAACGCTCCTTATGGCGAGTACGGCGGATGGCACAAAGCTGCTAAAGTGGATTCCCCCACGGTCACAACCACTCTAAAAAATCTGGGAGCTCTTTATAGGCGGCAAGGCATGTTTGAAGCTGCCGAAACCCTGGAAGACTGTGCAATGCGGAGTAAAAAAGGAAGCCTACGATCTGGCAAAGCAAACAAAGGTCTCACAGCTGCTAACTTCAAACGAAAAGCGACGATCAAAGGCAATTAAAGAGGATATGGATTTCTCCGAGGAGGTATAATTAATAATCTCCGACCTTACTTTATATAACAAAGCTAACTATTTATCGTTGCAGAAAAACTCGAAACCATGAAAATATTATTTGTTCATCGCCCACAACGGAATCTTTATGTTTATGATTGAAAGTTAACAACAAAAACACACTTTATTTATTCATTCCTTAATATACATAAGCTCTCAAGCATACATTAGCAAATATACATCGTTTTATACCTTGTTATTTCGGCAAAAAAATATGTACCGCTTTTAATAATAAACCAAATATATTTAACAGATTCGAGTTTATTATGTTTGGTGGTAGACCCACTGGAAATAAAGAGCTTGACTCTGACCGATATGGAAATAATGGAATCAACTTAACATTTATTATTGGCAACAAACAGTACAATAAGTTTGCATATGATAAGTTTGATATGCCTAATCGCTATCATTGTCATTTAAAATGGAGGAAACTATTCCAGCGAACTGCTCGGCTCTATCAAGAAATTGTTCTCGAGTAAGGCTCGTATCGTTACGTAAGCTTTGCGCAGTGAGAAGCAAATTTTCAAAGTCCTTTAATTGGCTATCCAATTCGTCTGAGCTTATTTCTTCCTTGTGTTCTAAAATCAAATTATATAAAAAAATGTATTAAGTGTCAAAGCCATTTTTACGTACCAGAACCAAATTTAACATTGGACCAAACTACATTTTTTAAACCTTCTACTACTTCTTCGAAATCCCTTTCAGACTCTTCTGGATCACTTTCATTGTTGCCCTTTAATGTTATAATATCGAAAAAGAAATTAGTTTTCTCTTTAATTTCACCGAAGGATAATCCACTCTCTTCTCCAGAAGAAGCAGTCGTCAAAAGAAATCCCAATTGGATTTGTTCATTCTTTGATAATGTCTTGGAAATATTGTCGATGAACGAAGTCTGTAAATAGTGGTTTTAAAAAAGCCATTTTCAACAGTAAGTTAAATGCTTACGTTTTTTGAGTCAAAATAAATGATTAGGGCTTCAGTCGCCTGAAGAATTTCCTCTGGAACACTTTCCAATTTACCAGGAAAAGGAATTAAATTTATTGAGGTGTTGTAGTACTTCGTTTTTATAATGCATTTATAGCAATTTAGTGAGCAGTGTGTTGAAGTCAATGTTTTTGGTTGATCCAATTCGGAGAATATGCCTGTAACAAAAGATTGATTAATAAATGGTACTCTTATAAGAATCATATTTCAATAAGTTAATGTTTACTTTAGGTAGCTTTTGTTACCAGTATACTGTAAGAAACCATTCCACCTTTTCACAATGTTTAAACATTGTTAAAAACTGGTCAAGTAACATAAATGGTTTCATATTACTCACTAACTTAAAGATTTAATTTCAAAGGCAAATAAACAAAAACTTGAAAACGTGAAAAACGTTTGCCACCAAAAATACTGAAAACAATTAAATGTATATGTCTTCTTAAGTATACGATTCATACTTTCGACAATTTGCATGGGAGCGATATTTCCATAAGATAAAACTAGAACGACTGGGTCCATTTTAAATAATTTTCTTATTTATTTCAGTCAACAAAAACAAAGCTGAAAACCAGTGTGACCAAACCTTGCCATCGAAAAGACACTGTTTGGTCAAAAAAAAAAAGCTTGGGTTCTTACCGGCATTTTTCTGTTATTAATTTAGACATTAGAAATACATATTTAGTTTTACCAATTAGATTTTATTGCTTTTTTAAAATCCCACACGACACCCATTTCAAAAAATATGATTTTTCCTTTGTACATATATGGCAACATATTATTTATTATGTTTTAATTTTTAACTTATTATTACTGAATATTTTTGTCATATTTTTTTAGCAATTGCTGATAAGTTATATCACATTTTAGGCCCTCGCCGATGTCCTTTTCGTAGATCTTCTTAGCCCTATTAAAAGCCTCTATAATGCAAGATCTAAAAGAAGGGTAACAAAAATAACTTCACACATTTTGAATAAAAAAAATAAATACACTTACCTAAACAGTTTTTGGTGCAGAACATAGGCGCTTACATGACCAGCATCTAAATATCGCACTTCCGCACCTGGCCAAATATCCTCGAGGCTCGTACATCCTTCCCGCGGCACATAGGCATCATCCTTAGCACACACAGCAATTATTAGAGAGGTGTCGAAGGGAACCGAAAAGTTCTTCAAATGGGTGCACTCATCCATCATGCCACGCATAAATTGCAACGCCTCCCGTTCCCACCAATTTGTCTTAGTTATGTCTATTTTATCCGATTTGTTTTGTGCAGATAGCGGAAGAATGAATTTCATAAGGTTCGTCAACGTCGAGCTTGACTCCTTGGAAAGTTCCTCTGCTTCGATCGGAACCTTTTGACTAAGAGTGTCCTTACTATCTATTCGTAGCTTCTCAGAGTCAAGTTTTGTATTCTTTAGGGACTTGGATAAAAATATTGACGCATCCTCTTGAGGACAACTTCCCTGCGGGTCATATTTATCGCCACAGGTATTGCTGTTTTCGATTTCTTGTATCTTTCTTGTATCGCTTATGTCCTCTTTCAACTCATGCAAAGATTGGTTGAAGTTTTGAATAAAACTTTGGCCCGCTGAAAATGCATCATCTATCACAGTGACCATTTTCGATAGCCGTTCCCGGTACTGCCCATCAGAGAAGTACTGTGTTTCCAGCATATCCCAGTTTATGGATTGGCTCATTACACCCTATAAGAAAACATAGACAATAATTTGAACACTTTTTTTTTCTTTCACCGCACTCACTGTTGTAAAAACAGCCGAAGCGGTTGACCAGGATAGGCATGGCACAAGTACCAACGGTTTTGGCCAATTCGTAGCAGCTAACGATGCCATCTATAAAAAAACATATTTAAGAACATGTTTAGAAAATTTTTTTTTGTAAAAATTATTGACTTACATGTCCCCCCCATTGACAACCCAGTAACACCCAAAGGACCGAATCCATTCCTTTCGCACCAATGAAACAGGACTAGGCATTCCAGAATGAGGCACCCGCCCATCACGAAGATATCAGAAACATTATGCAGATTGGAGCGTCTATTTATTTAAATATCAGATATTAGTTGTGAAAATGTGTTGCAAAGCAATCAGACTTACGTTTGGTTGTTTGGTTTCCTTAATCCATAAAATGGGTTTTCCAGTATTATGGACCCTATATTAGCGTCTTTTAAAAGAGGTTTGGCTATGAAATTTCTTCGCCGCCAAAAGAACTGAAAAGTTAAAAAAATTTTATTAGTGATATGAAACAGTTTCAAATTTTTTGAATGATTGTTGAAAAGGTCCCAAATTAAATTATATAAAATGATTTACTAAGAAGTGGATAAGGGTAAAAAAGTATACTAGGAATTTAAACCTAAGAACAAATAATAATAATTTGCAATAAGACAAATAAACTTTTAATCGAAAATAATGGGCTACACCGAAAAAAGGGAATAATGGTTTTATGTCACAACTAAAAAATGTTTATTTTTTGGGACCCACTTTTGACTAAATGCTGATAGGCCGATCGCCTGGCGTCAGACCTCTATTGAAAGTAAACAGACATTATTTTGGGATTCGAACCATGGATGTATCAGTTGTACTCACATGATCACCAGTTCCAGCCAAATGAATGCATATCGGCTTGTGCTTTTCATTCTTCCACTTGTTCGGGATAAGCAATTGAAAATGCGCCTGTTGTGATTCTTTTGGAACAACTCCGGGCAAGTGCAACTCAAGAGGGGTTTTAAATTTCCCTTCTATCAGCGTGCTTTCTGCAGAGATTTCTTTTTTCGTGATCTCCACCGGATAATCCCGAGGCACGAGCTTGAAGCACGATTCTCTATTGGATATTATTTTTCGAAATTGAAACACCCTGAAATTATTGTCGTAAAGCAATGACAAAAATTAATTTCAAAAGATATGTGACATTGTTTTGTTATTTTGCAAAAAAAATAGCACAAAAAAATATGGATGTTTTATTTAAAATTTACAGCTGATTTTTAAATTAGAAATTAAAAAAAATGACATTTTTACAAGTATTCTTGACTGAACTTCAGGGGTTTTAAATGAAAGCATAGATATTAGAAACTCGATAAAAGCATTTGTATCATCATCTTGTTAGGATCAAATTTAATTTATTTTATCCTTACAATATTGAAGTTTATATCCCACTAACCTTTACTAGAGAACAAAAAACTTTTTCCATATCCAGTGTCCGCTGACGGAAAGAAACTGGAATGTAAATTAACAAATGGCATCGTAACACAGAAAAAATAATTTATCTGCTTCTGATAGAAAGCATTTAATAAAAATAATTATCAAGAAAACCACATTTTTCTTTATAAAAATGAAATGATTTTTTATTGAAAACCCTTCTGAACGATGTACAAGAAAATGTTTGCCTGAAGTTCAACAATTGGTTAAATTAATAGAGCTAATATTAGTGTCAAATTAATTAGATGAAAAGTGGACTCAATTTAATGAATAAGTGAGGACACATGCTAAGCTATTGTCTTTTTTATTGGCCTATTCTAAATGTGATTAAGAAGATTAAAAATATAATTGGGAAATTTATATATAAATATCAAACAAAACAATTCATTTGTATATTTTTTTACATGTTAGTAAAGTAACGTTATTTTTAATACATCGACAAATATTTTTGTTTATAGTAAAATGTAGTAAATATTAATAAAGATTAGTTTTTAATTTAACACACCTAAAATAACCTAAACCGGAGCAAAGTTATCATTACGTAAAGAAAATTAATGGGGAGCACGTCAATTTTGTAGCTACTCTTTTAAATAAACAATTACCTGCGCAAGTTTTCCGGCTTTCCCCAACCCTTTTCAAAGAACCTCGTTATCAGCATGCGGCGATATAAGCTATCTAGTTTACTCGGCATCTTGCTGGACTTCTTGTTTTGCCAAAATAATAAACAATTCGCCCGATAGAGATGGTAGAGGGCTTATAGCACTATCGATAATTGTGTCCAAACATCCATTGTGATAAGACTTGCAATTTGTAAATTTACAGATTTTTCTTGATTTTAACTTTTTTGCAATTGACTACACATCTGTTTGCCAAAATAAAAACAAATATTTAAAAAAAAATTGTTTTGAATTTATTGTCAGAAAAGTGTCAAAAGTAATCACTGATTTGGAATGGTGGGAATAGGAACAGTTCAAACGGTTTCTTGTAGATAACAATTAAAAGTCCTTAATTCTTAGTTAATTTCAATAAACCAAAGAAAAATTCAACACCCTTTTGTTATTTGGTAACTCCTAGTAAAATTAAGTTAAATATTGTATCAAGTGCTGGGTAGCGGTTTTCTGTGAAAATCCAAAAACAAAATTCCCGTCCTCAAAAATCAAACAACAATAAATGATTCAATACCATCAAGCTCATAAAAAAGTACAATTCTTATTCTCAGTTTTTATTACATAGTATCTTATAAAATATGTTACTTATTTTCCTTTGGTAGTTTTATCAATACGATACGTATACACTACATTTATATTTGTATGTATATTATGTTTTCGGGCAAACCTAATTCGTTAAAAAAATTACATTTGCCCTTGTAAATACTTTATTAAAAGATTTTATAAATATACAAATAATTTATCATAGCACATTATGCATTAATGTTCGAGAACGCGCATTATGTACTGGTATATACATAACTAACTTAATCCAATGCTAACTGATGTAAATCTGAATAATTAATTATTGCGCGATGTAGGAACTCGTATTGTGCCTATAAGAAAAATTAAAAAAATGTTATTTTCAGAGAATAAATTACTGTAATAAAAACATACGTATGAGTTGATAAGTCCCGTTCGCTGAGATCGTAATTTCCTTGTTGTGGCACAGATGTCGACGCACTTCTCCAGTCTAAGGTGCTGGACTAAAATGCACATTGCGACGAAAATAGAACTTCGATCAGTTCCCAAGCTGAAAAATAGTTTGTATGAGTTATAGGTCCACAAGATTTATTAAAATATATCTTCGGTGCAATACCTGCAATGGACTGTGAGTGGAGATCGACAACCAGAATTCTTGTTGTTCTTATAATGGTTGTATGCTTGGTCTACAAGTTCTATGATGCCCCGACAGACTTCTGGAACTTCTCCGTCCACGGTTGGCCAACCATTGTATTGAAACTGTGTGACTTTCAGCGTATCATCTATTTTGCAGTTTGTAACATAAAATTCGCGGCGAGTATAATATGGACAACTTTCGCTGTGCACGTATTTTACGAGTATGTGATCATATTGAACTTCATCATCGGCCCAATATCGAGGGCATTTTCTGGCACCATCTCCGATCTAGAAATAGATTGGTTCGCTTAGTTGATACTAAATAACAAGGAATGTCAAAGATTACTTACTTCAGATATCATTACCAAGGTAGTAACGCTCTGCTCTGAGATCATTCTCCAGAAATCACCAATAGTATTCTCAAGTGGATCTTGTGCAATAATAAAGGTTTCGCTATTATCATAGCCCTCTATGAATGATGCGTTTATGTAGGTCGAGTTGTCCCTCATTGGAAGTGGTGTCAGTATTACCTAGATTTTACAAGAAATATGAATATGATCTTACACAAGAATCAACCACATCTTACTCTATTACGATCGTAGGGTATAATCTCTTGACTTCTGTTTTTCATATTGTTTTCTTCGTTTTCACCCACACTACACGATTTACTAATCTCATCCGTTGTTACCAGTAATTTCTGAAATAAATAATAATAAATAAAACATCGCGGAGTAGAGACATCAATATACATACCTCGAATTCCATTTCCAGTTTGCATTTGCCTTCACTGGGCTTTCGCTTAAGTGATTCAATAGCAGACGCCATAGTATCAATGCAAATATCCGTGTTTCCAAAAGTTCCAGTATCCAATAAAGCCCGGTAAAGGAAGATGTATTGTTTCTGTAAAAGGAAATTAAATGTTATTTATAGTAAAGATGTTTTGCTTGATATTTACTCACCAAGGATTGAACTAAAAAATTCCGTTGGTGCCGTAAATCACACACTGTGTTGTAGATGGACACTGAGTCTTCTTCCTCCAGCTGTTGGATCAGGGAATCTAGAGCCACCAGCGTTCCTGTTCTGCCGACGCCAGCACTACAGTGAACTAAAATTGGACCCCTTTGCAGGGAATAGACGGAGTTAATTTGTCGTATGAATTTAATGATGCCATGTGGATGCTCCGGTGCCATAAAGTCTTTCCACGTTAAATAGTGGTACTGTGTGATCTGTCTACGGTCCTCCTCTTCGCCAACATTGGCTTTGTTCTTGGAAACGTTCAGGGTTCGTTCAATATAATCTCCAGTCTTTCGTTCTTGTGCAAATTTCACTAAAATATCTCCAAACTGCTTGGTATCAAAAACTTTTTCTGGCCAATATTTCGCGCACTTGGCCTTGTTATATTCCTCCAAATTGGTAAGCATTACAATTATTTCTAAATGTTGTTCCCAAATCATTCGCCAAAAATCGTCGATGGTACTTTCCATTGGACCCTGGGCACAGATAAACTTCTTTCTCTCCTTGTATCCAATAACGAAGTTAGCATTTATGTAATCTGCAGTCTGCAGTCCATTTATGACGGCCAACTTTACGCGAGTTTGATCATAAGCTTTAATATCGGGGTATCTGTTTTTGCAGGCATTCTCCTTCAAATCACTATTCTTGGTTGTACGATCGCTAAAGCGATTGGGCAGCATCTCGTACTCCCGAAGAAATCCGTAATCGGTGTCTTTATGGCGATTTTTATAGGCGTTTTCTAAATCTAATCTGTGAATGGGACCAGCATCGAATCCTTTGTGATTTCCAGACGTAATGAAGTGACTATGATTGTGACTCCGGCGACCGAACAAAGCCCTGCTTGATAGTAAAATTAAGTTGAATATAATTTTGAGCCTTAATCAATTAATAACATTAATTAGTTACCTTAACGAATCTCTTAATGTTAAAGTATCTTCGCCCTGTAATTCGTTTTTCGTTTTCTTGTGATGGAAAATCCACAGCACAATGAGAACTAGCAGAACACCAAACAGTACGGCTCCCGCTTTGATCCCTATATTAATAAAGAACTCCGCATTGTTTAAATTCTGAACAGGTTCCGCTTCCGTAGCCGGTGTTATTATGTCGAAGTATTTTCCGTATGCCATAAGCACATTATTTCTATCCCGGACTGTAAGAAATAAATAATGCATATTTTTCCTTTAGATAACTCTTTTAAATACTTACCAATAACCTCTAAAAATCCAGTGTAGTTTGAGTTAATATCTATCTCACCATCGTAAACTTCTTGACTAGAATCATGGAGTGGCACATTTGTGTTGACTGAGCTTAGAATTGGATTCTCATCGCTAGTCACCGCATTCCTTTTATCTCTCAACTTACTTTCTAAGATTTTAAGAGCATGCTCAGTTAAATTTGCGCCTTTAATCAAGTTATCTTTTTCACCCAAATGCGGTAGTTCAGGATCGGAATCTGGAGGGGAAAAACAAAAAATTAATTAGAGCAACAGAAACGTAATTTATTGTCTTTACTTGATAACGAACTTAATGGTGATCTGTGAGTGACCTCAGGTTTTCTCAGAAACGGCGTTCCCTCCAAGCATCTGCGACAGATTTCATCGTTATCTCTGATTATCTCATTGTTTTCGCTGAATCTCTGTTCATCACCCAAAAATATTTCCGGTTTAAAGTACTTGCTACTTATCATTTCTGCTATATATGCACTACTTCTGGTGACATTGTCGCTGTGAACCTCCTGATATGTGGCGATATTAAGCTTTTCCGGTTCCGGCAATTCCTTGTTGTCATTGTTAATTCTGACTAGGTTTAATCTGTAGCAGCATATGGGACCGTTCCGTTCGCTTATCTTCGGCAAGTATAGTTTCAGGACGTACTTGGATCCCAAATTAACTTTTGTCCACATAGTCCTTCCAATAGAATCTGGCGTTGAAACGGGCATTAGACAACTTCCAGTAGCCGGTTCGCCGTTCTTCTTGTGTCTTGTGATGGCTGACACTGTGACCGTGTAGTTTGTATTCGGGCTAACACTTTCATACAGGGTCTTGTGGTGGGGCTCGTCGATTCTTCGAATCTTGGGTCCCCACATCTCTCTGTCCACGGTGCTCATGGGGTTGCCAAGCAAGTGAATTAAATACGACATAACCTTGCCATTTGGCGTTTTGGGAACGTCCCAATTAATGGAGATGGAGTTGCCCCTCGTTACGTTGTCATGATGGCAGTTGATAGTCAAGTTGGTGGGTTTCGTTGCAACGCCGTCCATTGTGGTACCGTTTACGTTCTCCGACCATGGTCCACAGGTCTTGGTTAAATCACTACACGCTCTTACCCTAAATTCGTAGTCCGTGGCGGTTTTAAGCTTATCAAACATATATGGCAAATTTCGCGAATTTTGCTGGTAAATGGCCTCTTCAATCACTTTGGGCACTTCGCCCGACTCGGAAACAATCAGTTCGTAGTATTGGATGTAATCAATTAGGTCCGGTGGCGGGGGATTCCAGCCAATCGTTATTGTGGACGCTGTGCTGCCGGTGGTCTCGACCTTCGGTATAAATATGGGATCAAAGCTGAGCGTAGTGATCCCCTGGGCATGTTGTGTGGGCAGCCCATTGCCAACCGAGTTCTTTCCGGATATTCTTAAAAAATAGGTTGTATTCGGTTTAAAATGATCTAAGATATATGACGTATGGCTGCCGTTAATAATGTCTTTGTAGTAGGTAAAAGTCGGTGTTCCAGCCTCCTGAAGTGTGATGAAGAACTTTTGAACTGGATCGTTGCCGTCGTTTACGGTCCAGTTCAGGTATATTTTTGTAGCACCGACAGCCTTGGCGAAATCGATGCTAACTTGTGGCACTTCCATTACAAACAGCGTTATTTCCTTCGAGGTCACTTCAAGTCTATTATCGTCAAATACTGTGCACTTGTAGGTTCCGTTCTCCTTCTTGTAAACTTCGGTAAATTCCAAGGTAAAGTTTAAGTGTGTGTCGTTAAGCTTGGTGATGGATGAAAAAGTGTCCAGAAACTCAAATTGGCTTCCGTCTTTTAGCCACTTGAGGTTCTTACTCGTCGTATCGTTTAGGGGGAACATCTCAATCAAACAGTGCAAAACGACAGACTGTTCGATTTTTCTTTTTATCTTGTCGGGTGTACTTTGCAGGACTTTTGGAGGAAGGTAAGGCTTAACATGAAACTCAGTCGAATGGTTTTGGCCCGTTTGGGATGTGCAGGTGTAGTTTCCCGAATCCTTCATATTTACATTGTGAAGCGTCAGGACATTTTTATACTTTATAAAATCTTGACTTTCGTTGGTTTCACTAACGTCGTCGTTGGACTTTAAGGGATCAGTTCTGATTTTATATCTGAAAAATAATTATTATATATAAATCATACATTTTACTGTTGGTTTTTTTTTTTAAACAATCTGTAAGTGTTTTACCTTGTATTGTTTTTATCAATAGTCTGATTTCCCAATTTCCATACGACAGCTTCGTTTTCAGAGATGCACTCTAACGATACGTTTTTTCCTATTTCTGCCCATTCTGTAATGAAAAGATTTCTTTTTTAATATAGTGCCAAAATAGATCTGATCACCGACTTAAATATTAAAATATTTGCTAGAGCCATTTTTTGGCCATAAAGCCATAAAGGTTTCTTGGGTGGTTACCAATGGGCGGCAAAGCCAGACATAAAAATAAAGCTCCACCCACACCCCCGCCCGCAAAATTCCAGAGAGTAATCCAATGCAATTCCGGAATCAACACGTTTTTCATTGCACAAATATTAAAAATAGATATATTTCAGATAAGCTGGTATGCAAGTACATTGTCCAGACATAGCGACGTCTGTATGTATGTGCATCGGGAAGTGTGTACATATGCCCGACTACTTTGTTTAGCCCCCAATTGAAATCTCACCCCATTACCGTAATCTTTGGGCGTTACCGACATAGTTCAAGTGCTACTGTGTCTGAAAATTGTATGCTTAATTGGCTTTTCTGTCGTTAATTAATTAAACTAGTTCCAGGTTATTAAAAAACATTCATTCACATTTGCAAAAACAAAAAACAACTCTGCAATTTGTTGACACCCACAAAACATTCTTGATGTACGCATGTATGTAGCATTTATGCTATCAGCCTTTTGGGTGGCATAAAAGTTCTTTTCAGAACTTTACCTTGTTTTATAGATCCTTGCACACAAATTGTACAAAGGAAAATATTCGCAAAGATTATGTTAAATAGCATCGACATGCGTCGGTAGAGTAACGCCATGGCTTGCTAATTTCTCACTCCGAGCCGGATAAATACATATGTCAAAAATTATATTCGATGTCTGTGTTCCGTAAAAAAGATTTTCTCTATTAAACTAATACGCGGCGACAAATAAACACCGAAAAATGTGTGTTTTAAAAAACCATCTAATAGACTGCAATCGCGGAAAAGTATTCATTAATCGTTATTTTCTTAATACGGGATTTTTTTTTATTTTGCGATGAGCGGCGTTATCGATAATTTTGTCGAATATGTACCCTTGTCCGGTAAGGGTTGAATTTGGGACAACAGAATTGGTACAAACTTTTTAAAATCATAAATTGCTTACAAAAAAAGTTTTTGATTCACTAAGATAGAAAAAAACCTATAAATAATTTAACGGGTATTTATTTATCGCTGTCAAATAACTTATGGGCCAAATTTTTATCTTTTCCCCGATAAGTTTCTATCTGCCTGAGTTGCTATCTTAACTGACGATATACTTAACCACAACCACCGAAACCTAAGTAAACTAGCCGGCATTGTTTGTGCGCGTTTTTTTTGCAAAAAGTCATTTAAAAACAAATAAAAACATGAAATTAGTAAGGTAGGCTATATTTCATTTACTCATTGCTTTGCTGATTCTGTCAGAAAGGTTGTGCTTCCAAGTTTCATTCAGTTTTGGAAATGTGCAAATGTACACATGTACGCATGCAGAAGCTATGCTAACAATTGTATTTGTACACAATATTTATTCTAAAAATTAGTTTTATATTTATTAAGATAAATAATTAATAAAATGGTTTTTAAAAATATACGCATACAAATAGCATGCCTAAAATTTAAATTAAAAAAGTTAACCGTCCAATAAGATAAAATCTAGGATTATTATGCATACGTCTGATTGACTATATCTGATTGCAGTTGTTTATAGACAAAGTTTCTTATAATATGTTTTCTATTTCTTTTAGATTTCTTATGAAGTTAAGTCATGAGACTGTAACTATCGAACTGAAGAACGGCACCCAGATTCATGGCACCATTACCGGGGTGGATGTGGCGATGAACACTCACCTGAAGAGCGTTCGGATGACCATCAAAAACAGGGACCCCGTTCACTTGGAGACCTTGAGCATTCGCGGTAACAACATCAGGTACTTCATACTGCCAGACAGCCTGCCGCTGGAGACGCTTCTAATAGACGACACTCCGAAGTCGAAGACAAAAAAGAAGGACAGCGGCCGAGTGGGAAATCGCGGCAGGGGCAGAGGCGCCCGCGGACGAGGAGGCCCAAGGGGTCGTGGAAGGGGCCGTGCTTCGGGCCGACGTTAATTTTTGTAACTGGTACACCTAATAAACCATATTCGATTAATATAGAATATAAATATTTCTTGGATAAATCTATATTGTACGAATCGTGTTTGAAAAGGGTTGAAATTGTGACCTTACGATTTTGTTAATCATTTACTGAAAGAACTCTTTTTCGAATAGTGAAAAGCATGTATGCATGTATGTAGTTGGTCTTGAGAATATGGTTTCTTTTGGAAAATATTTAAAAACTATTCCTTCAATGAATTGTAACCATAACTTTATTAAATGATAATTTAATACCTTAAATGAAAGCTAATCTTGTTCGAAATGCTGGTTATTTATTGATTAGCTTTATATACTAAATGCGTCGCCATATTAAGCAAAAAGTTTATGACAGGTACTAGAATTGAGATGTTAATATATTTTTAAATTTTCATTGCTAGTGCTACATTTACAAGTGGATTTAATGAATACTTCAGGAAATTTTTTAAATCGCATTCTTACATGGGTTTTCTCTTGTTTCGATCTACCAACCCTGATTAATGTTTTAATCATGTTTAATAAAGGTGAGTGGATTCTGGTAATAGAAAAAAACAAATAAACAAATTTAAATTTATATTGGGGTCCGAACTAGTTCCGATGACTTATCGAAAAGCGAAGCTGTTGTGCTTTTATCGACGTTGTATCGAATAAAGGTTTGTGTATATGCTTAAAATTTGGCGCCAGTTTTTCATCAGCTTCAAAATTTGATTTCTGAAAGCACTAAAAATTTTGTTAATGGCATAACAACGACGTGAATTTTTGGAGAAAACTATTGATTTTTACAATAATCCTGTGAGCTCATTTCAGTATAGTAAAAATTGTTTTGGTACACAAACAAATGTAATCAACGTGCCGCAAATATAAGTTACTATTGTGTTAAATTAGTTTTACTGTTTCGTTCGCCTACATTATAAGCGAAAGCATTACTGGATATAAGCGTATTCAACAAGTGGAGGGCATGTCTACTTTTCGGCTCACATTCAATTTGGATTGAACATGGTTTTAAATTTTTCAGAACTTTTGATAATGGTGGTGAAATCATGATTGTAAATATTGAAACAAGTGGGTATTTACGATTGTATTTTTCATTACTATTTTATTTAAATACCTTTTAGTTACCGACATACATATTTGCATTCATTCCGTTTAATCTCGCACAATTACAATTTTTGCACCTTGTATTGCTACTTTTCAATCGGGAAATTTATGAATGGATAATGCCAATACTTTTTAATGCTTCTCTCGGGTAAGTAAATAAGTACTGGATGATTAACTGTAATATGTTTTTTAAGCCATTCCGTTTGAGTTTGGTGCGTCTGAGGATAATTTGGAGTAATATAGCAATAGCCATTTATTTCGCGAATAATTACTACATTTACTTCTTCATTATGTTATTAGGCGTCAAAGCAAAAAGTTTGCGGATTAAGAACTCAGCTATGTAAAAAGAATACTGTAAGTTATGAAATAAAGATAATTCAATTAAATCTATTTTCGGAAATGCATTCACCCTTAAAAGTGTTGAAAGCATTTTGTTGTTCATTCACCCTCCGTTTATAAGGGGTACAAAAATAAAGGGAAATTTCTGGTAAAGTTATTTTTGTAACAAAGGTAGCGTAACATTGGTAAAGGTTAAAGTAAACAAGCTAGTTACAATTAAATACATTGCTGTTATGCTTTTTTATTTGTTTAAAGACAAATATTGTTGTTTGAGGAACAATCAAGCTCGAACGCGATTAGCAATGGATTACTAGGTATATGTACTGCTCATCCTTTACAAAAAAAAAAAGGATTTAAAAAAAGAAGTAAACATATTTTTCGAATAATAATTAAATAAAATATTTTTGAAGGAACTGGGGGTGATAACTGTAAAGGCAATAGCGATTAGAATTATTGTTGATATTTTGCCAAAATACAAATGTTACTATAAAACCTAAAACCAGATATATGATGGATCCTGAATTGAACAGAATATATTTTTTAAAAGCTATTTTAATAAAACAACAACACCAATCAATCAAAATGCAACAGGTAAAAAAAACTATTTTAAATGTAAAATGTTAATTAAAATCCATTTAATTTAATGTTAAAATAATGTTAATTTAATATAATGTAAATGTAATGTTAACTAAATGTTAATTAAATTACTATGGCCACGTCAGCGACAATGATAGTTAATTATTTTTTTCGTTTTCTTGCACCTATAATTCTCAAGTGGTTCTGGCTGATTCGTAGTGGGATACCCCTTGATTTTGGCCAATTTCTCAGTTCTCCGGGATGACCGGCAGTTTCTCTAAGAAACTTTTCCCGGTCTCTGGAAGTGTGTGTGTGTGCGTGTGTGTTAGTTAGTGACGTGGTTCCAGAGTGGGAGAGAGTATCTGGCCAACTCCTCCTACTGGAGTCCACTCCCGGATGCAGTGCACCATGGGTCGACTCCTCCTACTGGAGTCCACTCCCGGATGCAGTGCATCATGGGTCGACTCCTCCTACTGGAGTCCACTCCCGGATGCAGTGCATCATGGGTCGACTCCTCCTACTGGAGTCCACTCCCGGATGCAGTGCCCCATGGGTCGACTCCTCCTAGGATGCACTGCATCATGACCTGACTTGGCATGAACTTAAAGGTGCCCGATGCCTTCCTGCATGTAGTGGACTCCAGGATGCAGGGCATCCAAACCTGAAAAGGTGAGTTGCAGTTTTTTTTTAATTATGTGATGACGTGGCTTTTGTAAAAAAAATGCAGTTAATTAATTCAATTTTTTTTTTTTTTCAGGTTTTTGGTTGTGTATTTGGCTGATTGCAGAAAATAATTGGTGACACCATCCAACTTGTAACTTGAAGTTCGACATCATGATGCACTGCACCAAGGTTATTACGCAGTGAGTACATCCTTTAGACAATAAATAATTAAGGTTTATATTTTAAGAAATCATAAATATTTTGACAAAGAAACTAAAAGCAACAGATAAAGATCTGAAAGTTTTCAAGAACATGAAAGAAATTTTAAAGGTAAATTTTATCAAATATTGAACTTGAAGTACATGAAAATCAAACACAATTAATAATTGTAAACAAGTAGGGACATATAATATAAATAAATATAGTAAGAATAGTTGTAAGAATGCGGTTACCGGAGATATATAGTATGCTGACACCACATAAATGGACTGGACAACAGGCTGCAGGATCAATTATGAATGGCGTGATCTTCTATTGAACTCCACTCCAGGATGCAGCGCATCACCTCATTGGGGTATGTATTTTTTTAAACAACCGATTTGTATAAAATAATTTAACTAATATTTTGGAATGCTTCTTTTCATTACAGGTGATGATTATACCTTTCTACTTGGAGTGTACTTCAAGATGCAGTGAATCAATAACCCAACGAGGTAAATACCTTTTTTACTAATACCTTTTTTACTAACAAATTTATTCTAAGTATTATTATATTATTTGTTACAAATTATTTATTATTATTTTTTTTCTTATTTAATTTCAGGGTAAAGTGTAAAGTGTACATGTTGCGGATAAAGTGGTTGCAGTGGTTATCTTATTGAACTCCACTCCAGGATGCAGTGCATCAACTCATTTGGGTATGTATTTTTTTAAACAATCGATTTGTATAAAATAATTAAACTAATACATATTTTCAAATTTTCTTTTCATTACAGGTGATGACTATTCCTTTCTGCTTGGAGTGAACTTCAAGATGCAGTGAATAAAAAACCCAAAGAGGTAAATACCTTTTTTACTAACAAAATAATTCTAACTATTATTATTTGTAACAAATTATTTATTATATTTTGTTTGTTTTTTTATTTAATTGCAGGGTAAAGTGTTAAGTGTAAATGTTGCGAATAAAGTGGTTGCGGTGATTATCTTACTTCAAGAAGACGAAAGATTGCAGTGCAGATCAAGGAGCTAACTGAGTAAGTACCAATCTGAAAAGATTTATTTATGATAATCTCATAATTATTTAAGTAGTTGTTACATTAAGTTGGAAAATGCTTAACTTGGCAAGTATTTGGGAGAGTTACTATCTATCTATTTAAATAGAAACTGATTTAATTGGGCCGTGGTAAAGGCGGGATTTCTCTTCGTTTTTCTTCGATATACTCTATATGCAGGGCCGGAGAAACAGTTTTGAGTGGGGTGATGACCTCACAAATTTTTAATACCACCAATAGTGCGCTGAATATTTAATGGTGAAAAGTTAATGGATATTCCAAAGGCAAGTCAAATCACACTGCTGCTTTTAAATAATGATGCTTCGGCATGAAACAAAGCCGAATCGTAATTTAGTGTCTGTATTTCCCATGTGAAAGTTTGTATCGCCTCCTTGTCTTTTTCGCTGCGTAAACCCGAGATCCTTAGACTAAATGAGGCAAGCCAAACAGGTTCAGGGCAAATCCATTGATGAGCAAAACATGTTTCTCCAGAAGGAACCATCAATATCAATCGAAAATGCATGCCGCGGCCTGATCAAAATAAATTATAAAACAAAAAGGGCCGCAGTCCGCATAAGGATTGCCATAAAATGAATCGCAAAATTAACAAGATAAGCATCTTTTTAAGATAGGAGAAATAAAATCCACTGGGTACAACCAAATTAATTTTGACATAATGTCAGACAAACAAATGTTTGCACTTAAGGATACAGTGCCTTTGTTAAGTTCCTTCCTCCTGCAGTTTGATTGGAAGTGGAACGCGTTATAATATTTGTCTAGACATAAATGCAAACACTGACTTCCGATTCGAGTGTCCAATATGCAAGCTGCATAAATACATAACTTTGATATAAATGTGTATTTATTTGGAATAATAAGTGATTTTTGGATAGTTGTTGAAGTTATTATTGTTATTGTGGTTCCGTTATTATTATAAAAAGAAATATCCTTGGAGACTTATACTTTATTTACTTTGTCGGATTTTTTAAGACTTAGATATTTCTTATTTGGTTTTATATTTGGAAAATCGGGATATAAAAATTGAATATATACATAATTCATATTTAGGTAGTCCCTACGGATCTTAGCAGATATATTATTTATTTTAGATGAGATAACTTTAAACCAAAATCAATATTTTTCAATACTTGGTAAACCTAAAATCTTAAGCGAGTTCTTCAAAGGTCATTACATCCCAGAAGTTCTCATTGTGAATGCTCCCTTATTCAAAAGAAGATTCCTTCTGCTGACGGTGTTAATTTAATTCGGTGTCATAACTCAATCGCAGGATAATTCGCAGCAGGGTATATCCATACCGGGTAGAATCGAAGCGCA